ACTAATGGAAATATATCTAGTCCATATCTTATTCCATTGTCACCACATCCTTAATTTGTTTGCACAGATGGATTCTCCTCGTCAACAGCTTCCTGGCGATATATTATATGTCCCATTTGGACAAGCAGAAGCCAAGATATTGACCCTTCTCTGTTTGGAGCCAAACAAGACCAAAGCCAATGGCACGCCGACGCGATTCCGCGTCGTCGTGCCACTAGCTTTGGCTTTGTTTGTTTTCAGCCACAGCTCAACATAATGTGCTCATTAATAGACAAGTATATGGTGTAACATACCACTATTATATATCACCAGAAAGCTGTTGATGAGGAGAATGCAATGGGGGTGTTTATATAGGATACTGAGCACATCTGGGAGTGCTACAAGCCAACCAACCCACCATAAGTGACTCTGGGTCACAGTCTGTCACTAATGGGGATCAATGCCATGGCGGTTAGGGTGGTTATTACTCCTGCTGCACTAATGCCACACGGTAACACAAGTAGTACACTGTATATCCTCCATCACATTGTTCATTAAGCAGCACTGACTCAAGCTACTGACCTGGCCAGATAATGTACCAGGACACGGGCTTGACCATGGCCTCGAGAACGGGATACGACGCGGTAGCTTTCAATGCTACCGGTTTGTTGCCGGCTGGCTACTGGGACACAATTAAGCAAACCCGTCAAATATCAAGAGGAACAACTTCTAAACATCATTTAATGCACTACGTACCCCACGAAGACTACAGGTACATGTTTCAAATGATACAGCCTGCCTATCCTGCTCCCCTCCTCAACCATGACTTGAAGTAGGAACCCCTCCAACCTGTGCTAAGGCCGATACGACCACGCCCTCTCACAACAACATTTGAGGTACACGAGTCCACCCGCACAGCTCGGGTGCACTTCTACGACCTGCAACCTTTCACTCGGACTCATACTGCTCCCTGCGCACTCGCAGTTCTGCCGCTTACCGCCCACCTCTCACTCTACCATCTACCTCTTGCTCACAGCTATAGCTCAGCCTGACCACACTTGGACACTTGCAAACCTCTTGACCCTCGACCACCACAACATTCGACCATCTCACTCGCAGTTGCCTTGACTCTCAATCACCACTGCCAACTTCGACCACCTCGTCCAGCATGGAAGTCGACGATGAGACCTACGAAGTAAGCGTATACGGCATACTCAGGCAGAGACATGGCTGACCATCCGGTTTAGGTATTCGCCAGCATATTCTTAATTAGACGCGACAGGAAAGGCACACTGGCCTGGGGCGACTTTGTTAAAGTCGTAGAGTGCGGTCAGTGCAGCTTTGGACGATTTCTGATGTTTGTTTACAGGCAATGACCAAAGTTGGGTTCACATATCACTCGCTCAAGGGGTCCAAACGGCAGTTCTGGCCCAAATCACCTGGCCCTCCGCTGCCCTGGGACGAGGTATGCACGTGCTTGCGCACGGCAAGTCCTCACTAACGATGATTACAGCCACATGGGAAGAAGAAAGGGGTCATTACGCGCAATGTAAAGGGCCAGTACGCCAGCTGCTTGCAGTCATTCACAAAGGCGCGATTTGTGCTAATGTTTCGCTCCAATAGCCTGGCGACGAAGTTGGGAAGACTGTACGGCTGGGACGCCGATAGTTTCAATACAGGAGTAGGCATACGATCATGTAGTGTAGTGAAAGCGGCGGGCATGTACAACGGGATCCCGACCCCATCGGATGGATACTAAGACTTACGACCTCCGCAACCGCTCAGTGAATCCCCCGTTTGTCGCTTTACTCTAGCCTATTAAGTCGCTCATTGACGCTTACTTTCTATACCAGGATATCTGGCTGTGTCGCCTCGACACACCCTCTTGTCCATCTGGGTCCGCGCTTACTTCAAAGCCTTCCGTGCTGGCATATCATTTGTGGCACTACTCTGTGCAACATACTGGGCCTCGGGAGCCACCAACTCTATGCTAGTAAATGATCCTGTGCTGTCTATGCTGATTTGCGTTGGCCCGAGTCTACCTATGCCACGCTGCCACTGCCAGCGGTGATACGCTATTTTTACAGTGCTCGCCAGTAAGGTTACAATGATCAACGTTGCCTTAGTCCTTGTACTCATCGACCCCCATGTTCATGCTCTCACAGGCAGTTCTGCGCTCTGGTCTCGTCCCCGCCAGACTAGCCTGTGACCACCGCATGTTGTCGTCGCACCCGCGTTTGCCAGGATTGCCTTCTCATTTGCCCCAGTCCTCTACATCCACCAATATCTCGGCGGCGACGACACCACAGGCCCCACCAAACCCCTGCTCAAACTCACTTTTCACATGCCTGCGCTACACAAGCTGCCACCGGCCGCAGCTGAGAAGATCGGCTGTTGGTAATAGTTGTGACAGACGCAAGGAGTAGGCAGTGCAACTGCATGAGCGCAAGCGACCACAGCCTTGTGAGTGAAGGTGACAGGAATGGAACACAAGCATCGACATTTGCCGAAGATGACAAAGCAGACGAGGACAGTCAATGCTGGGTTGGCCCAGGCTGCTCTGACAGATGCAGGGAACACTTACTTCAGTTTAAGGTGGGTATAACAGTTTTGAGTGATTTGCACTCCCAGTGCACTGAAGGTGTGCCTTTTATTTGCTCAATATGTCAATGTTTGCAGTTTTAGTGTGTGCTTATTATTGCACTCCTTAGTTGGAAGGGAATGCAAGCTACTGTAACCTGCTAATTGATAGGTAACCCGAGGGTAGATTGTCTGAGATTGGGGCAATCTTGCAAGTGTTTACAAATGCTCACAAGTTGCCAGATGCTTGCACTCCCTGCAAGCCATTGCCAGCTGTTTGGGTTTTTGCTGCTGCTGGACATATGACATGGTGGCAGACATCCTTACCAAGGCTCCTCTGCATGAGAAGCACTGGAAGTTCATCCATGCTATGGGACTTAGGCAGCACTTGAGTGGCAGCATTGGAATGCAGTGAGTGCTGCATAAGTGCCTGTGGATAGCATAGATAGTGTGCATACTATATCAGGACTTTTTTTACATAAGTCAGCACAGCCACTGCCAGCACAGTGTCCTGCCAGCCTATCCCTCTTTCCTTTCCCTCATGTGATGGGGATTACCAAATTTTCTTGCACTAGAAGTGTTTCAGAATGGGTCACAGGCAGTTTCCTTTTCACCAGATATTGAATTGCTAAAAAGAGGAAGAACTGGAAGAACTAGGTAATACATTTTATGCTGCCATTCCTCCATTAGGAAAGTATCCTTTGCAGAAATGCAGAATTTGCCTCAAAGTCTACAAAAAGGCATTGAGGATTGTTGCCTTTTTGGCCTTCAAGAATATTGTGATTGGTTTCTGGTTCTAATTCCTTTTTGGAGGCTGAAGATGTTTTGTTTTTCAGCTGTTTTGGGAACTTCCACATTGTTGAAAAGGTTATATGTTTCAACACTGAAAGTGTCTTATATTCAAAGGCTTTCAGGCAGAGGAAAACTTGCTGAAAATTTGTAGCAAAAGCAACAAAAAGGTATCTTTGTAACTACAGAAAAATCCGCTGAATATTTGTCAACCTTCATTTATAGTTGTCTCCTTTCCTGTGGCTGAATAGGTTACCTTTTCATGCCTTTTGGGAGGCCCATCATGCTTCAAAAACTCAGCCTTTTGACTGTTCAAAAAGGCATCAGAAATTGACCAGAAGGGAAACTGGCACTTTTGGCTTCTCAGCGTATTTTCTTTGGTAGAAAATGTGGTAATCCCCGTTGTGTCAGTCAGTCTGCTATCTAGACTACTGAGGTACCTCATTCTGAGCTCTACTGCACTCTAGGTGATGCTCACATCCAGTGTAGACTTTCCTACAGGTACAGTTAATGCATTCTTAGTTAGTCTGCTATTCAAACTGCTGAGACTTTTCCTATAGATTCTGACATTAAAAAAGTGTAAGTGTATGTTAAGTCCCACAGGCCACAACTCCCTATTACAGTGACTTACAAAACTATTTTCAGAAATGGTTACTCAGCGCCTTTTGCTGAATATCTCGGTAACGGCTGCGCGTAATGCTACAATTTAAATTGCGTTAGGTAGAAATATGTCTTGGCTTTCTATAGGTACTTGTTTCATAAAAGTCGGGTGCGACCTTCCAAAGATATGATATGTTCTTTACCCACATCTTCTGGAAATAGTTTTGTAATGCGCATTTTGGCAGGGAACAACTGGGTCGTTTTTGGCCAAGCATGTTGTGAATGTCACATGATACTGTGGGAATATATTATATAATGTTTACTGAGGTGATGCCACATCAGCGCTGCTGGAATACTCCTCCACCTCTGCCACCATCATGCCCCTAGCACTCTCTGAAGCCACTCGCAACACCATCATCCAGCTTTGTAACCAGAAGCTTCCCATCTCCATGATACACACTAAAACTGGTGTCAGTAAGAGCCAGATCAGCAAGATTTGCTCTGCCAACTGCCCTGGAGTCCACAAGTCCAAGGGTGGCCGTCCATCACTCCTTTCCCCCATCGACATCTGCCATGCTACCCGCTTGGTTGAGACCGGCCAGGCCGATACTGCCACTCAGGTCCATGATACCCTCAAGGACACCTTCCTGAGACATGTCTCTGTCCAAACCATCCGTCGGGCACTGAAGCGGGCTGGGATGCTGGCCGTGATGAAGAAGAAACGGCTGCAGCTTACTAAAAGACATCGGGCAAAGTGGTACACCTTTGCTTTAGCTCACAAATACTGGACGGTGTCGCAGGTGCCCGGGACGAGGGACGACAGCAGACCGACCTGCTTACGGAGGTGGTGCTGGCCCATGCCAAGTCCGTGTGGGGACGACGATGGGAGGAGGTGAGAGAGGGGAGAGAGGGGCTTACAGGGCAGAGGCACCCTTCAGCGAACCCCGACAAAGGTCTGGGGTTGCGACAGGGGCGTGCCAGGGAACTAGCCTGGAAGAGGCCAAGGAGGAGGCCGGCGACGAAGGCCAAAGCTGTCCCCAATGACTTAAGTATATTGACTTAACCATCTAGTGCAAGAGGTGCTTACCTGTCCCCAATGACTTAAGAGGCCGAGATGGGGAACAGGTGCAGGATCTACTCTACCTATATACTGGAGCAGGTGCGCACAGACCAGGTACCTAAGGTGAGTATGAAGCATGTGACCAACAATCAGGTGACCTGTAGCTAGACTAATACCTATGACGTCCTTTAGGGCGCTATGGTAATCGTAATGACTGTGGTGACGTAGGGAGTGACATAGGGAGTATGATGGGAGTCCGGTGATACCGGGAGGCGGTGCGCCCGTAAGGGCACTAGGGAGGGGCGGACTGGCGAGGTTGATGATGAAAAAGAGACGCTGTGTGAGGTGCTCTGAGGGGAGGGAGGCGGATGCTGAGGTGCTGGCAGCTGCGAGGGTGCTATGGCATCTGGGCCGAGTTCTGGTGGGTGTAGGCAGAGCCTAGGAGGGGAGGCGCTGGCGACTCCACAACAGATGGTGGAGGACTGGAAGAGGGTTGTCTGGTCAGATGAGACCAAGATCAACAGAGTAGGGTCAGATGGGAGAAAATGGGTTTGGAAGAAGCAGGGGGGAGGGGCTCAGTGACTGCCTGGTGGAGGGAACACTCAAGCGTGGTGGAGGGAGTTTGATGTTCTGGGGCTGTTTTGGATGGGATGGGACAGGACACTCATGCAAGATCATTGGGAAGATGGATGCTGACCTATATGTGGAGATCATCGAGGACGAGCTACGTAATTCCCTCTACCATTGGGACTGAGGCAATTTCAGCAGAGGAGTGTCAGAAATTGGTGGAGACTATGCCTAACAGGGTTGCAGCCGTTTTGAAGGCCAAGGGGGGGCTATACCAAGTACTAGAATCATGTATCTTGCCTTTCCAAAATGCTCGTTACAAAACTATTTCCAGAAGATGTGGGTAAAGAACATATCATATCTTTGGAAGTTCGCACCCGATTTTTATGAAACAAGTACCTATAGAAAGCCAAGACATATTTCTACCTAATGCAATTTGAATCGTAGCATTACGCACAGCCATTACCAAGATATTCAGCAAAAGGCGCCAAGTGACCGTTTCTTGACATAGTTTTGTAAGTCACTGTACATACATAGTGTACCCTGACTAGGAATTGACAACTAGTTAAGTGGCTGCCTTGGACTTTCCCTTCAACTTGATGCCTAACAAGTTCTTGCCCTCTACTTTTTTCCGCTTGGGAGGCGGCGCGCCGATAGACACAGAGAGCAAAGCTCGGGCAGATTCAGGTAACAGACTTCGCAAATCGGGTTCTTCGTCACCCGCCTTCCGCTTGACAGTGATGACCTCGGGCAGTACTCCCTTGTCCTGGCTTGAACCTGCGCCGCTACTGGCAGATGACTCCGGGGCGGGAACCTTGGTGAAGACTTCCCGTACCAGCTTCTCGTCCTCTTCCTCGGCGCGCTTCTGCTCCATGTCCTCCTCCGTCTCGATCTCCTCCATGTGTAATCGCTCTATGAGGTCGGACGACTGACCAACGCGCTCGTTTCGGGCGTTACGAGCACGAATGTCTTGAAGCGCGTCGAGGATGTCCATCTCGCGCTTCGAGTCGACGGTGCGGTTCTCGAGGGCCTTCATCGGGTTGTTCTCCTCCTCCTCGAGCTTGGCTAAACGATCCTCCTCCTCCACTGCCTTCTCGTCTCGCCATGGCTCGAAATTCCGTTGCGCACCGTGTTCCGCAGCGTAGTCTGTGTTCTTGGGATCCGTCTTGAAGGTGATCTCGGCGGAACAAAGGGTGCTGAGGACACGTGAGATCGGCGTACTTGGAACACAATGTTTGCATACGCACCATTTGATGTAGAACCGGAATATCTTGATACCAAAGTAGTCCTCCCCTTCGACGGTCTCCTTCCGGGCGTTGAACTTCTTTCCCTTGTAGATGTACTCGCCACATGTATTACAACGCCTGCCGGAGTTCAGCAACAGAAGATGTTCATGCGTGTAACAACTCACATAGAGAAAGGCGCCATGAGACGAACAACCTGCTGGGAGTTCTTCGGCTGCCTCCTGCGAGGGATGAGGGACGGATCGAAATCCGGAGGGAAGTACTTGTTGAGGACTGCGGTACATTGTCAGTACGGAAGGCTACGCATACACGGAAGTTCACGTACCCTTTCGTTCAGACATCGCTTAACGAGAGCAGAGTGGCAGAGAGTGCTGCGAGATTGGGTAGCGTTGGCGAGACGGTCGAGGAGGGCGGGGTACGAGGGCAAGAGGCGGCGTTGCTGTGCTTTGTCAGCCTCTCTCTATTGACGCCGCCTCACCGGAGTACCGGGCCGGCCCGGACGAATGCGACTTGGTGCAGCAGCTTGAGCTTTCCTCCTGCGTCCGTGTACTCGCCTGCGCGACCTTTCCAAACCAAAAGACATGGCGTCCTTACAGTTCTGGAAGCCTGGAACAGCTGGACCTGGGAGCAACCTCGACAGAGCCACGGAAACTGAAGAGAACGTCGTCCAAAGCGCTCCTACATCATCTTCGCTATCCCTGCAGGCCGCAAGGGAACGTCTGCCGATCTTCAAGCACAGTTTGTGTGACCTATATGCTCACGAGTTACCAACTATACTCACTTCTTAATCAGGGGAGGGGTTGCTTTATGCCGTGGAGAAGCATGGCGTAACAATCTTGGTTGGCCAAACTGGCAGCGGAAAGACAACGCGTACGTATTTGTATCCAGTCTGCGTCCCCATTGACTTCAAGCCGCGCTAGAATTACCCCAATTTTTGTACGAAGCCGGCTGGGCGGCGGAGGGCAACCGCATCGCGTGTACGCAACCCAGAAGGGTGGCCGCTACCTCCGTAGCAAGCAGGGTGGCCGCGGAAGTAGGGTCAATATTGGGAGACGAGGTACGTCCCTGTCAGGATTACGCTACGCCGGACGGCCCACTAAGTCCGACCAGGTCGGTTACACCATTCGGTTCGAGGATGTCAGTGACAAGGAGCGCACTCGAATTCTGTATATGACCGACGGTATGCTCTTCCGCGAAACGCTCGTCGACCCGCTACTCAGTCGATATAGCGTCATCATGGTCAGCTTTCATTCAGAACGTGTACCTCACGAGCTGATTCTAATCTCAAGGTTATAAGATCGACGAGGCGCACGAAAGAAGCATTTATACGGATTTGCTCTTGGGCATCCTGAAAAAGTCGGCTCTTTTCATGCATCTCAAAGGCCGGCTTGTTGACATTTACCGCTAGGATACGGCGGAAGCGACCATCTCTCAGACTGGTGGTGTCATCGGCAACCCTTGACGCTACTGCATTCCTCGAGTACTTCACGGCCGGAAACAGCCCTGACGAGGCGACTATTGTCAGCCTGGAGGGCCGTGCCTATCCCGTGGAAACCGCCTACCTTCAAGAGCCTGTCCCAGATTATGTGCAGAAAGCTGCAGAAGTAGTATGGGGCATCCATCTCCAAGTTCGTTCGCTCCAGTACGTGTCGAGAAGCCCGCTGACCTTAACCAGCAAACGCCCGGTGATATCCTCGTGTTTCTCAGTGGCCGTGAGGAGATAGACCGTTGTCTGGAGCTACTCGCCGAGTTACTGCCAACGTAAGTTATGCGTATTTCACCCCAATAATCCTTCCCGTTAACGCAGCCCAGCCTTCCCCGGAATGCCAAGCGTCTCGTCTTACTCGCGCTCCACGCGGGCTTAAGTACAGATGAACAACTCAGAGTGTTTGAGCCCGCAGAACGCGGCACTCGCAAAGTCATCATATCAACCAACATCGCCGAGGTATGTGGTTATAAACGCACGCGGGGCCATGCACTCACCATCAGCATGTCCACAGGCGAGCGTGACCATAGAAGGCATAAAATATGTCGTCGACTCGGGGTTTGTGAAGGTCAGTCATGCGAAAGGCGTAAGTATGTGCTACAAACACCGCGTACAGATTCGGACCTATAATCCCTCCACCGCGATGTCGTCTCTAACGACAACACCGATCTCTCAAGCCTCTGCTACCCAGCGAGCAGGACGCGCGGGTCGTACAGCTCCAGGGGTCTGCTACCGCTTGTACACAGAGCGCGCTTTCCAGCAATTGCGCGTGACAAGCCCCCCGGAGATCACTCGGACTGACCTCACCACCCCCATACTCCAGCTGAAGTCCCTCGGTATCGATGATCTCATGAAATTCGAATGGGTCTCCTCGCCTCCTGCCGAGAGCGTGCTTCGCGCCCTTGAAGGACTCGCGCACGCAGGTATGGTTGGTGAGGACGGGAGACTGACGGTCATCGGCGAGAAAGTGGCGGAGTGTCCGGTGGAAGTCAATATCGCACGAATGGTTCGTTCAGCGGCATATCTAACGGATGATAGTGTCTAATTGTCTATCCCAGCTATTCGCCTCTAAAGACTACCAGTGCGGAGAAGAGATTCTCACAATAGCTGCCATGACGACAATCCAGGTATGCGAGTTACGAATCTCATCTGTCGTCCGTGTCTCAAGTATCATAGGACGTCTTCGTCATCCCAGATGGGGCGCCTGGTGCAATTGCAGAGCTGGAACGACGAAAGTTCACGGCCGAAGAAGGTGTACGTCTTGCAATTCGCCTCCAACACGCTCACGTACACTAATCCTCGTCGCTTATAGGACCACCTTACTCTCTTAAACGGTGTGTACTTATCTAGTAGACTCAGATTACCAACTGCAGCAACCTGACTGTTGCGCCCTCTAGCATACAACGGTTTCAGCCGTTACGGCCGGTCGGCTTCATGGTGCAAAGCACACGCCCTTTCTTTTCGCGCCATGTCTCGTGCGATCTCCATTCGGTCACAACTCAAGAAGTACATGCAGAGGTTTGGCTTGCCCTTAGAGAGTTGCGAAGGCGATGCGAAACGTCTCAGGAAATGCCTCGTGACGGGCTATTGGCGCAACGTTGCACGATGGGTCGCAGACGGCACATACCGCGCTGTGAGGGGAGAGACCGTAAGCTTTCTCCCATCCTCTCCGTACTCGCCCTGATGCTTGACTATAGGTGCTTCACGTCCATCCACATTCCGTTCTGTTCACGCGGAAACCGCGGTCGGGGTGGGTGATATTCCATGAAATGGAAGAAACCAAGAAGACACAGTAAGTCGCAGCAGTACTCATGCTTGCCTATTTCTCAACGCTATATCTTCTTAGGATCCGAATCCTCACCGAGATTGAACCCGACTGGTAAGTATGCTCGCAAGGATCCACATATCGATGCTAAACCCAGTATTTGCACAGGCTCTTGGAACATGGTCATAAATTCTATGACAAACACTCCGGTGCTAGTGTATCGTCTCAGTAGTGTGTGTGTATACTGTATCCTTGCCCGTCCATGTACTATATTTCTGTCGTCCACATGTCGCCGAACTCGAGAAATGTAGACGCCGAAAGCGGGCGCCTGTACATTGCTGTGAATGGGAGCGCGTGCAGACGGAGTTGGGCATCCGCCACCTCGTCCCTCCCTCACCCCCTCCTGCTGCCTCCGCGATGGGTGCCTCGCAGTCAACACCCCAGCAAGACGAGAAGGTCTTCACGCCGGACACCAACCTGCACGTACGTCCCCCAGCCCCTCCCCGGCTTCCCAAACTCACAAGCGCCAGTTTTCGGAGGATGTCGTGAACCAGCTCGCCGACCACCAGGCGTCGCCCGAGATCCCACACGACCGCCAGCTCACCATCGATGCGCACATCCGCTCGCGCATCCAGTCCGAGCTCGGCCACCTGCAGCAAGAGGAGGAGCGCGTGCGGGAGGAAATCGAGCGTGCGCTCGAGAAGGAGAACCTCGACCGCGAGCGGGGCATGGCCGGGGAGGAGAGCGCGTCGGAGGATGTGTCCGCGGCCGGCTCCGTGAAGAGCAGCGCCGCGCTCATGGGCGACCTCGAGGAGCTGCGCCAAAAGGTCGAGAAGTACCACACGCGGCGGAGTTCGGAGGAGCTCTCGGAAGTGCGAGCAAAGGGCGAGCAGGTCGTCTCGTGCTACAAGTGCGTAGCTCAAGTGCCTTCATCTTGCTTGCTTGCTGACCCGCATCTTTAAAGGTCGCATCCGACCACCTCGCTGGACTGCTGGAAAGCCGTCGAGGAGTTCAAGTCTTCGGTAGCGCAGGTAGAACAGGTGCGTGTGGCTTGACTCCTCATTCTCGCGGTTTCCTTACCTATTCTCGCAGCGATATGTCAACTCTTTGCGGTAGCCCTGTATCCCCTGTCTTAGACGTTCCGAATGTTCAGCTATTAATTTCGACTCCTACACCGACGTGCCGTAAAGTACAAGAGGCCCAGTAAGTGTATGGCGTATAGAACGGTCCATCACTATGCACGTAAAGGTGAGTACACGTTACAACTCTTCGTTAGTTCATCATATATCCGTCACAGTCCGTTAGTCCAGCCAGCCATAAGAATATCCAAGATCCAGATTCTACCGCCTCGGCAGCTCTTCTTCGTCGCCAATTGCGTACCCCACAGGCTCCCAAGGGTGGTCATTGTCGAACTGCGAGTATACAGACCCGGTGTACTCCGACCACCGGTTCTGGGACACCGTCGAGGTCCGATGACGGGTCCATGGCAGATAGTTCGCAAGGAGTGACCGTCGGACGTCTTCGTTTCCCAAGGCCAAGAGCAAACTTGACGGAACGCCAGCACTCGGCCTCTCCTCCGCCGCGCTCTGAGTCGAGTACGCGGAAGCAGAGCTGACTGTCGAGGGCTGGTGAGCCAGGCGGTGCTGCGCGAATGACGATGGTGCATTGGACACTGTGGAGTCTACTGGCGGGCGTGAACGCGAAGGATTCCGACGAGGCACCGGTGGCGGCAACGCAGGCTCTGGCTCCTGAAGCGCCTCTACTTCCGCGGCCGAAGGCGTTGGTGGGCGAGGATCAGTGGTCTCCTGGAGAGCCCTCTTTTCTGCATCTAAGGTGGACGATTAGAACAGTCAGTCGCACTCCTGCCTCACTACACTTACCACCCCCCAATGTCTTCGAGTCAATAGTGCCTTTCAAGGTAGACCCGCCGGAGACCGGAACAGAGGGCACGAACGTAACCCTCCGGTCTTGGTGGCTCCGGAGGGAGAACGAAGGCCTGTACTGGCTTCCGGGCCGAGCCAAAGTACTCGCATTCTTCCGTGTGTTCTCCCTGACCTGCAAGACTGCCAACTGCTCGAATGAGCGAAAGGGAACTTATAGAACACGGACATTGTAGACGTACCGCTTCCTTGATCTCCTTCGCCTTTTTCCGCTTAATGGACCTCCCCCACCACGTCCAGCCGATGACCACGGCGAGCGCGAGCACTACGCCCGCCGACGCGCCCCCCGCTATTGCTCCGACGGGTACTTCCGCGCCCCGCGACTCTGAGACAGTCGCGAACGTAGGCACAGACGAGCCACTGGAGGTGATTGTAGTCGTAATGACGGGATGCGCGGGCACATCGACTGTCGTGAATGTAGGCCGCGCGCTCAAGCTTGCCGAGGTGCGAGCAGCGCTCGAGGTCGCGTTTGTGGACGTCGCGGGCATGAGGGATGGTGGGGTAGGGAGTGGAGAATGGGGGAGAAAAGGGACGAGGAGCGGCCTCGTGGGCGGGGGAGATATACTGGTCGATCATCTAGACTCTAGCGCACGCGCGATGGCGAGGAAGGCAGGGCCCGCGAGTGGCGACTGGCTCCTGCCTCGTGTGCGGGGGCTGATGTTCTCGAGCCGTGCCGCCCGGAGAAACTTACCATGCAAGGGGTGCTGTGCCGATTCATACAAAGGCACCAGCTCACACGGACACACAGAACGCACAAGGGAAGCAGAGAACGATCAGATACAACGCTCGGAGCAAGTATACATAGTACACAATCCATCGGCCTCGCCCTCCCCCCGAGGCACCGCACCCGCACACCTCTACTCGTCCTCCATCGCCGCGAGGGCCTCCTCGTTCAACGCCTCCGCCTCCGCCATCACCCGCTCCTCCAGCGTAGCCACGCGCCCGACCGCCTCTCGCCTCTCCGAGTCGAGCTCCGCGTACCGCTCCTGCAGCCTCCTCTCGCGCTGCTCCAGCTTCTCCACCTCCTCTTTCAGCGCAGCAAGCCTGATCGGCCCCATCGCGCTCTCGTTTGTCTGAAGCTTCGAGAAGCTTTCGTACTCCAGCTTCACCTTCTGCAGCTCCGAGAACGCGTCTTCGACGCGCTTCGCCAGCGCCTTCGAGCGCACCTGGTAGCCCCCTAGGATCTTGTTGAGCTTCGTCTCCGTCTTCCCGGCCTTGCTCGCCTCCTTCGCCATCGCATCGCGGTATGCTTCGAGCTGCATAGTGCAGCCCGCCACTCTCGCTTCGTGCGTGATGCTGCTGGGCTCCACCCATGAATTTGAGGCGACGTCGTAGACAAGCTTCTCGCGCGTGTGCACCCAAGAGAGCGACTCGTCAATGTCGTCAGGGTCGACCAGCGCCACGACCCCGCGCTTGAGCACGTCTTCGTTTGCGCCTGGATAGCCGAGCGAAGTCGCTAGTTCGTCGTGAATCAAGGATTTAGCAGTAGACAGGGCATCATCCGGCGGGATTTGGTATGCCGAACGAGACCCTCCAGGGTGGACCGTGCCGGGAATGGGATGGGCGATCGAATCGTGGTGCAAGAGATCAGCGATCTCCGCGTGCACCAGCTTGGACGCCGCGCCGATATCTGAGGACTCGTCGTCGTCCACCGTAAGGGCTGCCATGAGACGCGCGACATCCACATTGGCGGGCCGCGGGAGACCGCGCTGCACGACCAAGGTCCGCCGTGCGAGTGCCTTACGCTCCTCCTCTTCTCGTAGACGCCTGAGACGGGCGTCGCGTTCGGCTGCGTCCTCCTCTGACATCGGCACTCGCTCCGCATCCTCGTCGTCTTCGTCCTCCGGCACGAGCAGTTCAAAGTTGTTCTCCGGCTTCGGCAAGCTCATGAAGCCGGCCTTCAGAGCTCTCTTCGCCGAAGAAGAGCGGAGACGTTGTTCCCGCGGAGTATCGCCGACAGACGAGAACCCATCCTCCGCATTGAGCCGGAGACCGTCCCGCATTGGCGTGCGCATTGGACCTCCTGGAGTAGCTGAGACGTCGCGCGGTGTTGCTCCTGGCGCGAAGCCGCCTGCATGCAACGGCGTCGCGAGAGGGTTGGGCGTGAACGCGACCTGGTGGCGCGGGGTCGCGCCCTCGAACCCAGTACCGCCCTGCGGACCCACATGCATCGGCGTGTTCTCGTCTCCCAGGAGCGGGGTCTGGGTCATGGTCATATTGCGCAGGTTGCGTGCCTCTGACATCACGTTGTCGTCTGGTGAGAACATGTCAGTGAAGCTCACAGCTTCTAGCTAATAAACGTCACTTACACTGCGGGGCCGTCCGCGGTGTGCGCGCCATCTGTGCCTTCTCCAGGCCTTCGTAATCGTTTAGCAGCTTCGTACTTGCTTCCGTCCCGCCACTGACCAACGCTTTGGCGTTCTCGCTCGCCTGGCCAATCTTCACGATGTCTTCGAGCTCCTTCTCGCCGACCTGGGCAGCCGGGAGAACAAGCTGTCGCCGCCGTCCCATCGACTCCGCCTCCTTGAGCTTCTGGATCTGGGCGTCGCGGGCTGCGACAAACTTTGTCTGGTGTGGGGCCTCGCCCTTGCCGCCGTCCTTGCGCTGCCGCTTCCTGCGTTCTGCTTCTTCGTCTTCCGGCTTGCGCTTGTTCTCGAGCCGGCGTAGAGTCTGGCCGACAGGGGCCGTAGTAGCACGGGCCTGTTCCTCAGAGGTGTCGTAGAAGCCGGGCGCGGGTTTCTTCTCGAACGGGATGTCGGCATTGTACTACGCAACTGTGTATTAGAACACTGTGTCAGACCGTTAGACGTCAATCCACTCACGTCCATGCCTTTCTTCTTGGTCTTGTGGCGCATGCTACATGATATAGCCATTAATGTGGTGTTGAAGTTCGATGTCAAACAAGACGTACATGATACCCGCAGCCTTCAACTCTCGCTTCTTTTGCAGGACCGCCAGTCGCCGCGCCTCCTCCAACTGCCGTTCACGAGCCTTGCGCTTCGCCTTCTTCCCCTGCGTGTTCGCCAGACGAGCACGCGCTTCCGACAGCATCTCCTTTTCTGCGCAAAGGTTAAACACTCTGCGGATTGGAGCCCGCTAGTTTCAAGTGCACGCACCATCCTCGTCCATGTCGATAGGATCCGGCCGCGCAGGCTTCGTTTCCGGGTCAGGGTCGATTTCACCAGGTCGCAGCCTCCTGACGTCGTCTGCACTCGGACCCGCCTCTCCACCGGGCCCAGCAAGCCCAAACTCCTCGTTCTCCTTCATCTCCGCCTCGTCCAGTAGCTTCTGATAGCGCTCCAGGCATTGCGTGGCCGTGCGTCCGACAATGGGGGCAATGGTGCGCCATTGGGTGGGCATGAGCTTCGCGAGGTGCAGCAGCTTCTCGTCCTCCTCCTGCGCGTCGTCGAAGTGGGGCGTGAGCGACCTCTCCTGTACACTAGTCGCGTATTGCGCACCTTTGACCATTCTGTTTTCTTAATGGAGGGGTCCAGCCATTCGTACCACCGCGCCTTGCATTGCTTGGGCGTTTTGCGGACAAGCAGAGAGGATATGCGTGCCCTACAAACAGCAACGCACTGTGAGCACCTATCCGCCTGCGAGAAGTGGGGCGACGCACCATTGATTCTTGCCGTACTTGGCTATCGCAGCCTTGAGGACCTCGTCCTCCGTGTTCTAGCATACAACGTCAGCACGTAATTGGTGTTGAAGCCCAGCGCTCGAACGCACTTTCCACACGCCTGCAGGTTGAGAGCGAGATATGAGCTCAAGTTCATTGCGCGGCACGAGGCGTACGCACCTCCTTTGATGATGATTCGGACCATTAGGGAGATCAATAAGGAGAGTAGAGCAGGGCGGGGGTGGAGGAGATGGCGGTCAGAGACAACGGGAGCGTCAGGCGGCGCTAAACATTTCCGGATTCGGCCACTACGCCTCGCACGTGACCCCCACCAAAATGCTCGCCCGTGTCTCCCGCTCGATCACTCTTCCTCACCGGCCTGCTTGGTGTTCGCTGCTGCTTGTGCTACGATGCCTCCACGACAGAGCTCCCTCGCGTCCTCGTCAAAAAAGCGGAAGACGCGCGAGGCAGACGACACCACACTCACCATCCAAGCCCTCGAGAAGCAGCTCACCGCCGCCGTTTCCTCTGGCTCTTCTCTGAACCCCCTCGCTGACCTCCTCGAGCTCGCTCTCGACGCTGAGACTGCAACACAGCTCTCAAAGGCTGTATATGCACTCTACCGTGTCTTTGTGCTCATCATCTCGCGCGGTCTACTCTCTGGGCCGGATGCTTCGGAAGAAGCAAAGGCCGTCCGCACATGGCTCGTGGAAAGACTGCAGGCCTTCGTCGATCTCCTAACAGGTTTGCTGAAGGATGAGGAATCCTCCTTGAAGGTATGAAATAAATCATACGACTGGTAGCGTAACACTAACCTTGTGCAGATCTCCGCGCTCGACATCCTTCTCTCCCTCCAGAAACACCTTTCCTCCGCGCTCACCCGCGCAGGCGACGCCAAGCACCCACAATTCCACGCCTCACACTTCCGCAAGGTCGTCTCCGCACTTCTCCTCTGCCCCCCTTCCCCGCGCGCGCCTCCATCAAAGAAGCGGAAAGCCGACGGCGAGGCGTCGGACCGCACGCTCGACCCGGATGTGCGCGACCACTTCGTGAACACCTGGTTCAGCGTCCACGACGATGTCCGGTGGTTCTTCCTTCGCGACGCAGCGTACGGTACCTTTCCGCTCTCGCCACCGCGCTTCATACTGACACTCCGCGCGCAGCATCCTGATCTCGAAACACCCGCCCTCCGAGGCGCCCCAGCTGCCCGGCAACCTACTCTCCATCCTCGAGCGGCTCACGACGTTCCCGACCAAGGCCTCCGAGCTCAACTCCTGGTGGGTCGAGGAGCTGGGCACGAAGCCGCCCAAGCCCAAAAGATCCGCCCCCGGCGACGATGATGATGCAGACTCCGATGCCGCCGACGCGGGCGCGGACGAAGAGGACGACTGGCGCAAGTTCTTCGACGAGCCCGCAAAGCCCGCCGAGGAGAAGAAGGGCATCACCGCGCGCGTGCACACGCTCACCGTGCACCAGTCGCTCTACTCGCTCGCCGCGCACAAGGCCGTGTTCACGCGCGCGTGGCTAGCGCTCCTGCCTGTGCTATCTTCGGGCTCGCAGGAGGAGACGCGCGCGCGCTCACTGCGGGTGTTGAATGTCCTACATCGAGGTGTCATCCCGCATCTAACTCGGCCCATCCTGATCATGGACTGGGTGAGCTCCTCCGTGGACCACGGTACGTGGCCTCCCGCCAACTCAGTAATTCACCGGCTCACGAGTGCGTATAGGCGGGACGGTGGGCCTCCTGGCGCTGAACGCGCTCTTCACGCTGATGAAGGAATACAACCTGTGCGTTGTTCCCCGTGCTCGCCGAACAAAGCAAAGCTCACATCTTTGCTAGCGACTACCCGTCCTTCTACACGCGCCTGTACGGCTTCCTTGACCGCGACGTGCTGCACCTGAAACACCGCGCGCGCTTCTTCCGGCTCACCGAGCTCTTCCTCAGTTCGACGTCCGTGCCGCTCTCCCACCCCTCATCTCCGCTCCACTGACCCTTGCACAGGCACCTGCCCGCCACGCTGGTCGCGTCGTTTGTGAAACGGCTATCAAGACTGTCGCTGGCGGCGCCCCCCGCAGCGATAGTCATGCTGATCCCGTTCACCTACAACATGCTCCGGCAGCACCCCGCGCTGATGGCGATGATCCACCGCACGGACGAGGTCGCCGGGGCGGCCTGCGGTAAGCCCCTTCGATCTGTCAAATAGCGCCTTGGTCGCCGGCGACTGATGCATTGCTCCCCGATGCGCGCAACAGATGGCTTTGACGTGCACGAGGGGAACCCGACGCTGACGAACGCGCTGGAGAGCTCGCTGTGGGAGCTGTACAGCCACCGGGCACACTACCACTCTGGGGTGGCGTCGCTGGCGAAGGTGTTCGAGGAGGCGTTCACGCGGCAGACGTACGCGATGGAGGACTTCCTGGACCACACGTACGGCACGGTGCGTCTGTTCTTGCGCTTAATAGGCGTCGGCGGAGACTCACGGACTGTCTATTACAGCTGTTTGATACGGAAGCGAAGCGCAAAATCCGGAAGGAGCCCGCGACGGCGCTGGAGCTGTCGCAGGTGCCGGCGGGGGACGGCCTGGAAGAGTTGTGGACGTTTGCGTGACGTGCGTGGATCGCCGGGGACGTAGGACGTAATGCGAGAGCGTCGGGAGAGGCCCGATGCGGGGTTGGATAATGAAAGCGGGCGTCGGGTGACGAGTGTCGGTGCAGGGCCAGGACGGCTAGAGGAGCGGAAGCGATGCTGTGCTCGGTCTTTTGGCTGTGGGGCAGTCCGCCGGTAAATCGCCGGCGGAGGGCTAGGCGTGCTCAGGCGCCCGCCATCTCCGAGATGGTGCAAGAGACCGGGGGCGCCTCCGTTGTCAAACACACTCCGACGTTGTTCAAAACGCCTACGTTGAATGCCCGGGGAGTGCATGAATCACCGTTCCACTTCATAGATAGATGCGATTGATTGCACAGACGCCGATGCTGGATTTACCTCCAGCGTTGGCGTTCAATATGTTTGCAACGATCAGTAAGGCGATGTGCACAGCGCTTACCGGCGCACGGACGTGGCCTCAGTCCTCCGCGGATAAGTGAGAGCTCGCGAGGACTCGACGGCGGCGAAAGGAGAGCCAGGAGAGGACGGAAGAGATGCGGATGAGGGCGAGAAGGGCGCCAAGGGAGACGAGAGGAAGGATCGGAGCGCGCGTCGCGACATCGGCTGTCATTCTTAGAGTTTCCGGCGTCTCTCCACAGGCTGTGATCCTCAGCGCGGCCGCTCTCTTTCCCTATCATTTTTGCGCAGGCGGGCAGCGTCAGAGCGTCCAGATAGTGCTCCAGCAGATAGGGCGCGCGACGGTCGGCGGCGGCGCAAGGGGCGGCGGCAGGGGCGGGACGGTGGGCGGGACCCAAGGCCCGGGGAGCAAAGAATAGGCCGTGGCAGGCGTGGGTGACCGAAAAGGATGCCGGCCTTCCATCGCAGCTCGCCTGCCCCTCCTCCCCCGCCCGTCGTCTTTCCCCTTCGGTTCGAGCGATGGGAGCACCCACGCCCAGCGATCTCGGGGCTGCGGTGGTAGCTCGCTGCTCGGGGGGCGTGTAGGACGGATGGCAGGACGCTGAGGGAGAGGTGCGATTGGGACGGAAGGGGGTGCCGTAAGATGTCACCGGATGGGCCGGTGTCTTTCTGCAGCCCTAATCAGGCCGATTCCGGCGTCTTTTGCGCCTGGGAGAGAATGAAATTGGCCGAGTGCAGGGGCGGAGTCTGAAGTTGGCAGGCTGTGATTGGGTGTGCCTAGCGGGAGAAGTAGCCGGAGCGCGAAAGCCGGGGAATAAAGGACGGGTGCGGGTAAGCCGTGCTCCCGCATATATTCACCTCTCATTAATATTCCCTGGCCCTCTCTTGCCCTCTCTTCCCAACTCCCTTCCCCCGCCCGCCCCCGCCCCCTCCCTCTCCTCCTCTTCCTTCTCTCCCCCCTACCACCACCTCTCTCCCAACCACCTCCTCGACCCTTCCGCAGGTGAATCAGCCCACCCCGCCCCCCACCGCCCTCTATCACGAACCCTCTCCTCCGCTCTTCTCTCTAGTCCCCGCTGCCCCGCACGTTGCCCTCATGGATCCCCCATCTGCCGCCTCAAATGCACCGTCCGTAGTGTTCAATCGCATCTCTATTTCCCCCAATGACCCTCCTTGCCCTTTGTAGCGCAAAGACGCCCGTACACAGAGGTGCCCGCGCGTGCATGGTCTGTAGGCAGGCAAAGGTACCCGGCGCTCTCTCCAACCTTAACTGTCCCGCGTGCCAACCCTCCCCGTCCCCCCTAGATGAAATGTGTCGGCGCCGAGGACGGCACCCAGCGATGCCAGCGCTGCCAGAGGGCCGGTGTTGAGTGAGCTTCGATCTCTTCTCTCCCCCACATCTCCCCTAACACATCTGTCAGCTGTGTCTTTGAGAAGCACCGTCGTGGCCGCAAGCCAGGCTCAAAGTTCGTCGCTTTCCTACCGCTCCCTCTTGCTCCAGCTTATCTCCTCGGCTAGACTATCCGAGGCCTCCAAGATGCTCCGTCGCCTCGAAAAGGGCCTCAACAACGCAAAGGCAAAGCAGCCCGTCAACTCCCCGCACTCGCAGAACTCCCCCTCTGCCCAGTACGGCCAAGAGGATGGCGCCGGTCCATCTAACTTTCAGGGCTCATCTTCCCAACAGTACGACGACGACATGGATGATGAGGAGGAGGACCACACAGAGGAAGCCCTCTACCCTGAGAAGGTTATAAACGCCTCCCACAAGTCCTCCTTCCTCGACATCGTCATGAACCCCGAGCCTGCGACGACCTCTACCACTGAGTCCCGTCCGCGCTCGGGCGCCTCAGGGGACCGCGCGAACTCCTTGCCCAAGGTGGCTCAGAGTCCTACCCGCTCTCACGGCTCCCCTCAGCCGAAGCCCTACAGCGGCCTCTTCAACGGCTACGTTCCCAAAGACCCCATTGCCGCCGGCATCATCGACGAGGCCGACGTTAGCCAGTTCTTCGACATGTTCTTCTTGCGGCTCAACCCTTTCATCAATCTGTTCGACCCCGCCCTCCACTCGCCCGACTACGTCCGCAGCCATTCGCCGTTCCTCTTCACGGCCATGCTGATGGCGTGCTGTAAGTTCTTCAACCACAACAACTACCATGCCGTCAGACGTCTTGCCGAGGAGTGGTGCGTCTTCACCTTTGCCGAGGGCACCGAGTCCGTGGAGACCGTGCAGGCCCTCGCCTGCATGACCTACTGGAAGGAGCCGACCGACCGCCGGACATGGTCATACATCGGCATGGCCTGCCGCATGGCCGTGAACCTCCGTTTGAACAAGTACGTCGGCAAGCGCCAGCCCTCCGAGACGCAGCTGCATTTCTTCGAGCGTCGCAACCGGGAGCGCACCTACCTCGTGCTCTTCGTCCACGACCGCAGCCTCAGCATGCAGACCGGTAAGCACTGGATGCTCCACGAGGACGAGTTCGTCCGCAACTCCGCGACCTGGCACGAGGACGGCTGCTCCGGCGCCGTCAGTGAAGTGCGCCCCGAGGATGTCATCGTAGCGGCGTTCGTGCAGCTTCGCCTCACCGGCTCAGAAGCTACCGACTCGTTCTACAACCGTACGACGCTCCCGTCGCCCACCTTCTCCGCGTTCAACCACGATTTGAACAAGCACAACTCGAAGCTCGACTTGTGGTCCGAGAAATGGGAGCATGAGTTGCGCCGCTGTGAGTAGATCGTCCTCCTCCCGCAGTTGTTTTGCTCATAACTTGCAGCCCCGCAAACCGGCGAGTTCCACATCGCGTTCATTCGGTTCTTCCAGTCGCATGTTCGCCTCTTCCTGAACACGTTCGGCCTCAACCTGGCGAGCGCTGATGTACGCCCTTACATACCGTCCTCGCTGCGTGCTCCCACTAAAAGCGTGGTGCATTACAGACCCACGTCCTGCCCGACCCCGAGGCCGTTCAACAATGCCACCGCGCTGCGTGCACAAACTTGCAGATCATCACAGAGTTCGACAAGTTCCATGTGCTGGTACGTTGTATCGGTCGATGGCCCGCCTTTGTCTAACCGCGTACACTAGCCGTACTGCCAGGAGAGCATTAACATCATGACGGCTTACGCAGCAATCGTGCTTCTTAGGGTATGTACATAGTACGTGCTGGTGCCGAGGTTGCTCACTGTTCGTTCGGCAGCTTCTTCGCGTCGCGAGCGCGACGACGCACGATGATAGGACTGCCGAGCAGATTCACGGCATTGTGATCAGTGCCGCCGATGCCTACCAACACGCACACATCCCCGGCTCGGACATCGATTCGGCCGCTTACCACTCTCGCTTCCTCCGTCGCCTTGTGGCTGAGGACGTAGAGAAGGCGCGCCACCAACTCGATCGCAGCGTCTTCCGACAGGGAGAGATCCCGCCTTTGTTCGCACCAGGTGTGTTATCACGTCCGTTTGAGTTGTGACGGCAGAGGCTAACAGTCATCTCCCAACCAGCCCTCCCACCGTTGCGTACGGCGCAGTCATCCAGTGCGCAACACATGCCGCAGCAGGACTTCTACTCGCTCCCGCGCCCCGGCCCTTCGCACGGGCACTCGGCTGCACCATTGCCCCCGCTGTCGATGCTCGAACCCCCGAGCCACCATATGTCCGGCTTCCCCCCGCACAACAGCAGCCCCCTAGACGTTCGCGGAAACGGCGTGCTGCACAACGGCACCCGCGCTCCGCCAACATACCCCCAAGTGCAGTCTGTGACGGAATCGGACGACCACTACTGGGCCTACATGCACCATGAGGTTGCCGAATTCCCGCGCGCGGACGTCACAGCAGCAAATGTCGGGTTCGCAGGCAACCCCTTCAACAGCTACGCATCGTCGAGCCAGCACCGCGAGCCACAGTTCTCCTCTGGTTTCGGCGGGTACCCTCACAGCCGTTCGGGCCCCGCCTCGCACGCCCACTACCTCCCGCCCATGCCGTCGTTCGGAAACGCCGCCTACGATACCTCCCGCTGAGCTGCTGTTGTTGATCTCGCCTCTCCGTGTCCCCCGCCTGCCCCTCTGGACTCTTCGAGTCTCGCTTCTTGGTCGGACGGTCCCCTCGTCTTCGTCCTCGCCCCGCGCCCGTCTTCGCCTCGCTTTGTAGGAATGTAATCTCGCACGCGCCACCCGCTGTACCCTAGCCCCTCCTCTTCGCCCCCGTGCCATGCCGTGATGGTTTCTCCGCCCCCGCCCGCCGAACACGTCCCTCCATCCATGCCCTCCTCCGCCCGTCCTTCCTATACATATACGTCAGCGTGTCCATCGTAGTGCCGCAGTATTGTCGCTTTGTTAGTCGCATGTACAACACATCTGTTCTGAATTGATATCGTGCACGCCCCGAGCTTTTCTTCGGGCCCGAGGCCGCTGTATAGAGCACTCACTTTTGCACCGGAACGCTTCCGAACCGAATGATCGCGACCCGCGGACCCGAAGCGCGATTGCAAAGCGCGGGTGAATACGACGTCCATCCATTCTGTCCGCTACCGTACACAACACCTCCTCGGTCTGTACGTAAACCGCGGCGCCACACCCTACGAGTCCACCCCGATGTAGAACACGATCACCTCCCGCCCGACAGCCGCGACGATGCGCGGAATGCCCTTGCACGCGACGAAGTCGAACGCGCGCACGTACAGCGGGCGCGGCGCGATCTGGAACACGGTCGGCTGCGCGTGCACGTACGCGACGTTGTGGACGTGCAGGATCGCGCCCTTTGCGGGGCTGCTCGTCGACACCGCGAAGTAGTCCGGGTACGTCGGGCACCACCTGCGAGGAATGGTTAGCCCCAGTGTCCAGTGTCCAGCGTCCCGTCCCTGCAGTCTGCAGACACAGTGCATCACGCCATCATCACATCGTTCATAATGCCAGGCCAGCGTGCTGGGCGTGCCCACGGGCACTCCACGGTGTCAGCCCGCGGTCGCCAAGGCGCATTCACTGGTGCGTGGGCCGATTCTTGGCTGCGACCGCAGGCTGGCCCCGTGCGCGCGCGAAGCCCCCCAAAAGGGCCGAGAAGGAGGGACGTGGGACGGGCGTACCTGAACTGGCTGCCGCCTTCGGCAAAGCTCGTGCCCGTCACGAAGGGCTTGCCCCCCGCGAGGCTGCCCATGTCCCACAGCGCGAAGCGCGAGCCGTACGCGGCACCCACGCTGTGCACACACGGGCGTCGGAGGGGGCACGCAGGGGGGTTGGGCATGGATGCGCGGTCGGGCGAAGCGTCGGCGGAACGGGGGAAGCAGCGAAGGAGCGGGTGCAAAGTCAGCGAACGGGTTCTTGGCGCGCGCACCCCGAGGCCCAGGGGCCGGAGCACAGGGCGGGCGCGGAGGCGGGGAAGGGGAAGGGGTGCACTCACAAGTCAGCGGAGGGGTCGCGCCGCCAGGCGACTGATCCGGACCACTTCGCAGAGGGGCCGGCGAGGGAGTCTGCGAGCGCGCGGGGCTCGATGAGCTCGACGACGCTCGAGTTGCGCCAGCTGTCCTGCTCGTTCTCGTCCGGGTCGGAGCGCCAGTCGGTGAGGAAGATCGAGCCGCGGCAGTCGGACACGAGCAGCTCCTTGCTCGTCGACGGGTGCGCGTGCACGCTCGTGAGCGGGTGGGGGAACGTGATGACGTACGCGGTAGGCTGCGGGCGCGTGGGCGTGCTCGCGCCGGGGGACGGGGGCGAGGTAAGGTCGATCGACGGGTGGAGGTCCCACACCATGAGCATTTTGTCGTCTGTGGGTGTGTGAGCGCGCCGGGGGCGGGGTACTTCGTCCTCGGAGGCCACACGTACCTGAGACTGTGGCCACATATCGTGAACTGTCCTCGCTCCGCCCGCCACAGAAGGTCATGTCGTTCACCTTGCCATGATGCCCACTCATCCCGCCGCCGAACGGAAATATCTCCTCTTCTTCCGAAGCCGACTTCGAGAGAAGGTACAAGCTGTAATCCGCACCAGCTGCTGCAAGCCTGAGAACTGATGAACACACGCGACGCGTCGACATGTCCGGTGCGCGCACTCACTCTATTGACCAGTCGTCGGTAGACGAAGGTGAGCTGACGCGCGAGGACCAGGCGAGGGCGGTTATGCGGGATCCAATGTGGAAGTTTGCGATCGTTTTGCAGGATGATTCTGTCTGGGCAGGGCAAGAGATGAGGAGTCCGCGCGGGCCGGAGCGCGTCCGCCACTCACAAGGAGCAAGACCTCGACCGAGTGCGCGCCGCCGACCGCGATGAGGTCTGCCGCGTCGTCTTCGTAGCACGCGCGCACCGCGAACACCTCCGTTCCGTGCGAGTGTCGGACGTCCATTTTGGGAGAAAGAGCGCGGAGGAGGGAAGGAGGACGCGCCTGCGAGCACGTGCGCGGGGATCGTGGAGGGTGTTTGGTGTTGTTAGGACGGGAAGGCTCAGGGCAACAGGGCCAAACAGACGCCGTCTCTCCTTCCGATTTCGATGGCAGCACCACACAACAAGTTTCCGAATCCGTTCATCTTCCTCGGCATCTCCGCCCTCTCCTTCGCTGCTTTCTACGCAACCCTCAAGTACAGATCCATCACCTACCCCGCCTCTGCACAGCCCCGCCAGCACGACAACCCCCTCGTACCCCCGCGTCACAAGGAATAGAGCTCCTTCTGCCACCTCTGCATCATGCCTGCTATTGTCGACAAGATCGCCGAGGCGCTCCACATCAAGAAGCACGAGGCTGGCCACCCTGAACCTACCACGTCCACTGACGCTTCCGCTGCTCCTGCTACGACCTCTGGTGCTGGTCCGAAGTCACAGGTGTTCGATCATGAGCGGGTAAAGGTCTTCTTCGTACTCGGCGGTCCCGGCGCAGGTAGGACATCGCCTCCCAGTGCATTTAACACGCTCTAAGCGCGACACGTCAGGCAAGGGCACACAGTGCGCCAACCTCGTGAAGGACTTCGGGTTCTGCCACCTGTCCGGTATGTAACACACATGCCTCCATACCTGTCATGCTTAGACACCTTCAGCGGGTGACCTCCTGCGTGCCGAGCAAAACCGCGAAGGCTCCGAGTTCGGTGACCTCATCCGTAAATACATTCGCGAGGGCCAAATCGTGCCGATGGAAATTACTATCAAGCTCCTCGAGAACGCCATGCGCAGCGAGCTCACCCAGCCGCACGACCGCGAAGGCTGGGAGGACGGCCGGGGACGTTTCCTCATCGATGGGTTCCCGCGCAAGATGGACCAGGCTCTCAAGTTCGACGAAGACGTACGCTGTCTGCCCTGTGTATAATTTACGTTTATGTGCTAATAGTATGACGTCATGATAGGTCTGCCTGTCGACCGAGGTCCTGTTCTTTACGACGACAGAAGACGAGATGCTGAAGCGCCTGCTCGAGCGTGCCAAGACGAGCGGCCGTGAAGACGACAACGAGGAGAGCATCCGCAAGCGCTTCCGTACGTCACGCACTCGCAACCTCTTCCGGGTACCGCTGACGAATGATTCCGCAGGTGTCTACAAGGAGCAGACTATGCCTGTCATTGAGCACTACAGCAAGGAGGGCAAGGTTGCAACTGTACGTCAAGTACCCCAAATGTTCCCGTCCACACATGCTCATGTCGTCCCCAGATCGACGCGACGGCCACGATCGAGGATGTGCACACAAAGGCCCAGGAGATTGTGGCCAAGATCCTGGCTGGTGAGGTCGGCCGTAACATCACCGCATGAAGTAGCCACGCGCGAGGACGATCTAGATACCCGGCGGACGATATATAGAAATAACGCAGCATTGGTTTCTACATCTGTAACATCCAATTCGGAGCAAATCCCCATGATCGTACAAGCATTGGTATCTCTTCTACAGCGTGCTCTCCTCGAATCCTCCGTCCCGTTCTCGATTTTCTCAAGCATATAACGCGAAGCCGGTCTTGTCGTTCATAGGTGTCGCTGCCGTGCACCGTGCTTTGCCCCCTGCAGGGATGGTAAGGATGTCCCCGTCCGCGCACACGAAGTGCGCACGCTCGTCAGTGTCGTCCTGCATGTATAGGTCAGACCCCATTCTAAGTACGCCGAGGAGCAGCGACTTACCGGGTCCCATTCCCATCCTCCGCACCGCACATACTCGACGACTAAAGGCCCGTCTCCCTCCGTGGTAATGCTCCCGTCCTCCGCATACCGCAGCGCGACATGCGCCCCGTCCTGGTACGCCGCCGTAAGCACCGCGACCGCCTTCTCCGAGAACGCCTTACGCGCCTCCTCCGAGTCCATCGTATACGTCGGGTCCCACATCGGCCGCACGAACACCAAGTCCAGCGCGGCCGACCCCGGCTCCGGCGTGTCCTTCCCCTTCGGCGTGATCCTAAACGCCGGCTCGAGGCGGTCCACATTCACCGTCGACAGAAAGTACGCAAAGGGGCCGACGAGGTCCACGATCGGCTCGTCCTCGGAGCTCTCCTCGTGCGGCACGAACGTGCCCGCCGCGGGATCGTATACCTCGACGACCCCGGCGCCTGTGCGCGGGAAGAGCTTGATGGACGCGTAGTACCAGCGCGTGATGTTCTGCATCGCGGCGGTCTTGAAGCGGCCCATCGTCGGATCTTCCGTGCGCAGCGCCTCCGAGTCGTGCAGGATGGACGCGTGCAGCGCAGTCGACGCGACGACGGCAGAGATAGACACCTGCGGCGCCGGGGCTTTGGCCGGGGGTGCGGCACGTGGCGGTGAGATCACGTTCACGGCGAGATTGAGGGGGAAGGAGCGGTGGGTCCCGGAGGCGAAGGCGCGGACTGACTTGAGCTTGTACTGAATGGGATCGTCGTTCGCGGAGGGCGGGAAGAGCGAGGAGTAGAGCGCGTTCGCGGTGCCTGCGGGGACTAGCGCGAGGTGTATCCTCGGAAGGGGTTTGCTCGTCGGGGTGTTGTTGAGCTCGTTGATCAGCTCGTGGAGCGTCCCGTCGCCTGAACCTAGGACGACGGAGACAGGCTGCTCCTGGTCGCCGGACGAAGCCAGGAAGTCTGCGACGATCTTGCCAGCATGGCCGCTACTTTCCGTTGCGACAACCTTGTCCGGTGTGATGTTGTGCTCCGCGAGAAGTGGGAGGACATGGTCGTCGAAGAGAGCCTTGGCGGAGCGGTCTCCACAGACGGGGTTGTAGATAACGAGCACGGTCATCTCCGCGTTATCTATGCTTCGAGCTGGTGGTTGTTCCTACCCAAGATTATGAGCTAGATACCTCATAAGATTGCTGCAATACTGACCTGTGTGCAGTGGGGGTGTAGTGGGAAGGGACAGACGGGTGAATCGATGAACGACTGTTAGGCGATCGCCCGGCAACCAGTGCTACGATCTGCATCTCCCGATTCGATCGTTGCGTCATTTCAGGGTCATCCCCGATCATATCTTCATTATTACTGCTTTTCACCGGACATCTTATCTTATCTACTCGCACCCTCTCGATAATCGACTCACCAGGGACGACGGCGGGCCGCGAGCCTTGGACGGCCTCACGCATGTCCCTCCTACTATCCAGGATCGCACCCCACTCTCTCGTTCGGTCTACATCACTTGCACGCGCCATGTCATCAGCTCCGACGTTCAAACCCTTCAATCTCGCTCTCATCCAGCTCGGACAGATTGGGGCCGACAAAGACGGTGCGCACCCTCACTATCGACCGCACCGTATCCATTCCTCCAACACACACCTTCGATAGCCAACCTCAAACATGCGCGAGAAATGATCAAGAGGGCTGCAGGCGCGTCGCCTAAGCCCGATCTTGTTGTCTTGCCGGTAAGCTCATGCCACCGCGTTCCTAGTTCGCCGTATTCACCCCCATGCGCAGGAATGCTTCAACTCCCTGTATGGATACTTGAAGTTCCCCGAATACGCGGAGACGATCTCGTATACGCCTGGAGAGCCCTATGATGTCGCGGCTTCCGAGAGCCAGACAGTCCAGATGCTCTCTACTGCTGCTAAAGAGGAGGGTGTCTGGCTCATCGGAGGTGGGTAGCAATATTGAACTCTGAAGGCATTCGTTAACTTGGTATATTCTTAGGGACCATTCCCGAGCGCGAGGCTGGTACAGGGAAGCTATACAACACCGCTACCGTGTACTCTCCGCAAGGTGCGCCCTTCCATTCACACCGGGAATCGCAGTACTCATCTTTTGCGTAGGGGAGCTGATCGCAACGCACCGCAAGGTCCATCTTTTCGATATCGATATTCCCGGGAAGATCAGGTTCAAGGTGAGCAACTCAGCATCTGCTGTAGCTCACCGCCTACTCACATATCGTGGCACAGGAAAGCGAGACCCTCAGCGGAGGCACTACGATCAACCACTTCGACACAGGTAATACACAGGCACGCATGAACCAGTCCGAAGCTGACCCGCTGCGCAGAATTCGCGCGCATTGGATTGGGAATCTGCTACGACGTCCGCTTCCCTGAACTGGCCGCGACCAACGCGCGACAAGGTCCGCCTGCACCTTCACTTTCACACCGCGCAGTTTCGTGCTCACCTTTCCCGCACCCCAGGATGTCAGGTGCTGATATATCCTAGCGCCTTCAACACCACGACCGGGCCTCTCCACTGGGAGCTGCTCAATCGTGCGCGGTACGTGCATGGGAATGTGGTTTCGAAGCCTAGACTCATGACGATCGTCGCAGTGCGGTCGACAACCAAGTATATTTCGCCATGTGCAGCCCCGCCCGTGATCTCACGCAAGGATACCATGCTGTGAGTAACGCAGTGCATGCAATGCAAGTGTGGGTAACTGAGTACATATCTAGTGGGGACACTCAATGCTCGTCGATCCAATGTAAGGCGCACCGCACGCGCATAGGATTAATCTGACCAGACTGTGCAGGGGCAAGGTGATCGCAGAGACGGAGCACGACGAGGACATCGTATACGCGCGCGTTGGTAAGTACCAGGACAGGTAGAGATTCGAGAAGGGTCGGAGCGCTGACTGAGAACATGACAGATCCCAAGACGTTCGAAGAGGCGCGTGCGGGGATTCCGGTGACGACGCAGCGGCGGTTCGACGTGTATCCGGATGTCAGCAAGGGCCTGTAGTCGTAGTAGCATCGCCCGTGGCCGAAGCAGTGTGCTCGCAGTGTACTGCAGTGACAAAGGAGTTCAAGTGAGGGAGACTGCGATCGGATTGGAGGGCGCCTGCCAGAAAAGGGAGTGATGGCGGACGAATGTTCGAGGGCCTTCGATGCGTTTCGATCGCGGCCGCTGCTTTTATCGCCTGCGCTGAGCGAGCCACCGTCTCCCTCTCCGTCCCATCCTCCCTCTTTTCTCCGTCTGTCTGTACACCTCCCGAACCCCCTACATCCCCTCCTTGCGACCCAGACATGGTCAAGGAAACGTAGGTCCCCCGCGCCCGCCCCGCGCGATCGCTTAATCTGATCCCGCCACAGCAAATTCTACGATCTCCTCGAGGTCTCCCCAGATGCCTCCGAATCAGAGCTCAAGAAAGCGTACCGCAAAAAGTGTGTCTAGATGCCCCCATCTCAGCCTGCCATGATCGCATTTTAACCCGCCGGGCTCTAGGGCGCTACGACTCCATCCAGACAAGGGCGGCGACCCGGAACTCTTCAAGGAAGTGACCCACGCGTACGTCATTTCTTTCGTCAGTCATTAGCGTTCCCGCCTCATCATATCCTCTGCATCCGTGCCCGAGCAGATATGAGATCCTCTCCGACCCCCAGAAACGCTCGGCGTACGACACACGAGGAGAGGCCGGTCTCAGCGATGCAGGTGGCATGGGTGGCATGGACCCACAAGTACGTCGTGTCCCGGTGGCGTCGCAAAAAAAATCCAGCCTCTTAACCCCCGCTCCAGGACCTCTTCAGCCAGCTATTCGGCGGCGGCGGTTTCTTCGGGGGCGGCGGCGGGCCCTCGCGCTCGCCCGGGCCCCGCAAGACAAAAGACCTCGTGCACCGCATCCACGTCACGCTCGAGGACCTCTACAAGGGCAAGACGACGAAGCTCGCGCTCACGCGCAACGTCATCTGCGCCAAGTGCGCGGGCAAGGGCGGCAAGGAGGGCGCGGTGCGCCAGTGCACGTCGTGCTCCGGGCGCGGCGTGAAGATCACGCTGCGGCAGATGGGCCCGATGATCCAGCAGCTGCAGCAGCCGTGCGACGACTGCAACGGCTCGGGCGAGATCATCAACCACAAGGACAAGTGCAAGCAGTGCAACGGCAAGAAGGTGCTCGCGGAGAAGAAGATGCTCGAGGTGCACATCGACAAGGGCATGAAAGGTGGCCAAACGATCACCTTCCGTGGCGAGAGCGACCAGGCGCCGGGCGTCACGCCAGGCGACGTGATCATTGTCATCGAGGAGCGGCCGCACGACCGCTTCAAGCGCCAAGACACCGATCTGTTCTACGAGCAGGAGGTCGACCTGCTCACAGCGCTGGCTGGTGGCCAGTTCACGATTCGGCATTTGGATGACCGCGCACTCGTGGTCACTATCCCCCCTGGAGAAGTCCTCAAGAACGGTGAGTAGCTAGCGGAAGCAAAAACCCACCCTTTCGTTGCTGACCTCTTTGCAGACGATCTGAAGGTTATTCACGGCCAGGGCATGCCCTCACAAAGGCATCACGAACCTGGCGACCTGTTCGTGCGCGTATCGGTCAAGTTCCCCGATCACATCGACCCCACAGTCATCCCCCTGCTCGAGCAGGCGCTCCCGCCGCGGCAACCGGTGGAGAAGTTCGCGGGGAACATCACGCTCGAGGAGGTCGAGCTGGACGAGGTCGACCAGCGGCAGCGCGAGCGCGCGTCCGGCGAGGACGCGATGGACGAGGACGACGAGCAGCCGCGCGTGCAGTGCGCGAACCAGTAGAAGGTGCTTGGGCGATAGAAGAGGCCCGGGGGTTGATGTAGGATGAGTCGCTGTTTGTCGATCGCTGTTGCATTGTCTGCTGCATACCTTTCCATTTCATCCGTATTATACGTCGCTTAGTAGCAACACTCGCTAGACTCTGTGACAGTACACTGTGTTATAGCGCAACATCGGTACCACCGTGAATGGACTTGACGTTGGATCTGACATCAGACAGAGTGTGCAGCATCGAGAGCATTGAGAGAGACCAGCATCAAGAGCAATGTGGCCATATGCATAACGGGCCGAGAGAGGCGATCGTCCCGCGCCTTTTCGGGCATCGTTGCTGGCGTCTGGGAGCCAACTGGGAGCTGAACGCAACGTTCACGGGCTCTTCACCAGTCTCACACCTCCTTTCATCCTCTCGCGTCCACCCGGCCCTGTGCACGCCCAATCTCCGCTCCTACCCACCCAGCGCCGTCCCCCGCGCTCCAAGGGACATTCGCACCATGGCCCGCGCACGACGCCGTTCCGGGAGAACGCAAACCGAGAAGACGCCGGACACGGTAGGCGCCACCGATGACGATGCACAAACTCAACCAGCGCAGGAGGACAACGGAAACGGGGAGGACAACGGCGAACGCGACGAGGACGACAAGTGCCCAGCGTGCAAGAACACCGTGCGCCCCGAGGGCGAGCCGATTATCGCCGCGGACAAGGAGAAATGGGTCCGGTGCGACGCGTGCAAGACGTGGTTCCACTGGCGGTGCGTCGGCGAGGGTGGTGACCTCGACACCATCGGAAAATGGTCAGTTCTCTCGCCTTTGTAGTACTTTTCCGTACCGCGGCAGGGCTTTCGAGATAGATGGAATCTCATGTATGCTGGTTAGGTTCTGCCGACCGTGTCTCGACGCGGATCCCGCGCGGGTGATCACGATGAAGCCCCCAGCGCGCAAGTCCGCGCGCAAGAAAATGCAGCGGGACTACGCAGGTCTGAATGCAGGAAACGAGGCGGACCCGAGCCGCTTTCTGCGCATGATGGAGGGCAAAGTTATCAAGCGCGACCCGTTCGCGCGCATGCCGGGCAGTGAGGTCGGGATTGAGTGGCTGGAGGGCGATGAGAGCGCCATGAAAGAGCCCATTCTGGTGGAAACGGAAGAGGGCCTTGGGATGAAGATGCCGCCTGCGGGGTTCACGGTGGACGATGTGGTCGAGGCTCTGGGCGAGGACCATCCAGTCGAGGTCATCGGTGCGTGTGCATATATGAAGGAGTTGGCGCGTGTGTGTGCGCGCCGTAGTACCGAAGCTTATATGTCGTCATATTGGTTGCTGCGTAGACGTTGCAACGCAGTCAAATACCCCAAACTGGACGCTGGGCAAATGGCTAGAGTACTGGAATACAGAGCCCTCGAAGCGCGACAAGATACGCAACGTAATCTCCCTCGAGATATCGGGCACACCCTTGGCCGACAAGGTCCTGCCGCCAAGGATTGTGCGCGAGCTGGACTGGGTGGAGAAGTTCTGGCCAAACACAAAGAAGGGCCGTGGACATAACTATCCAAAAGTCCAGTTGTACTGTCTCATGGGTGTTGGCGGTGCGTGGACAGTAAGTCGCCGCGGTCTATGTTCGTTCTGTGTAGCTCATTCGCCTGCCCCAGGATTGGCACGTTGATTTCGCGGGATCCTCGGTCTACTATCACATCTTGCATGGATCGAAGGTATGTGTAGAATATACGGCGCAGTCGATCGGTACGACACGGTTGCTAACCCAGTGCAGGTCTTCTACTTCATCCGCCCTAGCCATGCGAACTTGGCCGCTTACGAACGGTGGTCAGGAACTGAGGTCCAGAACCATTCGTGGCTCGGCGATATGTGCGACGAGGTGTTCAAGGTCGAATTAACAACCGGGAACACGATGATCATCCCTACCGGCTGGATACATGCGGTCGTGAGTTCATTCGCGTCTTCTTGCGTCCAGCTTCAACTCATTTTGTTCGACAGTACACACCTGTCGACACGTTGGTCTTCGGAGGGAACTTCTTGCATTCATATAATGTCCCGACGCGTGAGTTCGCACTCCAACGCTGCATTGCTCTATGCTTATCGAATGCACCACAGAGCTACGCGTGCGAGAGATCGAGATAGCGACACACGTCCCGAAGAAGTTCAGGTTCCCTTTCTTCGCAAGGTAGACCCGCAGCTCCACCGTGTATATGACGCACACTAAACTCAGTGCAGACTATGTTGGTATGCCGGCGAGAAGTACTTGCGCGACCTCAAGGCAAAGGAGGAATTTTCGCCCCGAGTCCTCGACTCCGTGGAAGCTCTCGCCGAGTTCCTGGTGGCCGAGTCGCGGACGATAGAACGCGGCGTAGATCCCGCGAAGCGCCAGGCAAAGGAGGAAGTCCCGGGCGACCGCATCAAAGACGCACCCGCTCTTGCGCGAGAGCTGCGCTGGCGGGTGCGGCATGCAGCCGGGTACGCGAGCGACGACGACGGCCGGAGTCACCGCAAAGCGAAAGGCGCAGTCAACGGCGACGGCAGCACGAACGGCACCGGCAACAAGCGCAAGCGTACTGCCTTGGATGAGGACGGCATCGAGCTCTTCCGGAATTACAAGCGGGCGTCCTGGGATCGGGTGGAGGATCGGCCGACAGAACGCGAGAGCAAGCTGATGAAGGCGCGGAGACCAAACACGAGGTCAAAGGACTGGGTGGGCGAGTGGACAGGCGAGGACGTGAAGGAGGATCAGGAGGGCGGGGATGAGGTGCACGTAGAGCGGAAGCGGGACGTGATCGTGAAAGTGCGCAAGACGGCGAAGGGGTTGGAGAGGCATAGGGTGGAGAGGGTGCTCGAGAACTGGGTGTGGCATGCGAGCCCATCCTCAGCTTCGTCCTCTGCGCCGAACTCGAAACGGGAGCCTATAGCGGATGCTGGGCAGACTGCGGAGGACCCACCGCCCGCGGCGTCCTCGGTTGGGCCAACAGATCCGGACTCGGTAATGCATGAAGCTCAGGAACATGCACCCGCACCGAGCACGGCGAAGGAGGAGGATGGCACTGCGTTAGTGACAGTGAGCGCAGGGAGTTGATTGGTGCAGATAGGATTATAGTGGTATCATTATTGGCTGTCCACAGACGTGGCTGTATATATATTCTGCTTCGCCCCTCGTGAACGATGCTTAGCGGACAGATGTGAGCACGCGGGAGTTGGTGATGCATGGGACGGGTGAGCCGAGGACAACGTTGGGCAGCTGAGGAGACCATCATATGCAGACCCGTAGCGCCGGCTGTGCTCCGTCTTCTCACTTCTGTCCCTCTCTCCACATCCATCTCCTCCTCTCCCCCTCCCCCCGGCTCCCGCCCATCCTGGTCGCTGCTGCTTCCGGTCTTGCTCTTTCTTCTGGCACTCATCGCGTGTAACGACCGTCCAGCCCTCGGTGAACGCGATGTCCGACCAGCAAGAACAGCAGCCATCCTCTCCTCCCACAGACAGGCAATCCCGTCGCCAAGGTATTCCTCCCAACGGCCAGCAATGGAACAGTCCCCCTCTCCCAGCCCAGGATGACTATTCTGCTCACGGCGGGCCTCCTGATCCCGACGACTGGCACGGCCACTCAAACGGACAAAATGGACAGGATAACAGTGAGCCCCAATCACGCCTCACGCGGCCGCGGAACGTCCTAACAGTCCCTCTCCACCGCGATGTAACTCTCCCCCGTGAGCAGCGACGCAGCCCCTCATGCTACACCACAACCGCTCCGTTCCTACGATCAATACCCAGATCCAATATGATCAGTATCAATATGGAGAACATGACACCGTCCCTCCATTGCCACCGCCATATGACCCCAACAGCGTCGCGGACCAGTTCGGTAACATGCATATCGGCCAGCGCGGACCTCCCTCCAGGGGCCCTCCCGTAGGCGATCCCATCCCTCGCGCCGGCACATCCATGTCTGTTCGCTCTATGCAGTCTCCTCAGCGAATGGCCCCATCTCTGGGCGGCGGTCTACCCTTGTCTCCCGACCAGATGCGCCGGTACCCTCCCGGTCGTGACGGCCAACTACGCTCGAACTCGGTGCACTCTGGCGGCAGCGGAAATAGCGGCTATGTGAGCATGTATAGCGACGGACACGACTCGCTCCCCCCGGACGCGTCCACGGAGACAGACGGCACGAGCATATATTCATACGAGGACCCTATGTTCCAGCCCGCGCATAACGGATATGCACATGGTGGGTACCCGCCCCCGCCCCCTGGCTGGCAGGGACATGGTGGGCCCCAACCTCAGTACAACGTGTCGCCTCCTGCCGGCGATTTCAACCATCTCTATGCTGCGGCGTCGGATGTGCTCGGCATGGGACCTCCTCCTGGTGGTGCCCCGCCACCTCCGCCGATGAACCATCAATACGCCCCAGGACCGTCTGCGTCTCCCTATCCTCCTCCAGGTCCATCGCGCGGACCGTACCCCCCTCCAGGTCCCTCTGGTTCACCTTACCCGCCCCCACCTGGACCCTATGGTTATCAACAAGGTCCTGGCGGCCCGATGCCCCCTAGTCAGTCTGTACCCTACCTCGGCCCGGGGCCATATCAGCCTGGTCCACCGGGCGCATATCCCCAGGGATCACAAAGCAGTCTGACTAGGGGACCATCCAATGCTTCGTCCTTCCAGCAGGGCCTCCCTCCTTCACAAGAAGAGCCCGACTTCGAGATGAATCGTCCGCGCTTGCAACGCTCAGAAACGACTGCATCCGTGAATCTTCGCACGCAAAAGACGAAAGCGATAGACCTGAGCGCGCCGCCGTACACGAAGGAGTACATTGATCAGTACCGCCAGCGAATTAAGGACGACCCTGATCCGGAGGCGCAGTTCCAGTACGCCAAGTACCTGATCGACGCGGCGAAGAAGATCGGGCAGGACGCGAAGGAGCAGCGCGGGCTGCGCAAGTACCGCGACTCGCTCATCGCGGAGTCGCTCAAGGTCATCCGCCGGCTCGCCACACAGGGCCAGCCGTACGACGAGGCGCAGTTCTTCCTCGCGAACTGCCACGGGACGGGCATGCTCGGGCTGCAGGTCGACCACGAGCGAGCGTACCACCTTTACCTGCAAGCCGCGAAGCAGAACCACGCTGCGGCATGTTACCGTGTTGCTGTCTGCAACGAGATCGGCGCGGGCACGAAGCCAGACCCGCAGCGCGCCGCGGCCTTCTACCGGAAAGCAGCTTCTCTAGGTGATACAGCGGCGATGTACAAGCTCGGCGTTATTCTCTTGCGCGGACTGCTCAAGCAGCAGCCCAACCCACGCGAGGCGATCGGCTGGCTGCGACGCGCGGCGGAGCAGGCGGACGAGGAGAACCCGCACGCGCTGCACGAACTTGCGATGTTGTACGAGAACCCTAGCTCAGGAGTCGTCCCATGCGACCCCGCGTACGCAAAGGACCTCTACACGCGCGCAGGCCATCTCGGATACACGCACTCGCAGTTCAAGCTCGGGCAGTGCTACGAATACGGGACGCTCACGTGCCCGGTCGACCCGCGGCGGTCAATCGCGTGGTACACGAAAGCGGCGGAGAAGGGGCACTCGGAGGCGGAGCTCGCGCTGAGTGGGTGGTACCTGACGGGCAGCGAGGGTGTGCTGAAGCAGAGCGACTCGGAGGCGTACCTGTGGGCGCGGCGCGCGGCGAACAAGGGGCTAAGCAAGGCCGAGTACGCGGTCGGGTACTACGCGGAGGTGGGCATCGGCGTAAAGCAGGACGTCGAGTTCGCGAAGCGGTGGTACATGCGTGCAGCAGGTCAGTTCTTTCCTATCAGTTACGCATTTCTTGAGTCACTCATCTTAGCTCGTCACCTTATTCAGCGCAAGGAAACAAGAGGGCGATGAACCGACTGACGGAGATGAAGCGGAATGGAAACAAGCGGGCGAACATGGCACGGCCGACACGTCAGGACGCGAAGGACGAGTGTGTGATTGTATAGCGACGGTGGGCTCGGAACGCTTGTGTTCGCTGTGTGGGCTGGGCTCGTCGTCGTCGCGTCTGCTTTCTGCAATTCGGTCAATTGGTTCTCGATCTTATCTAATCTTGCGAGTGTGGCATTACGACATACGTACTACTCTGTACATACCCTTAATCCAGACCATATCCGTCCTCTCCTTCCCGCTCGCACCAACACCCCTCCAAACGCCTCCAAAACTTCTCTATCTACAGGCGCAATGGCTGAACCGGAGGTACATATATACGATGGGTCCCCGATCGCCGTGTTCGGGACGCGGTGGCGCGAAAACGGCTGCTCACTGACCTCGCGTGCTATGGCAGGTTTCGCTGCTCGAGTACCTTGACCTCTCGCAGCTGACGTGTTTGAACGAGTCGGAGGAGCACACCTTCAAGACGATTGTCGCTGACAAGAAGCCCAACTCGGGCAGCGCGTACGTCCTCAGCGACGCGGACGAGCAGCTCCTCCTCAGCATCCCCGTACGTCCCGCCACCCGCCGCTCGCCCCTCAATGGCACTGAGCATATTCTCCCGCCTATGCATGTATGCACCCCACGCCCACACCCGCTCTGCGTGCACCCCGCCCGCCCGAACCCCCGCCGCCGCCACAGTTCAACCAAGCGGTAAAAGTACGCTCGATCGCGATCCGGAGCGCGAGCGAGGCGCAGGCGCCGCGCACGCTGCGGCTCGTGACGAACAAGCCGTCGCTGAGCTTCGACGACGTCGAGGACGGCGCGAGCGTGCTGCAGGAGCTCGAGCTCTCCGCGGACGACGTGCGCGAGGGCCGCCGCGTCCCGCTCCGCTTCGTGCGCTTCCAGTCCGTGAACTCGCTCCACGTGCGTAGTCCCCCCGGGATCCTCTCAGCACGATTTTATGGCTGGTGCGTGGTGCTGACGGGCGATGGGGTGCGTTGGACAGATATTCGTGGTGTCGAATCAGGGTGGCGAGGACGAGACGCGGATCGACTCGATCGACATCTTCGGGATGCCGCTGCAGTACGTCTCTCCGTGCAGAACCGCAGGCGAAAAGCGTGCTCGAAGCTGACTTGCCTTGCAGAGGAACGAGGGACGTGAGCGGGTTGAAGAAGGTCGAGGACGAATGAGAATGATACCACCGCCGGAGCACGCCCAGAAAATAATAGTCAGCAGCGCCACTGTACGCATGTATACGAAGACGGGACCCTGTAGAGCACCATTGTACCACCCCAAACGTGCTAGACATCAACGATCGCATTGAATCTTCGCAAACCGTCTAAGAGCCTTGCGTGAAGCTACATATGATACACAGTGTACTACAAAGTGCCACAGAGTCGACGAAGCCTACCGCCGTCTAGCTACTTCCCGTCGATCTGCAGCCACATCCCCCATCGCCTCCTTGCCTCCTCGTCGCCCTCGAACACGAAGTTCACCGTCCGGACCTCCGCAAAGCCCTCCTCAACCTGCGGCTCCTCAAAGTCCGCGCGAAAGCCCGTAAAGGCGCCATACGGCACCAGATCGCGCTTGGGCTGCGCCCATCGCGCCTGTCAGCAGGGTTGCTCGCGTTAGACCCCGGGCAGCACGGGCAGACAGATAGACTCACCTCGGCTGCGGCGAGCGCGGGCGGGAGGGCGAACGCGCGGAACAGGTTGTTGTGCCACGCCAGCTCGATCGAGCCCGCGAAGTAGATGCACCTGCGCCCGGTCAGCAGTGTACGTCGGTAGCGAAGAAGAGGCGGGTGCGGCGTCGGCTCACCTCGCGGGCACGTTGTGCTTCTTCGCGAGCGCAATGTAGAACTTGCGCGTCGCCTTGTCGCGGTTGGTGTTATCTGGACATTATATGTGTCAGACGACCACTGTTTGGAGATACGGTTGCAGAGTGGGGTCGCTCACCGACGACGACGCTCTGCCCGTCCGCGAGCGCCTGCTCGGCCGCCTTGACGCACTTGTCGCGCGTCTTGAGCGTGTCCTGGTTGACATGCACGTACCCCGCGTCCGCAAAGTGCGCGCGGAAGAAGGACGTCTTGCCGAGCGCAGGGTAGCCCACGAAGACGACGAGCTCCGGGGACGACGGCGCGGGGAGGAGCGGCGGGTCTGCGGGCTCCATGCGCGGTGCTAGTGCGAATTCGCGTGAGCGAGACACGGGAGAAGGGGATGCGCGCGATTTACCGTCTGCGGGAAGCGAGGAGACGTTGAACCCAGGTATGACGTACTTGGCCGCAGGGAGGCCGAGGAAGTACTCCTGCGGGACAGATTCGATCAGACGCGCCGAGCATGAACGCGAGTGCGCACCTCTGGCGTTTGGAAGGGGATGCCGATGTTGAGCGCGAGCTTGCGGTCGGTGGAGGAGTGGTCGCTCGGGCGGCCAGCGGCGTCGCCGATGAAGAAGGACGCAGCGAGATCTGTCAACCATGTCAGGGAGTGTGCAACGGAGGCGTACGGTGCCGACCTATGTGGACGCCGTCCTGGGCAAAGATGCGCTCGAGCTCGTACCACATGCCGGGGATGGGTTTCCGATAGCCATCCTTTTCGGTTGCGGCGAAGAGGCGGAAGGGGACGTCCGCGAGCTGTCAGTGGATGTCAGTTGCGAGATGTGGTACCTCGCACTAGACGCACGGCAGTCGCGATGAGAGGGATTTTCTTCTTCCAGTCGTTTATCTGGGCCTGCGTACGGAGAGCCTGGTTCGTGAGGATCACTATGGAGTACCTGCGGGAGAAGGATCAGCAAGGCAGGGAAGGTGGGCGGATATACGTTACCCTTCATCGTGGACTTGTTTGAGCTTCTTTGGGACTATGGGACGCCACCACTCGAACTTGGGCGGGGCGCCCTTCTTCGGAAAGGTGCCCTGGATGAGGCAGCCATCGAGGTCGAAGGCAGCGACCTTGGCAGACGGCTTCGGGTCACCGCTGATGGCATGCAGGCAGGAGCGCCTGGGCCCGAGGGCGGGGGAGAGCCAGCGGAAGGCGGACGCGCTCTCGACGGAGCTGGACTTGTCGAAGAGCGGGAACACTGCGACGCTCGTCAGCGATAATTGCTGCGGGAGTTGAGAACATACGCTTCGGTGCTTTGCGTGATGGGCCGGGGTCTGGGGAATCGAGGGCGCGTTTCCGAGTGGAGCCTGGCGATAAGCGGGCGTCAGCGCATTTCGGCTCTTTTGTGAGCTGGCCCTCGCACCTTCTCCAGCTTTGGACATGGCGCGCGTGAAGCAGGCCAGCGACCGCGGGCAGACGCGTCGGGGAAGGAGCAGCAGAGTGGCGGACGACACGTGCGGAGAAAGGCAAAGAGACTCGCGGAGGAAGAAGCCGGGCGATCGGAATGACGCGCGACGCGTCTGTGGCGTCGCAGTGCAACAGGATCAACGACGACGGTCATCGCTCGTTTATTATCTCAGACATAAGTATGCGCCTACAAAATTAATCCGCCCGCCCTCCTCCCCGGCGACATGTCCTCCTTCTACCGCGACTCGTCCCCCATCCTCGGCGACCCCGCCCCCGCCCCCTGGCTCGCCCGCGCAAAGGACATGCGCCGCAGACCGCTCCAGTTCCGCCAGATCGTCGTCGCTCTCGCTGCTGTCGTCTCTGTCCTCCTCCTCGCCACCTACCACCTCCGCGACTCGACTCCAGCAGCCCAGTCGCTCGATATCCCCTCGCCGCTCGCAGACCACGATGTATCATACCGCCCGGCCTTTGACGACGCCCATGCGCGCATACCCCACGGCCACCATATACCTGCAAAGCCTACGACTACCCAACCTGAGCCCTCCACGGCTACACCACAAGAGCTCGCGGCCTCGCTGCCCGCACCCGACCCAGTCACCTTTGCCCTCATCATGTTTTCCGAAGGATCGGCCGCAGAAGGCGCTGTTCTCATCAAGGTACGCTCGCACAGGCACTTCGCATGCTTTAACTAACATCGGCCCAGTCCATCATCTTGTACAGCTCAAGTCCGCTGGAATTCCACATCATCTGCGACCAGACCGCGCAAGAGTACCTCGAGAAACGCCTCACGCTCCTCACACACCCCCAGCACCCCATCCTCGTCCGCTTCTACCGCATCCCGCGCGAGAGCATGGTCGCCCGCATCGACCGCGAGGGCGCCATCAACACCGACCACGCCGCCGGCGTCCGTACGTGCTCTCACCTCCATTGCCCATCCCTCGCTGACCCCGCGCACAGCCGGGCTGATGAAGCTCTTCATCCACGAGATCCTCCCCGCGTCCGTCACGCGCGCCATCTTCGTCGACACCGACGCCTTCTTCGTCTCCGACCCCGCCCAGCTCTGGGCCCACTTCCGCGCCCTCGCACCCGACACCGCGATCGCCATGCCCTTCCACCCGGACCAGTCCGAGCCCGAGTGGCATAATGCGAACCGCATTTGTTCCTGCATTATGCTCCTCGACCTCGCGCGGCTGCGCGCCCTGCGTCTCATGGACTCCTCGCTGTACCACCGCCCAGGCGAGCTTCCGGCTCTGGCGCCGTCTGCGTTCACCGCGATGTTCGGTGCACCGGTCGACGCGGGCGGCGGACGGGTACGCTATGACGGCGTAAAGCTTGGAGACCAGGGGTACTGGTGGGCAATCGTGTCCCACCGCCCAGACATCTTCGAGCACCTCTCGTACGACTGGGAGGTGTCCGCATGTCTCATGGACATGTACATGAAGGGCCTCGGCGACGACGACGCGGACGAGGCGCACGAGGTGCGCGTCCAGGTGCACACCAACGAGACCCCCGAGCGCGGCCGCGCCATCCTCCCCAAGATGGTCCACTTGTGAGTCCCCCTACGCCCGCCTCCGCCTTTCCTAGCTGACAAGCTTACGTCGTACGCAGCAACTGCCTAGACGGCGTGGACCGCTACTACGACTGGCCGGGCTGGTCCGACCCGCACGACGGGCTCGCGCAGCGCTGGCTGCCCGCCGTCCGCTACCACGTCGGCTACAAGTGGCTCTGGCTCAACGAGCCCGCGTCCAACGCGACGCTCACCCTCGAGACGCTGCACGACGTCAAGTTCGCGGACGAGCTCTTCGCCATCGCGCACTCCCCCTCATCCTAGTCCCCCCCCTCCCTCGCCCTCCCTGCAAGTTCTTGATTAGTTGCCGCTCGATCTAGGCACATTATATACCGTATATACTATCCTTATATTACATAGAGGACGCGCGACCCGGAGATCTAGGCAAAAGAGCGGCGGCGTGCCCGCCGCACACATACTTACTACGCATGCGGAGGAGTCGCTGGGACGGCTCTTCCACATGCCCGCACTGGGTGCAGCCAGCTAGAGTTGTACGACCTAGTGATACATTCCTTTATTCGCCGCGCCCGTGCGCGTACATCTCTACAGTGTATATGTAGTACAAATAATGCGCATGCCGCTCCTCCTTCCCCGTGTTGGTGCTCGCCTTCTAAGTTCCCGTTCCCGTTCCCGCCCCGACGACCAAATGCCCCATTTGCCCTCCGACTCACGCGCGGACTGGCTTACGCCTGCGGCGCATAGTACTCCCTCGCAGAAGAGTGCGCCGCGGGCCCGCTCGGCGGGGGCACCTTCGGCTTCGGGCGGTGCGTGTCGACAGCCCCAATGGGGAGCGTGTAGCGCTCCTCGTCGCAGCCGTACGCCTTGGGCGTGAGCTTGATGACGGTGTGCAGCGGGATCTTGATGTACGGCAGGTCCGCCTGTGGGAGGTCGTGGAAGTACGCGTACAGGCAGCGCAGGATCGCCTGGTGCCCGATGATCAGGATGTTCTCCTGCCGCTCGAGCTCCATGATGACCGGCTCGAGCCGCACGACGACGTCCCGGTACGACTCGCCGCCTGCGGTGCGGTGTGGTGAGTGGAGGGGTATAAGCTGGTAAAAGCGCGAGAGGCAGACCTCGGTAGCGGTAATTGAACTTGTCTTCGTCGCGGTTCGCAAAGTCGTCCGGGTAGGCTTGCTGTGAAAATATGAGCCGCAGGAACGAAAGTGCGTTTCCGTGAGGTTTACCTCAATTTCTTCGTATGTCATGCCGTCGCAGACACCCGCGTCCAGCTCGTCGAGGGACTTCCAGGTGAGCTTTGGGTACGGCAGGTCTTGCGCTGTCTGGATGGTGCGTTGGAGAGTGGATGTCCAGACCTGAAAACGCCCACCATCAGAGCCAGAGTAAACGTGTATCGCTGTGCAAACTCGCCGTCAGAGGAGCGTCGCCAATGTTGTCAGTGATAAGGGATGGCAACGTTTTTGCATAGCGCATGCCCCGTTCTGACAGCAGCGAGTCCCCACCAATTAGACCTTCCACATTAAACTGGCTCTCTCCGTGCTGCACGGAAAATCCTGTCAGCTCCGCCGGTTCTGTGCACCCCATGGCACTGGCCTACCCTCGAAAAGAATATGCTCCGCGGCTTGAGGTGCAAGTTCATCAAGTAAAACGCGATGCGACTCTGGAGGTACCCATGGATATGGCACAACGTGACCTGCGTGCCGACGTTCTTGATGCGCAGGTACGACAGGTGCGGCTCCGTGATCGTCTCGTACACGGCCTCGTACTCGCGGATGCGGCGCTCGAAGTCCGCCCTCGCCTCCTCGCGGCTCATGTCCTTGTAGTCCGGGTCGCCCGAGGACACCTTCAGCGCGACGTTCGCCGCGATGATCGCCGGGTCGTCGCACACCGACTCGAGGAAGATCACGACGATGCCCTTCTCCCGGGAGACCCGCTCGACGATCTGTCGCCTGTGATCAGGGTAGTGAGCTCGCGCAGAACATTGCCGGGTCGGTATGTGCACCTGCGCGCTATTGTGCTGTTCGTTGCATCTAGCGTCATGGTGAACCCCAGATGTTAACAGTAGTTGGATGGCCGCGCCTACCATGTATACCGACGTTACCGCCTTCGCGCAGCCATTGGATGAGCATTTCTAGACTGTCGTTCGCTAGCTGATCTCGAATCCTCGTTGCCTCGGCATTGACATGGCTGAAGTATGACGCCCTGTGATCTTCGCGTTTACCGCTCCTGTACGTAACTCGTTCAGTAGACGCTACTGCTGGACGCTAGGTATGATACAGACTGCTGGGCTTTCTGTCGGGCTCGCGAGCGGCGTAGCTGCCCGACGTTGAAAACCTAAGCTAAATGTGAGAGGTAGTCCGCGTAAAGCGGAGCTGGACCGCTACCTTCACGTCGTATTCCAGCCACTGTCCTCACGGCAGATATCAGTGAGAGCTTATAAGGCAGACTTTGAAACGACGCGTACCTTCAGGTATCGCATCAGCTTGTTACTGAGGTACGACTTCCCTCGCGCAGGGAGCCCGACCTAGAAGCGCGTGAATATCGCAGATGGATCTACCGCACACTTGCTGAGATCCCACCATGGCGAGGACGATCTTCGCCTCAGAATAATCAGGCTTCGCCCCTACACAAGCACTCAATAACGTTGCATTCAAGGACGCGTCCAGCACGTACCCTTGCCACCGATCCCGACCACAGATCGCGGGGTCGATGCTTGAGACATAATGCGGCTCGTCGCATTGGACTGGTCAAACTGCTTGAGCCTGCCGACAGATTCGGGGAAAGTCAAGGACCCGCTACGCGGACTCGAAGCTGGAGGAGCATACATAGGACCGCCTGCGCCGAACACGGCGGGCGGGGTGCCCACATCGGCGGTGGTGGTAATGGTGATATCAGGCGAGCTCTTGTTCGCGGCCTCTACATCCTGAAGCACGCCATCGACCGCGGCGAGCTCGCGCCGCGTCAGCGTTGGCGATGACTTGCCGTGGGGCGTATCTGCAGCAGACATGGCTGGGTTGGTGGGAGGAGGCAAGACACAAATTCAAGGTCTCCTGGGGGTGGCGGGGCGTTGGGTGTGGCTGCTGATCGGCGCGTGCGCGGAACGGAGCTGCGCGGTGCGCGTGTTGCTTCCGCTCCTCTACCTCCTCCTGTCCCATGGCCTCCCTCACGTCCTCCCTCGCCGGCCAGGGCTCCCATTTCACGCTCTCCACCACTGTCTCCATCCCGGACTCGGCTTATCTTGCGGGCCGCACGCTGCACGTAGTGTACGTCCTCGACCCACACGTGTATGCAGACCAATACGAGCTCGCACAGCGCCCTGGCTACTCTTCCGTGCTCTGGGGCACGACCGACCTCGAGAAACCCGTGTCTGCCGTAGATGCTGACGGCTCTGTGCTCCTCTTGACCGCCAACGCGTCCCAGCTTAGTCTAGGTCAAGCAGCAAACATCACGCTCGAAGTGCCCTTGCATGCCCGTTATGGCCGCCCCATGGCCGGGGCAACTGCGCATAACGCGTCCTATAGCGTCTCTCTGAAGCGACCTGTAGGCTTCTTCGCTCTGGACGTGAACAGTGCGTAACATACATGTACACGAGACGAGACACGTGCTGAGGACTCCTGCAGGTGCGGCCGATATTCCATTAACCCTGCGGCCTTACGCCTCCTTAACTGGATGGCCGACCTCACCATTATCACTCGTACCTGACATCGCCGCTAATGAGCCCCTCGACATTGTAATCCCAGTGGGCGCGCTAGACGACCTTGCCTGGGTCGACGTCGGCACCGCAGCGGTCATGCTCGCCATGTTCTTCTACCTATTCCACGCGTCCGTGAGGACCGCCCGGCGGCTGTCCAGCAGAGCGTCCACGAAAACGGATTGATAACAACCAAAAGCAGGCGAAAATGTCAGTACAGTATGGCAGCGGACAGGTCTACTGTGATGCTGATGTATGTAGATCGGAACGAACGTCCAGATGTTGAGCGTGACTGTCGTCGTGTCGTGGCGTATGGGCGCGCTGAGCGCAGTGCACTGTGTGGTCGGGATTTGTGCGGCTGTCTGTTGTGCGAATACGAGGCGTGCCCGTCCGGGAGACAGCCCTCCCGAGCCCCCATCCTCCCCCTCCTCTCGTAGGACAGCGCCGTCCTCATGTGATAACGCACCGTCGCTGCTTCACCATCTTCCCCCACCGCCCCCGCATGCTCTCCTTCAGCGCGAGATTAAACACCTCCCGCACGTTGTCGCCCGTCTTCGCAGAGCACTCAATATACTTCGCTCCGATATCCCGCGCGACCATCGCGCCTTGCTCGGTCGTTACGGGCACCTGTCCCTGCGCGTTGAGCATCCGGCGTGTCTGGTCGTCCCTCCGGAGGTCCGTCTTCGTCGCGACTAGGATCAAGGGCACGCCTTCGCAAAAGTGTGCCACTTCCGGATACCACTACAAACAGGGAGAGAAGGATTGAGTTATGGGTATCGCACGGAGGCATACACAGTTGGATTGTGGAATCTAAATGCACACCTTGTCTTGGACGTTGGCGAGAGAAACGGGGAAGTCGACGGAGAACACGATCAGGATCACATCGCTTTCTGGGTAGCTCAGCGGCCGGAGACGGTCGTACTCCTCCTGACCGGCCGTATCCCAGAGCGCGAGCTCCACGAGCTTGCCATCAAAGTTCACGAGCGTGACATAGTTCTCGAACACCGTTGGGATGTATGCCTTTGTTGCGCGTAAAGTCAGTAAAGCTATATACTTGACTAATTAGAAAGTACAGCGTACCTCCGGGAAGCGGTTCTCCGCATAGACGATGAGCAGACACGTCTTGCCGCAGCCACCTACAGGGTGCGTTTCAGGCGCGACGGTCAGGAACGTTGATTTGTGCACGCGCACCGTCACCGACTACTACAAGTTTGCGCTTCACGTCCGGCCTACGCGGGGGACCTGATGATTCGCCAGGGTTGTAGGGGGTCGCCATGGGGTGTGCAGAGGGTAGTGACTGAATGAAAGAGTTACGGGATCAGACACGGTCGGACGGTCAGTGGGTGTCCGGTGGCAAGAGAGTGGCAGAATGAGGGGGAGCAAAGCAAGTCAAGTACAACGTATCGGTACAGCACGGGCGGGAGGCGAGAACAGAGACGAAGACGTTTGTCGCAGAGTGAGCCAGAGGTAGGATGACAGGGTTTGGGTGAACACGGACGGTGGAGGTTCGAGACGCGGTGCCCCGGTTTGTCACGTGCGCGCCGCGTTTCTACTTCCGCGACAGCGTGCACAGCGCCCCTTGCGGTCTTCTTGCGATTTGCACTGTGCGCACCCCCATCCAGATGTGCAGTTCGTTACAGGTAGGTGTTTATTCTAATCCGGCGGTTGGCCATAGCTTCTATCTAGCATTACAATCTGACTGTCCAAGTCCTAATACGAATACAACAGATTGACTTCTGGCATTCTCCTCAGACCTCGCGGCGTCCACTCACTGCTTCTCGCTCAGCTCGGCAACACCAGGAAGCGTCTGCATCGACACAAGTGTCAGTTACGGCCGCATCAACGAATGTCGCTCTGCTCACCTTGCCCTCGAGGAGCTCGAGGCTCGCACCACCACCCGTGCTGACGTGGCTCAGCTTGTCCTCAGCACCGTACTTCGCGACAACGGTCGCAGTGTCACCACCGCCAACGATGACGGTAGCGCCGTTTTGTGCGGCCTCAACCGTCGCATCGAGGAGCGCCTTTGACGAGGCAGCGAACGCGTCGAACTCGAACACGCCCGGGGGACCGTTCCAGAGGATGGTCTTCGACTCGAGCACGGTCGCGCGGAAGAGCTCACGGCTCTTCGGGCCGGCATCAAGACCCATCCACTCGTCGGGGATACCCTCCTCATCGGTGGCATGGCCGGTCTGCAAGATGCTTAGCACGCTTCATGACGACGGACTCCAGATAGGCTTACCTTGGCATCCTTGTCGAACTTATCTGCGGTAACGTAGTCGACGGGGAATACGATCTTGATGTTGCGCTGCTTGGCCTTCTCAATCAGAGAGGCGACCTTCTCGGAGCCAGCGGCATCGAAGAGGGACTGGCCGATCTGTGTGAACTCCCGGTAAGTGTCTGCCCTCGTATGAATTTCCGTCCGTTCTGCTGACCTTGACGTTGTCAAGCGTCTTCTTGAAGGTGAAGGCCATGCCACCGCAGATGATGAGCGAGTTGACCTTGTCCAGCATGTTCTCAATCAGCTGGATCTTGTCAGACACCTTCGCGCCGCCGAGGATCGCCAAGAAGGGACGCTCGGGGTGCTCAAGAGCCTTGGCGAAGTAGTCGAGCTCCTTCTTCATGAGGAAGCCGGCCGCGCGCTGGGAGAGCTTCACGCCGACCATGCTCGAGTGCGCGCGGTGCGCAGTGCCGAACGCGTCGTTGACGTAGACGTCGCCGAGACGGGTGAGGCCCTCGCGGAACTCCTGGACCTTGGCGGGGTCCGCCTTGGTCTTCTTGCCCTCCTTGTCCTTGCTCGAGCCCTCCTCTTCGATGTGGAAGCGGAGGTTCTCGAGGAGGAGGACGGTGCCGTTGGGTGCCTCGCTGACGGCCTTTTCGACCTCGGGGCCTACGGACTCGTGCACGAAGGTGACGGGCTTGCCGAGCTGCTTCTCGAGCTCCTTGGAGACGGGCTCTAGAGAGTACTTGGGCGTGGGCTTGCCGTCCGGACGGCCGAGGTGGGACATCAGGATGATCTTGGACGCGCCTGTGCATACAGTCAGAAGCAATCCAAATTTACTGGTGCAACATAGGCTTACCATTTTCGATGGCGTATTTAATGGTGGGCAACGCCGCTACGATACGCTGAACGCGATGTGAGCTGCAAGTCGCGTCGGGTAGATAATCTAGGTAAGATCAGAGACTTACGGCGGGGTTGGTGACCTTGCCCTCCTGCATGGGGACATTGAAGTCCACGCGGATGAGGACGCGCTTGCCCTTGAGGTCGAGGTCGGTGATGGAAAGTTTGTTGGAGAGGGACATGGTGGGCGATGAGATCGATGAGGGAGGAGAGGGGGCGAAGGGACTGGAGGCTTTTATGTGCGCGCGCGCCTCCGCGAATGAGATCACTGGTCGGGATCTGCCCGCATCCGTCTCCGTCGACCGCCTCGGCTCGCCCAATCCCTGTTCGCCCTTCCACACACGCTCTCGCAGTCCCCAGCCCTACCGCGTCTCGGCAATTCTAGTCTCTCCTAGCTGGGAGCCCCATCTCTCCCTCCCATGGCCGACCAGCTGCCTGACCAGGCCGCCTCGAATTCCCTCGGCCTCGACCTTGCTGCCCTCAAGATCAAGGACAGTCCAGACCCTGCTGAACCCAAACCTTCCGCGGACGCAAAGGACGCTCCCCCGGCTGAGGGCGCTACACAACCTGCGGACGAATCTGCGGAGATAGCTCCGGATGCGGAGCAAACCGACGCTGGCGATGACAAAAAGGACTCTAAGGAGAAGAAGAAGCCGTATGTTAACCCCGACCGCGTCAAGACCGGGGGTGCACAGCGGGTGCGTCCTTGTATGCGGCCACCAATAATGACGCGCCCTGACCGCAGTGCAGGACAAGCTGAGCGAGGGCGAGCTCACAGAGCGCATGGCGCGCATCCGTGAGCAGAACGAGAAGATCAAACAGAGACGTCTGGTTCGGATAGATTTCTCTGAAGGTGCTACTGAGCCTGGGCTCATGTGGCCTTGCAGGATGTGCAAGCAGACGAGGACGAGTACAAGAAGACGCAGGCGGCTGAACGCGCCAAGCAGGCGAAGATGAAGAAGGTGCAGGAGAATGTGGACAAGGCTCGCGAGCAGAACGCTCGCCGTAAGTTGGACAAGGTGCGCTACATCTCCTCCCTCCCTTACGAACCATTCAACTCACAACGCCATGAAAGATCCAAAGCCGCGAGTGGGACTCAGGAAAGCCGGCGCGCGACTGGAAGCCGGCTAACAAGGGCCCTGAGGCACCAACTGAAGAGGGCGAGAAGAAGCCTCAAGCATCAATTGGTATCCGCGGTGCTGTCCGCGGTGGTCCCCGTGGAGGAGGCCGTGGCCGAGGTCGCGGAGGAGGTGTGAGCTCTCCTACCGCCGAGAAGACGGAGGCGGCGGCTGCCCCGGCCGCGCCTGCTGAGAGTGCTGCTGCTGCAAGTTCATGAAGAAGGATATACCCCTGTACAACGTCCCACATATCCGCTGCTTGTATATCACTTCTGCTAATGTTTATATGCTTTGACTCCATACACCCGCCGAGCATCCTCAGTCCAATTGAGCGGCGCGTCAGGCCATTGGGCGCTTACGCTCCGATCAGCCTTGTCCGCATTTGGCCTCGTCCAGAGGGATTTTCGTAGGCGCCCGCTCAGCGTGCGGCAGTCTCTCAGCCAGGCAGCTCTCTTCTCTTCGTGCTTTCACTTGCTGCGTCTCTTCAGCTATGGGTCGCGGTGTCCTCCTCACCTCTAATCTGCCCCAGCTGCAAAATCTCATCAAGCGCGATCCCACAGCGTACAAGGAGGAGTTCCTGCAACAATGGAACCACTTTAACAGCATCCGCCAAATATTCCAGATCAACCCGGACGAGAATGCGCAACACTTTAGGGAACTGGTCTCTTTCATTGCGCAGGTATATAAGAGGACCACTTCGTCACAGTCAACCCGTTCACTTACCTCTTCTCCAGGTCTCCCAGTGCTACCCGAAAGAGACGGCGGACTTCCCGTCCCAACTCTCCACCTTATTGCTCGAAAGCTATGGGACGCTGTCCCCCGATACCAGGAGAGCGTTGGTGCAGAACCTAGTCATGCTGCGAAACAAGGATGTCATCAACTCTATCACGTACGTGTGCACCTCTCCTGTTCCTGTCCGTATGTTCTCATCTCAAGCTATTCAGCTTGCTGCAAACCCTCTTCCCCCTGCTCCCCAAGACCACATCGTCTACTCTTCGCGGGTTTATCCGCAAAACTATCCTGTCTGATATCCGCACAGCCAACTTGCGCACTAAAAACCATAAGCTCAATCGTGCCGTGCAAGCGATGCTCTTCGGGATGGTGGAGAGGGGAATGGAGGCCGAAGTAGTGGGCGACAAGGGAAAGCTCAAGGCGGCCGCAGGGCCAGGCAGCAACGGCGAAGAAGCCATGTGGGCCGTCGTACTGAGCAAGGAGCTATGGCGCAAAGGGATTTGGTGCGTATGCGTATTTCAGAAGAAGCCTACAATATCCTCATATTTTAACTTCCAGGACCGATTCAAAAACCGTCTCCATCATTGCTCTTGGGTGCTTCCACCCTGTCACCAAAGTGCAGAGCGCCTCTCTGCACTTCTTCCTGGGCAGCGACGAAGAGAAGGAGGACAGTGATGATGAGGAAGAAGATGTTCGTCTCTACTATAGTGTTTGCTCGCAACGTTCTCGCTAACTCGTATGATAGCTCCCCAACGTCAGGACTCTTGAGCACCGTCGCGAGATTAACAAGAAGACCAGAAGCGGCGACAAGAAACTGCGAAAGATCGCGAAGACCGTCAAATCTGTTCGTTGCACGCACAAAGTCGCCGTCGATTCAATACTTACACCCCCCACAGAAAAAGAAAAAGCGGGCTGAACTGACCGCCGCCAACTTCCCCGCCATCCAGCTGCTTAACGACCCACAAACTTTCGGCGAGAAGTTGTACGACGTCCTCAACAAGTACGACAAGCGCTTCTCGCTCGACCACAAGATCCTGCTCATGCAGCTGCTCTCGCGCGTGATGGGCGGGCACAAGCTCTGCGTGCTCGGCTTCTACACATACATTATGAAGTACCTCGCGTACCACCAGCTGCGCATCCCCGCGATCCTTGTCGCGCTCGCGCAGTCCGTGCACGACTTCACGCCCCCCGACGCGCTCACCCCCGTCGTGCGCAAGCTCGCGCAGGAGTTCGTGCACCCCGGCGTGGGCAGCGAGGTCATCGCGGCCGGCATCAACGCGATCCGCGAGGTCTGCCGTCGCCAGCCGTGGTCAATGGAGGAGGACCTGCTCGGGGACCTCATCGCGTACCGCAAGAGCCGCGACAAGGCCGTCACTTCCGCCGCGCGGGGTCTGCTCCAGCTGTTCCGTGAGGTCAACCCCGGCATGCTCAAGCGGAGAGAGCGCGGTAAGGAGGCGAGCATGGGCATTGCGGGTGGCAGCCAGCCGCTGCCTTTCGGTCACAGCCTGCAGGCCGCCGTCGACATCGAGGGCTTGGTGGTAAGTCATAGATGTCTCTATTTGGTGTCTATATGCTAAGCTACATACCATACAGATGCTGGAAGACCACTTGAAGAAGCTGCGCGAAGAGGACGGAATCGTGTCGGGCGACGAAGACGAAGACGAGACGGCGGCATGGGAGGGCTGGGACGTCGAATCGGACTCGGACGAATCGTCGGACGGCTGGATCAGCGTCGAGTCTGACGGCGACGACGACCTGGATCTCAGCGATAGTGAAGACGAGGACGACAACAAGCGCAAAAAGAAGAAGAAAGGCAAAGGCAAAGCAGAAGATGAGTTGGAAGAAGATGATGGGGACGGCGAGGAGGCGAGCAAGGACGAGGCTCCCGAAGAGGACGCAGTGCAGCGGATCTCGTCGCTCGCAACCACAAAGGTGCGATCGCATATGCAAGTCTCGTTCTTCCTGGTCTGACCTGGTCATTTTAGATCCTCACGCCCGCTGACTTCGCGATGCTCAACGAGCTGCGCATCAAAGCCGCGACCGACGCCGTCGCCGGCGGCGGCGGCTCCGGCACCAAGCGCAAGCTCGCCGCGCTCGAGGCGCAACGGAAGACGCTCCTCGCGAACGGCGACGGCACGCTGCAGGAGACCTTCATCTCCGAGATGGACATCCTCGGGCCGCGCAAGAAGGCGAAGGCGGACTACGCGGAGCGCATTGCGTCGATCGAGAAGGGGCGCGAGGGGCGCGAGAAGTTCGGGTCCGCGAAGGGCAAGAAGAACAAGGCGGCGCCGAGCAGCACGACGAACCGCGAGAAGGCGCGCAACAAGCCGATCATGATGATTATCGCGAGCGGCGCGGTCAAGGGCAAGAAGAAGGCGTCGCTGAGGCAGAAGCAGCGCAAGCTCCGCGCGCATATCGACAAGGCGAAGAAGTCGCATCACTGAGTGTTCAGGATATGTGCTGTGCTGTTCTATCTTCACTCTGCTCGCCGGTACTGTTACATCTGTAGTGCTACACCTTACATTGCTTTACTGCTCCGATCAACTGTTTGTTGGATCTACTCCTTCTGTCGCTGAGGCGCTGTCTACCATGTCTGAAATACCGAGATAGTGCACGTCCGACGAGTCGCGCAAACGTTGGGCTGCTTGCTCTGGGGTGAGATCGCGCTGGGGCTCGGCCATAAGTTCGAATCTGGAATATCCAAGGTCAACACCTGCGACGGTGGTTAATTTATTTAGACCAGCTTACCCAACCAAGAACTTGCGGACGGAGGCGCTGCGCAACAGCGGCGGTGCGAAGTGTAAGTGCAAATGTGTCACATTCTCTTCGTCCTGGTCTTCGGGGATAGCGTCGGAGTGGGGCGGAGTGGGCCGCTGGTGAATGCCCATGGAGTAGGCGAAAGAGCACGAGAAGAGGTTGTCGTAGCGGACGGTAACCTGCGACAGGATGTCTGCGAACGCGGCCTTCTCATCCGTGGTAAGGTGCACAATCGAAGGGACATGCCGCTTGTAGGGAAGCACTATGACGGAATACATCAGTAATCAATAACAAGGGGAGCGAGCTGTAAGGCAAGACTTACACATAATCTCGAACGGCCAGATCGCCCACCAAGGCACGAGAGCGACCCAGTGCTCGTTCTGTACAACGACACGCCCTTCGGCCTTGGCGACACTTACTTCGAAGTGCACATAGTCGCAGAGAAGACATGCACGGCCAAGGGGTCCGCGCGGCGCGTCGGAAGCAGGCGTAGCGGAGGCGTATTTCTTCAAGTTCGAAATTTCCGTTGCGGGTAAGGTAGGCACTGCGGAGAGGGACCAGACCTGGCCGTGAGGGTGGGGATTCGAGCAGCCCATCATGGCCCCCTTGTTCTGTAGAGGTGTCAACGGATAAGAGGAGAGGAAGAAACCACGGTCTGTTACCTCAAATATCTGTACGTATTCGATGCCCTCCTGTTCGCCGCGCTTCTTGTAGATGGCACTCCATTCGTCGATGATGCGTTCGATGTCCTTGTGCGGTAGTCTCGCGAGAGTCAAGTCATGGCGGGGATGGAAACATATCACGTCACAGCCGCCTTGAACTGGCTCGGTGGTGAGCAAAGGGTGGGGCGCGGGCGGTGCGGCAGGGCCCGGGGGAGGCAGGACTGCGGCATAGTCATTCTCGAAGACCGTTGTGTGCTCGTACTTCTTGTTCTGCTGCCCGCCGGCGCGGGTGTTCCCTGGACACAAGTAGCACTTCGGATCATACGGGGGAAGGTCAACCTGCTGTGGAGGCTCTGTCTGTCCCAGCCACGGCCGCTTCGTGCGATGAGGCGAGACGAGGACGTGCTCTCCGGTAAGCGGGTTGACTGTAACGTCCGATGAGTCTCTGCTGTCTTTTTCCACAAATTGGACACATACCGCGCCGGTGGGGGTGAGTGGATGGGTCAAACTGTGTGTCAGCCATGGCCGTCGGGAAGAAGGAGTGTTATCGATGATTTCAGGGATTTGTCGGCCATATGGACGGTGCTCGTCGCTGGGAGAACCCGCTTCCCGCCCAATGATCTCATCCTCCTTCCGGCAGAGCGGTCCGTCCGCCCCGGCGGCGCTTGATTGCCGTGCTGCTCGGCGCTCGGTGCGTTCCTAGCAGTGGCAGCCTTCGACCACAACCACGACCGCGACATGTCCCAGCCATCCCATAAACGTGCTCGGATCCAGCGCTCTCCCTCGCCAGTGTACAAACTGGACGATGAAGATGACTCCTATGAACCGTATGTCCCCGTCGCTCAAAGACGTCAGGCGAAACTCGCAAAACTGACGTCTTGGGGTGCCAATACGGAAAAGGACAAGGCCAAGCAGCTTTTGGAGGAGCTGGAGGAAAAGGACGATGAGGAGCGGGAGGAGGAGCGGCGAAAGGAGAAGGCACGGAAGGAGAGGACTCTCCTAATGGAAGCACAGGAAGTTCACGGCAGGAAGGCAGTCGAGGGTACGTCGTTCTCTCAGTACGCCTTGCCGTCTGAAGAGTGTGTATAGCTAACCTACATAACAGATGCCAAGAAGACCGACGCAGAGAAAGCGGAAGAACAAGACGCTGAAATCTTGGCCGCAATTGCTGCGCGCAGGAAGCTCGCCTCCGACCTTGAACTAGCCAAGGGCGTGTCATATACTGAGCCTTTGAAGTCTTCGTACGTCGCAACATGGGATTTTCGCATTGCATGCATTCACCCGAGACCTCTATAGATGGCGACCGCCCAAGTTCGTGCGCGACCGAACTGAAGAGGAGAACATGCGTATACGGGAGCAACACCACATCCTTATAGAGGGAGATGACCTTCCTCCACCTATCGACAACTTCACAGTAAGTCGACTGGCGAGCGGTCATTAGTATCTGCACATATTCATATCCCTGTCCAGGACATGAAAGTGCCCGAACCTCTCGTGAAATTCCTTAAGACGAAGCGAATAACAAAACCTACACCTATTCAACTGCAAGGAATACCCACAGCGTGCGTTATCAGCGTGCTCTTTGATCGGGATGTCTCTGAATGGTTTCTCTAGTTTCTCTGGTCGTGACATGATCGGAATCGCGTTCACTGGGTCGGGAAAGACGCTTGCGTTCTGCTTGCCTCTGATCATGCTAGCGCTCGAGGAAGAAGCCCGGCTCCCTCTAAGCCGAGGCGAAGGCCCCGTTGGTGTCATTCTCTGTCCCTCCCGAGAGTTGGCCACCCAGACCTACGAGAACATTCTTGTCTGGACAGCGGCGCTAGCCAAGGACGGCCGCTATCCGCAGCTCAACACCCTACTATGTATCGGTGGTATTTCCATGAGCGAGCAAAGCCATGTATTCAACAAGGGCATACACGTCGTGGTCGCCACTCCAGGGCGACTGATCGACATGCTGGAGAAGAAGCGGTTCACGTTTGACAACTGCAAATACCTCTGCATGGACGAGGCTGATCGCATGATCGACTTGGGTTTCGAAGAAGATGTACGAAACATCATGAGCTTCTTCAAGGTAAGATACGTCGTGGCCTAACATAGTGCTTATACTGAATACATTCACAGCGGCAAAGGCAAACACTGCTGTTCTCCGCAACCATGCCCAGGAAAATTCAGGACTTCGCTCAGCAGTCGCTCGTCAAGCCCGTATTAGTAAACGTCGGACGTGCCGGTGCCGCCAACTTGGACGTTCTGCAGGTTGTGGAGTATGTCAAACAAGAAGCGAAGATGGTCTACCTCTTGGAGTGCTTGCAGAAGACGCCTCCACCGGTCATCATCTTCAGTGAGAACAAGAACGAAGTCGACGGTAAGCGGAGATGAGCAGATGCGTATCCATTCAGAATTGAACCTTGCCCAGATATCCAGGAGTATCTCCTCTTGAAGGGTGTGGAGGCAGTCGCCATTCACGGTTCCAAATGTACGCCCCAATCCCTCACCCCTGTATGACAAACAGTAAATTAACGGCTTCACTTAGCCCAAGAGGAACGCCAATACGCCATCAAGGCGTTCAAGTCCGGCGCAAAGGACGTGATGGTCGCCTCCGGCGTAGCCTCCAAAGGCCTCGACTTTAACGACATCCAGCACGTCATCATCTTCTCCATGCCCAAGGAGATCGAGGACTACGTGCACCAGATCGGGCGCACGGGCCGCAGCGGAAAGACCGGGATCGCGACCACGTTCGTGAACATGAACACGCCCGAGCAGACCCTGCTCGACCTCAAGTACCTCCTCATGGAGGCCGGCCAGAAGTGCGTCCCCTTTCATCTCCAGGATCCGCTCCGGACAGTTTGGGTTGTATGTGAACGAGCGCTGATCGTTCTGTTTGTAATAGGGTTCCGCCATTCTTGCTCAGCATCGACGATCCCCGCGCTGCGCAGGGGGGCTCGCTCAAGGGCTGCCCGGTGTGTGGTGGCCTGGGCCACGGGATCTCGAACTGCCCGAAGCTGGAGGACACGCAGCGGCGGCAGATGGCATCTCACCGCGGGGACGACGGGGGAGGAGGATACTAGTGTATATTGTTCTTTGCTATATTTGCGTCGCTTTTTCCCGTGTAACAATTCAGCGTTTTCCATCCCGGAATTTTGAAAACGCCAAGCAAACGACTGTGGTCCATTGGCAGGCAGGACACTGCTCCCGCTGCTTGGCAGGCATGCGCTGGTTACGGGCGAACGATAGGAGCAACATCGATGGGTGTCATTTCCTCTACGTGTACAGAGTTATCGAATACAAGTATTCCACATCTTCTCTTAGTCTTCCTTCCTGCAGCGACATACGGCATAATGATAGATGCTTAGAGCTTGGACGACTCGATGAACGAGACACCCTGTACAGAAAGACGTCAGTAAGCTATATGCTGACTATAACACAAACTGCGCACCTTCTCAATGCTGGCCTCAAGCTCCGGGATCGCAGCCTTGACGAGGGTCGATTCGTGGGGGGTGATCTTGCCGAGGCCGTGGATCGTAACAACACCCTCGGGCTATAGAGCACGCAATGTGAGTTTACTTCGCCACGCATATATCAGCCTGCACGTACCCCGAGCTCTACGGGCGAGGAGAAGTAGTCAAGATCCTTGCCGATCTCCTTCTTGAGCGCGTCGCCGCCCTCCTTATCCGCAGCGAGGTTGACGAACGTGGGCGCAACGATGCCCTTCTCGCCGTTGGCCGCGCGAATGACCTTGTATGCGAACTCCGCACCGGCGAACGCCATCGAGAGGGTCGCCGAGCCCGCGCCGTCCTTGGCCTTCACGACCTCGTCGCCACCGAACTGGATGCGGTTCGTGAGCTTGTCGAGCTCATCCTGGGCGAAGCCCGACGGCAACGGGTGCGACGACTGCGAGAGCAGGGGCACGATCTAGAAACGCGGCGGGTTAATGCGCGGGTTGCGATTGGCCCGATCGATGGTACGGACCGTGACACCGCTGTGGCCACCGACGACGGGGACGACGACCTTGTTCGCGAGGGAGAGGTCGCCGAGAATCTCAGAAACGAAGGTCGACGCGCGCACGACGTCCAGAGTGGTAACACCGAAGAGCCTGCGGGCCAATGTAAGTTCGTGAGATGCGCGAGATTGCGCGATACGCACCTCTTCGGGTCGAACACGCCGTGCTTCTTGAATACCTCGGCAACGATGGGAACGGTGGAGTTCACGGGGTTGGAGATAACAAGAACGAACGCCTTCGGCGCGGTCGTCGCAATACCGGTGGCCAGGTCGCGGACAATACCTGCGTTGATCTATACGTGTGTGAGCAGTGCTCTCCTCAAACAAGTGTAACGCAAGTACCTTGAAAAGATCATCTCTACGCGCAGTAACATGTTAGCTATCGTTCTCGATCCGTGACTGGGTTAATCAGAGCACGAACCTGGTCATCTACAAGGGATGGAAGGATGAGTTATGACCACTGGCACAGAGGGGGAAAGACATACGCCAGGCTTCCTGGGAACACCCGCGGGGATGACGACAATCTCTGCGCCAGCAAGGGCCTTCTTGAGGCCATCATCGGGGGGCAGGTAACCGACCACCTTGGCGGGGGTCGAGATGTGCGACAGATCGGCAGCAACACCGGGAGTGTTGACGATATCGAAGAGGCTCAACTACAGAGCGCGTGCGTAAGCATGTTATGCACCAAATGGCCTGCGTGTCCCGTTGCTACCTCTGTGATGAGGGGGTTGGTCTTGAGCAGGAGGGACAAGGGCTGTCCAATGCCGCCTGATCGAGACGGATTGAGCACATTTGCGGATGCACGGACGTGAATAAATGAGCATACCTGCAGCTCCGAGTACGACTGCCTTGACCATTGTGTATGCGATGCGAAAGATGAGGGAGAGATGGGATGGCGACGGGGAGAAGGCAAGCTGAGGCTGGGGACTTGGCGGACCCCGCAGGGTATATCTCCGCCCACGTGACCGCTACAGTCCCCGTGGGGCCTCCGCCCGGCCCGTTTTGGGTGCGGTGCGATTGGCTGCGTCCCCTCACTCCGGATTCCGAGGATGTCCTTGCTCTCTCCCCTCGTCCTGCGATCCACACCACACTCTCTTGCTCGCCGCCTGCTCAGACAAACCACTCGCACGATATACCTTCGCCCGCCGAATCCGACAATGTCCGAGTCCAAAGTTATCTCTGTCGAGGATCTCGCCACTTCGGAAGCAAAGTACGCTTCCGGTCCCGTGCATATGTTTTCCAATTCACGTTCCTGACCGTGACGGAATCCCGTGTTTCTCAATATAGGTGGGTCAAACTCAAGAAGTGCACCTACACAGATCCGACGGGCAAAGAGGCGCGTCACTACCGCCTGCAGAGCTCGGCCGAGCCGGGCGTGCTCGTGCTAATGACGTTCTACAGCGCCCTTGGGAGTTCGCGGAACGACCGACGCGGGCCTCCTCCGGCATTGACGGTTGGCGGATTGCTGCATCGTACTTGCACATGAAGTGCTCACGGCTCCATACCAGCTGTCGCCATCCTCGCGCTTCTCCGCTCTGAATCAAATGCATTTCCGCCCTCAACTATCATCATCGAGCAATTCCGGCCTCCCGTTGGTCACTACGTCATAGGTGTGTGATATGTGGTACGAATACCTGCGTATCGCCACTAAAAGTTTGTGCCCTCGCAGAACTCCCAGCAGGTCAGCTCTTCGATATGAAGGTTACGCCACAGTTGCGCTCAACATTCGGTAACAGGTCTCATTGGCGAGGGAGAAACGCCCGAAGACGCAGCTATTCGGGAACTCGAGGAAGAGACTGGCTTCCAGGCCGGTGGCGTAGTCGAGACTTCGCCGCTGCTGGTCTGCGACCCTGGTGCGGTGCATCGTTCGCAGCCTCATACGTACCGCCTCATCGCCGCTTCCCAGGGATGACAAACGCGAACATGAAGCTTATAACGGTTGACGTGCCCTTCTCTGACAAGCTTGAAATACCCGCACAGAAGTTGGACCCTGGAGAGTTCATCACCGTGCGCATAGTAGAGCTCGCGAAGTTGCGCGCCGAGTTCAAAGGTCTGCCGTGTCATCAATCCGCTGGAGGGCGTTGCTTACCTGCCCCTCTATTCAGAGTACGAGAAGAAGGTCAGCGGATTTTCGCTCCGTCTGGGTCAGTGCTAATTCGTCTACAGGGCTTTGTGATCGATGCTAGGCTCGACCACCTTGCGTCAGGTTTCGAACTCGCCGAGAAGCTCAGGCGATAGACATCGTAAGATTCATGCACTACGGACAAGCAGCCAGCGGGTGTATCATCACAACATGTACGTATAGGTATGTATACCAGAGGATTGCAGACATCAAGATGCGCCCCGTGCCGATGATAGATGTAAGACCATAAGCGCGTCTTTTTCAAGGACGCTTGTACTGTATGGAGCGAGCATTTGGGGTCGGCGACACCATCCCCAGACCACGGACGATCTCTCACCTCATAGTGCAGATAGCATCGATCTCCCAGGTACGTGTATATGCGGCTGTGTCAGTAGGGCCGGAGCTCCCGCAGCAGACACGGGTGCACTTCTCGACGACTTCTTGCCGTATCTCATCGCCTCTCAAGCGAGCGCCCATAAAGCTCTCCTAGGATCCCACTGAGCTGGACGTCGTCCTCATGTGCCAAGAGCATGGACAGCATAAATCTGTGTAGCCGAGGACGAGAGCCCCGCCCTCCAGGAGTCTCCTCCTTAGCTCGTTACTATGCCTCTCCAAGTCCCTCTTGCGAACGTGAACTTCTCACTCGACCCCACCCAGATTGCAGGCTTCCTTGGAGCAGATGCGGCTCTAGCGGCCATGATGCTTCCCCACATCCACGGCCAGCGAAAGTGGTGGGGGTGGTACAACTGTCCAGGCAGCTACTACCTCGCGAAACGATACGGACAACTCGCGCGGCTCAAGTTTTGGAGCCCCTCCTACCAATCATCCGCTGTGCCGCAGGACCTCGCTGACGAACTCACGGGTGTCATGGGGCCAACGTACACTGCCGCGCGCTCAGGTGCCACCCTCCAGTCCACGGGCCCGCTTGCCTCCATGCTCGTAGAGGAGTGCCGTGAATTGGAGTCAGTCGAGGTGGGAGGGCGGCACTCGGCCGTGATGGATGTGGCGATCGTCAAACTCAAGCGGGAACCCGAGGAGCTGGAGTATCCTAGGGTTCCACATACCCTCTCGAGGCGGTTGGCCATTCTCCCTATCTTGGTCACGATGGCCACGGGCATCGCCTGCTACCAGTATGGCGACTTCTACTCCGCTGCCGTCATCTTCTTCTCTGCCCTTTGCCACGGCATCGCCTGTCAAGTCATGGGGAACACCAAATTCACATACCAGCACCGCATCCCCCAACAGACGGCCAGGCTCGCGTCTGGTTGGCTCGAGGCCTCGCGCTCGTTCGTCGTGCTATGTGGGACGGAGGCCGCCGTGGCGCCCATCACGCGGGGCCGCTTCTCCCTTCAGTTCGACGAGTCGAAGGGACATGGTTCCAGGGAGCACCGCATCGTCACAGGATGCTCGATCCTCCTCGGGATACAGTTCCTCCTCCAGCTCCTCCTCGTCCCGCAGGGGGGCCTCTTTGGCCAGACGATGTTCATCGTGTCCGTCGTCGCCGCGTGGTTCTACCACCGTCTCGTCCTCGCGCAGGGAAAGGAGACCGTCGAGCGCCGTATCCTCATGTCGGACGTCCTCGGCAAGCCGACTATCGAGAAGTTCCGCTTCAATACCAGAACCGCCGCGGCGGTTTTCGCGGTGCTCGCGCTCCGGCCGTATATCGGCGAGGACGTCGAGGCGCGCCTTCAGGCGCTGCTCCCGAAAGATACGCCGGTATGGCAGCTGTGGCACAGGGTAGTGGCGCAGAAAATTACCCTTGGACAGCCGTTGCGGTTCGAGGAATGTGACTGGGAGTGGCAGAAGATGCGGGGTTTGTGGTTCGTGGAGGACAGCCTGCTCTTCGTAACCTTACTGAAGGACGCCGAGACCGCATACGCTGCCTACACCCAATACCTTCCGAAGACGGAGTTGTCGCGCCCCGCTGTGTAACAGGCTCACTTCTCGCATGGATCGCCATGTAGGGACCTTTCCACCTAGAGCTCCATCGTCCGTTTGTATACGGATAGCTGTCTGACTGTGGCGGCGCTGCCGCGCTTCGTGCACAGCCAAAATGTCATAACATAATGCTTCCTCGGGTACGCCCCCGTATTGCTATCCATATGCGTGGCAATTAACGACAGCCATCCCTGCAGAGACTTATCGATCTTCACATGGATGGATATCTGGATCGGAGCCAGGCCCAGGGAAGCCCAGGTTCCGTTGCCCTGCAATGACACGCCCGCACCGCCTGTGGTCTACGCAGATGTTCTGACCAGTCATCTGGCCTCCTGGGCGCTGCACAGGTTGAACCATAACGAGCTGCATATAACTCCCTTCGCGTCGCCCTTTTACTCACACACATCCTTGCGCTCGCCTATTCAGACAAGAACCCCATCCACTCCCTGCTACCCCCAACCACCTGTGAGTACATCGTTCCACGCGGCGACTGCGTATCCTGACACCCAACAGCACTCCCCTCCTTCCCAACTTCAGCAATGATGCCCTGCCAACAACAGATCATGGATATTCCTCTCGTCACTGCCGCCTTCTCCGGCTTCGTCGGCGGCGACGACGCTGCCTCCGCGCACATGACCTCCTACGTCTACGGCCGTCGTAGCGTCCCGAGTCTCTATAACTCCCCTGGTGTTTATGAAGTAGGAAAGCGCCTCCGCAACGTTGTGCAGTCCCGCTCGTGGGATGGACTTCACGGCGGTATCAGCGCCAGCCCCAATGCTCTAGCCCAGACGACGCTCACCCAGGGCGGACCCAAATTCGTAGCCTCGTTCTCCGGCACTACTATGCCGACGACTGGCGAAATCGCCCAGATCCTTGTCGACCACTGCAAGACGCAGCACATCGATGGCGTCGCTGAGGGTCGGGTCACCACCCCCTTCGCCGTGACCATCGCTGATCTTCACCATGCCCCTGCCACCGAGGCACACCCTACGCTGAAGGCCGCGGCGCCTTTCCTCCCCATCCTCGCCAGCATCGGTGCGTCCGCCGGATGTGCGTTCGTCGGGGACTGGCCCACGCTCTCCATGATCGTGCTCGGCATGGTGTGCAACGCCGCGACCTCGAGCGTGCTGCGCGCCGGTGATCTTACTTTCACTCGCCCCGCCTCTACTCCGGGTGCGCCGTCGGGTGACGGCTTCCTCGAGGCTGGAAATGAAATCGTCGTGCTCAAGGGTTCTGAGGGTGCGATCAGCAGCGTCACTCGCGGCCACTTCTCCCTCCGTTTCAAGAACGACAAGGCGCTCAACCGCCTGGGCGTCGCCGCCACTATGGCCACCCTCCAGTGCCTCGCGCAGCTCGTCGTCGTCCCCCAGGGTACCTTCATCGGACAGCTGTGCTTCCTGTTCACTGTCGCCATCGCGTTCCTCTACCACTCCCACATGGCTGCCGCAGAGAAGAAGGCTAAGGCCAAGGTCGTCCTCGAGGACCTCCTGGAGACCCCGTCCACCAGGCGCTTCAGCCTCGGCACCCGCGCTGCCATGGCCGTCTTCTTGATGCAGGTCCTGAAGCCCGCGAACATTGAGGAGCAGCTTGCGGCTCTCATTCCGAACAACACCCGTGTCTGGTCTGCATGGAGGCAGACGGTCGCTCGCAGGCTCCAGGAGGAGAAGCCGTCCTTCGATACCGGCCTCCCGCAGGAGGCCACGAGCTTCAATGCGGAGGAGTCCACCCTCATGCGCACCCTGCTCGGCGATGCCCAGGCTGCCGTCAATGTGTACGCCGCTGCTCGTGCTCGGTTCTAAAGTGCTCGGTGTGGTGAGCATCGTATCTGATTGACTACACCCGTGATGTCCGAGAGGCCCTATGAAAACCACCGGCGATACCTTGACTCTCCACCATGCATTCCCCCTCGACGTGCCTCGCTTATCAGTTTCTTGATGCTCCGTTAGACTTTCACTCCTGCTAACCCTCTTGTTCTCGACTGTATCCTTCTATGTACCCTGCCATATATCGCTTTTGCTCCTTTGTACTATTACTCGTCCTACGTTAACAGTTTCTAGTATCATACGGAGCCCGGGCCCAGAGCCAATATACCTCGCACCGTTACGGGCCCATTCTGCCCGCCTTCGCTCAACTGGGTCGCGGTACGGTATGCGGGTAAAGCTGTGCCGTTTTAGATTGGTACTGCGGGTTACGCCGTTGGGCCCGGAGAGGGAGCGATGCTTACATCAGTGCTTGGACTCGTATCGCGACGATGGAGAGGCTGCGGCGCTATGATAGAAGCTGGAGTGTGTACAACCGTATATGCACGCAGAATCTTGACCGCCCTACAGGAAATATTAGCTGCCTACAACACCCCACGTGCAGGTTCGGAAGACCCTTCGCAGCCTGTCGAGATGCAGGGGCAACATCCAGCCCAACTTGAACGAATCATGACCGCTCGAACGCTTTCCACCGGGCGTAGACGTCTTCCCTGCCAACGACTCTCTAAATTACCTGTTCGACGCTGCACTGCGAGCGTTATCGGGAGTTGCCCACACGCGTGTACAGCGTGGTGGCCGGTGTGTGCTATTTCCGCAGGTCAGTAGGTAGTCAGTCCACCACGCTGCAACCTACCTGTCAAATGGCGCCAACCTGACGCGGTTACGTGCAAACTTGAACCGTCCACAGCCTTCGCCACATAGAGCAGCGAACGAGCCCATTTGAAATCAGACTCCACGCACAGTGAATGCGACCACCCGCAATCCGTCGGACCACCCCATGCTTGATTCGCGTCTTGAACGGCAACTTGCCGCAGCGCGCCTGATCGGTCCTCCTAATGCTCTCCGCGTCCTCGACTTCTCAGCGGGGCAGCCTCTTCAGGCGATAACTTCTAGTACGCGCAAGATCATGCATATGGTTCGCGATGTGGTTGCTGGGGCTTCACTCACTTTCATATCGTCACAGCGCAGCTCCAGGGCATGTCGAAATGCTTGAGGATGCAGGCCTACAGCTCGCAACTGGATACGCCGCATGCGCCCATCGCATGGTCTTCACCCCTCTCGCGAAATACTTCATAAAGGTCCTAGAGTTACCAAGCCGTCACCAAATCATACCAGTCCAACCTCCTTGACCACTCACCTCTAATATCTTTCTGCACGATGACCGACTCATCCAATTCAAAGAGCGGGTTTGATCTCGACATCTCCGGCGTAGCTGGTTTCTTCGGAGGCGACGTCTCGGTTTCCGCGATGGCGACCGTCCACGTATACGAGGGGCGGAAGTGGCTGGGATGGTACAACCAGCCCGGGAGCTACGAGATCGCCAAGCGGTACGGCCAGCTCAGTCGCTCGCGCTTCTGGGACGCGCTCTACCCCGGTGCCAACGTCGACCCCGCGGTCCTCTTCGAATTCGACGGGAAGGAGGGGCCAAAGTTCACCGCTTCCCAGTCCGGAACGGTCTTGACCAAGACTACCCACGTCGCCCGTCTTTTTGCCGAGGAATGCAAGGATCTCTCAGTCAAATCGCTCACTCCACCGCCGGGGATGCGAACGACGACGCCAGGAACCGTAACCATCGCCAATCTCACGCACACCCCGCATGAGGAGGAGACTCCGCGGCAAGGACGGGACACAGCCAGCGCCCTCGCCTGTATCCCCATCCTCACCTCGATCGGCGCATGCGTAGGATGTGTCCTGATCCGCGAGTGGTACGCTTTCGCGTGCATCCTCATAGGCATCATCAGCAGCGGCTTGTCCTGCTTCGTGATCGGCATGGGCACCCTGAAGTTCAAGCATCCTGCTCCTGCGCCAGGCGCGCCCGCGGGAGATGGCGTCCTGAAAAGCGGAGGTACGGAGCTGGTCATCCTAAAGGGGGAGGAGGGCGCAGTCAACGCGATCACGAGAGGACAGTTCACCCTCGACTACAACAGCGCACCCGAATATCACACCATCGGCGTCTGCTCGATGTTCCTCACCCTGCAATTCGTCGCGCAACTCCTTCTCATCCCGCAGAGCGAACTGCACGGGCAGCTACTTTTCCTCGCCACTCTCTTCTGCTCTTGGGTATACAATTCCTACCTTTCGTCTTTGGACAGGGAGAACATCCAGCGGGCGATCCTCCGCGACCAAGTTCTGCAATTCAAGCCGGGCCAGCTTGAGAAGTACGAACTCGGGACTAGAACGGCGATGGTGACGTTCGCGCTGCTCACTCTCGCCCCTGCGAAGACGCAAGCTCTCAAGCGAGTGCTGGACGACTTGCTCCCGAACGACACCGACGTGTGGTGCTCGTGGAAGAATGAAGTGCTCCGCTGCATCGAATCCAACTTTCACGAGAGCATGGATTTCCAGTTCGAATTCGGTCTCCCCCCTGCTCTCACCGCCAACGATTCGGAAGTGAAACTCCTGAACACGCTCTACGCGGACGCATCGGCTGCTGCCGCCATGTACAACGCATACCGAAGGTGAGTCTCGGGATCCATTCTTATTGGTGACGCACCTCATTGACCGAATACTGTCATTCAAGGGGACGTACCACTGCGAGCCCACTGCCCAGTCGGTCCAACACCTTGGGTCCCGGGAGTAGGGCCAGTACCATCAGCCGGAAGTCTACAGGGTTTGGTTACTATGATCAGCAGGGCCCGTTGAGTGGGGCAACATACACAATGCTCGACGGTATGAGCTCTATGGACAATCTGCCATATGGTAAGTAGGCGGTCACCGATAGCTTGATGTATACCCAACGAAGGGAGAGCTGTGGCTTGCTCTCTATAGTCTTGTCTATGTTCAGTCTTCCCAATATTTATGTATCTGCATCCTCGTCACAAAATCCTCACGTAGCATGGCTGACTTGAGCCACCGTACGGACGACAGCACTGTCTTTAGGCTTGGGCTAAGCTTCGCCTCCGATTGCGCACTGGACGATCGGTTTGGTGCCGACTCGGAGCGTACGGCCTCCGTTCCCATTACTTGTCGACATCATCTGTTATGGTCGAGCTCAACTTCTTTGGAGATACGCCGAGTACCGCGAGGCGTAACATGAGCTTGAACAGCGGCCACTGAGTGCCACGCCGTGCGCGTCTTCGAACAAGGTTTAGCTATTGAAATGCAGTCGTAGCCGCCACGCATGTCAGCCGAAACTTCGAGTGCTCATTCTGATTCGGCAGTATATATAATTACTCACCAGCGTAAGCTGTTGGTCTCAAGGGTCGTGGCAAGAGGCTAAGCTGAGAGCAGGCGTCAGCGAGTCGAGCCGCGATGTTTGCCCTTGAGTACATGTCGACTCAGAATATTCAACAAGGTCGCAAGCTCCGTGTTTTTACGAAGGTCCATCATGGCGATGTCCCCATACTTTTTGATTTCGTGAATGTAATTAACCCTGGGAGCGGCTGGCTCAGGCACAGCGTATCTCCGACCCGCAGCGCCAAGCCTAAATGCACGAGGCACGGCGAGACTTGCATGGCATCGATCATGGCGTTCAATATCAATCCCTCAGCTCACGCCGTTATATTTTGGCATGGTCCCAGTTCATTGCTGGTCCTGCAGGAGAGTCGCGTGGAGGTGGGTGTCAAGCGAGCCAGATTAAGGGTGGTCAGGGGGAGGAAATTTGGGCCAAGGTGCGGCCGGGATGAAGACGGTGAGTAGGCCGCGGTGGCACGGGTTAGCGCGTACGACAGTCCGTTGATGTGATTCCAAAGTTCTCACCCGCTCGACCGGGGCAACGCTCATCTCTTTTTACACGAACTACCATGAGGCAGTCTGCCCAGCGGCAATGGTCGTTATATACGTCCTCGACATCTCCCCGACGTCGCACTCTCCCTCCTCCAACCTTGCTCGCCGTCCTGCTCGTCTAACCCTGCCAGTATACCCTCGTCGGCGAAGCTACATGCGATGATGATACCCACGATACCCTTGAAGGACTCGCAGTTCAACCTCGATATCTCCGGTGTCGCCGGTTTCTTCGGAGGCGACGTCGCCGTCTCAGCGATGGCGACCGTCCACATCTACCAGGGGAGGAGGTGGTTGGGGTGGTACAACTCGCCGGGGAGTTACGAGATCGCGAAGCGGTACGGGCAGCTGGGGCGATCACGGTTTTGGGACGGGCTCTACCCCGGAATCAACGTCGATCCCGCGGTCCTCTTCGAGCTCGACGGCATGCGGGGCCCCACATACCGCGGAGTGCATTCGGGCACCATCATTTCTAAGACTGGTCATCTCGCCCATCTGTTGTTCCAAGAATGCAAGGACATCCCGCAGGGCCTGGCCCTCGATGTTCCTCATCTCCTACCAAACAGAAAGACCAGACCCATTGCTGTCACCGTCGTCGATCTACGCCATACTCCCCTCTCAGAAGAACACCCTCGCTTGTTTCGGAACGCTACCAGCCCACTTGCCAGTTTGCCAATCCTAGCATCAGTCGCCACCAGCGTCGCCTGTGCGGTATACCGGGACTGGTTCTGCTTTTCCATGATCGTACTTGGCATGATCAGCAGCGGACTCTCTTGCTACGTCGTAGGCACAGGTCAGTTCACCTTCACTCATCCGACACATGCAGAAGGGGCGCCGCCTGGGGACGGTGTCTTGATGGCCGAAGAAGAAATCATCGTGCTGAGGGGGACGGAGGGCGCTGTAACACCAATCACGAGAGGACAGTTCTCGCTGAAGTTCACCAGCGAGCCGGAGTACCATAACATCGGGGCGTGCTCCATGTTATTGACCGCGCAATTCCTGGCGCAGCTGCTCCTTGTCCCCCAGGGCGAGATCTTCGGCCAGATCATGTTCCTCTGTTCCCTCGCTGTCTCATGGATGTACAACTCGTACCTTTCCTCCCTGGACAGGGAAAGCTTCCAAAGACGCATCCTCATGGAACAGATCCTGCATAACCCCGCCATGCACAAGTACAAGTTCGGTACAAGGACGTCTATGGCCGTCTACGTCCTCCTCGTTCTTTCGCCGGCCGAACCGGAAGCTCTGAGGAAGATCCTGAACGACCTCCTTCCAAACGAGACACAGGTTTGGAAGATTTGGAAGACGGAACTCATCGAGAAGGTCTGCAACCCTAAATACCGGGAACCACTACGGGTGGACCAGAGGCCGCCGCTCTTCCAATGTGATGTGGAGCACGGCTTGAAGCAGAGCGACATCAGCCTTCTGAGTACCTTGTACGGCGACGCCGAAACTGCGTTCCAGCAGTACTATCGGTGAGTGTCGCATTACAACTGATTTCTCCACGCTAATGGCCTGTCTTCCAGAGACAATGCGACGTCGATCGATTGTGCGTGACTATGCCGCCGACTAACGTTCTTGATATGCCCCAGAAGCTAATGTTTTATTATAGCGCGCTTCGAGGAGAAGCCATGATCACTTCTTTTCCTGGTAGCTGTCGCCTATCCTGCTCTCGTCCGACATTTGCCTTTGCTCCGACTGGAACTGCTGCTCGTCTTCTCAGGTCGTAAGTTATGTTTCGCTCGCCCTCTGATGGCGGGAGACTAAAAATCACTCTTAGGCTGGATCCTATCTTGCCAGCCACATACGCTGCTGTGCTTCAATCTGCCTGCGCTGTCCTGCATGGTCGCGTCCGATCTGGTACATCCTGTGGTCTCCGTCTCTTCGCACTCGAGTCCATACACTTACGAACATCGTCATTGCTCTCAATCACTCACGCCCACCATTCTGCTGTTGCTCAACGACCATTACACATACACCCCACGCATCTCGTACATAGACATCACGACCCCATACGTCCCTTCTGATCTACCTCCTTGGATATCCCCCTGTGCTTCCTCTGCTACCACCACGGCCTCTGTTCCCTTCTCCTGCTATCGATTCGGACTCGAATGTACTCAAGTTTACGAATTGCATGTACTTACATTGACGAACCGCTTTCATGAATGGCTGTCCACGTCCGCGTTGTACTTCCGAAGGCCTGGCCAATATTGTTAGCTGTCCTCACTCCGCCATCCATTAATGCGAGGAAAACATCCTACAAACCTGCGCGGCCCGGGGTACCGACTAGGATGAGGGACGCTTAGTCAGCCAAGTCGCGTCGCGTCAGTAAGCGCCCAAAACGCCGCTCCTCCTTCTATGCACCATGTCCACGCGGAAACACAAACGACGGCGCCTCGACACCGATGCCCAGCATCTCTTTGACGATGAAGTATCTCCACAAAAGCCTACTGCAGACGCGGAAGAGCTGGCGGAGCTAGAGCTGGCAAGGCTTGCGCAGGAACCCCACCCCGAAGTCGAGGAAGATGCCGAGGCGTCTGCGAAGGAGCGAGAAGTCTGGGATGCATTCAGAGAGGAACACTATGAATGTGCGTTTCACCACAGGCATGGGTCGCTCGCTTTCTGCGAGTCGCTTATAATCACCTTGCTAGTGCTCGAACAGCTCCCGCTGTCCCTGCATCGCGCATTCACGCTCATTCACGAGCTGGACCAGCAGGCGCAAGGTGAGTCGGATGTACACCCTTCGTGCTGTTCATACCATAACGCGCTCCAGACAACATAACGCATCTCGCGCCTGCGGTGCTCAAGTATGTCTCCCTGCGCAAAGCGCTCGCTGCCCCGGCCGAGCCGAAGCCAGACGCGCCCCAGGACTCCCCGGAAGCTAGCGACACGACTAACGGGAAGGTGGACGGAGCAAGCAACGTTTCCCTGACGAACGGGAAGCCCACGAACGGCTTCGCATCCTCTTCAGTCGCGGCTTCCACTCCCGGGCCGTCGAGCAAACGGCCTACTCCACCATCGACCTCGAGGTCTCTGGCGTCAGTCGTAGAGAACTCAACCTCGACGCGCGAGCTGCTCATTCACATCGCCCAGTCCTCCGAAGAAGTCACGAGGGCGTGTGCGGAGAAGGTGTACCTCGCCCAGCACGCATACGACCTCGTACGTTCTTACTCTCTTCCCTATCATCGCGGAACGCGTCTTGACCAGACGGTGCGTTAGGTTGACAGATATATCCGCGACCTTGACCGTGCCGTCAAGGAGCAGGAAGCCTCCGTAACCCTCGGTATGCGTGCAGGAACTCATCCGGCCTCCATCATCCTCCCGGAGGTAGTGGCTCCTGTCAGCAGTCGCGGACGGGTCGTTGCGACCCCACCACCTGTTTCAATGGTAGCACCTATACCTATCCTTGTCTCTTCTCCTGCCCCAGCGCCAGCGCCCACACCTGCTCCTATTGAGCTCCCAGAGGAACCAGAGGAGCCCGAAGAACCCGAGGATTCCGAGGAGCCCACAGTCGAACCCGTCGAAATCGAGGTGGACGTCGTTACGGATGAACCCATGGAAGAAGAGCCGCCACCACCTGAGCCACCCAAACAACCTGAATTACCTGAACTACCTGAGATACCCGAACCACCTGAACCACCTGAACTACCTGAACCACCGGCCCCCGAACCATCCATGGAAGCCGAAGCCGCGACCACCGAGCCAGCTCCACCTCCCTCGAAAGAGAAGAAAAAGGGCAAGAAGCGGAGGAAGGGTGCCGGACGACGGCAGACAGAGCAGGCGGAGGGAGAAGCAGCGGTCGCTCCCGCTCCTGATACGACAGAAGACGTGGACGTGGTCGCACTCGAGCCGGAGGCACAGCCGACGCTCACCCTGCGGATCCCCGCCCAGATCCTCCCGCACGCCGTGATCGACGACCTGCCGCCCGACCCGAACGAGCCCCGCTACTGCTTCTGCAACCAGGTCTCCTTCGGCGATGTGCGTCGTGCTGTGGTTTCGGGGACGGGGGACGTCGACTGACTTTCTTGATTCTACTACACAGATGATCGCATGCGACAATCCCACTTGTACGCGTGAATGGGTCAGTATTCTATCTCTGCACGGCGAGACCTAAATTGCTGACGGCTGGTTTGCTCCCATCCAGTTCCACATCGGCTGTGTCGGCCTCACGAAGATACCCAAGGGCAACTGGTACTGCCGGGAGTGCGCGGCGCTTCGAAAGCGGCCGAAGTCGCGGAAGCGGGCGCGTTGAGCTCGTCCTCCGCATATCCTTATCGACTCTATGTTTCTGCTCATGTCGGTCACTATCCCGGGCTCACCTCATGGTATACATGTACAACATGGGTATAGGTGTATAGATATACATCAGTAATGTAATAACTACTTAGTTGATGCAGTATACGGTCGTCGTCTCTAACGTGCGAGATGCCTAGAGAAATATCAATGGCCGCCTGACGCCAGGTGTCGCCCATACGTCTAGGCATGAAAGGCTATGCAGCTCTTAAGTATCGATATGAACACATCTAAGATAGTAAATCGTCTCGCTTCAATGACGCATTCGTCAGGGACACGCTTACTAGAACGCTATGTGCTTCGCGGTGGGCATGGGGTATGAATCCACTAATTATATCACATGGAGCGTACTACTACCTGTTGCATTACATCCTATAACTTCAGCAGAGGCAAGCGCTGTACCGAACAGTTCCCGCTGTGCTGACATAACCTACTTCCGGAGCATATGGTACTTCGTGCAGATACTCAAGATCCTCGGCGTGTGCGGCTTAAGATCCTCAATCGTAACGTCCACCATCGCCAAAACACCCCGCAGTGATTCAGTGTCTAGCAATCGCCTGTCAGAACAGCGAGGGACCTTGCGATGCATCCAGGTACTCACCGTTCGGTGGCATCAACGCGAGCATGTCTATCGTCTCATCGCAGAGGAGCCCTTCTATCCTCTCGTCTTGCCCCTGCGCAACAAGCTAAGGAAGCCATATATTAGCACCAGCACTGCACCGCAACCTTTACCGTTGCCGAGCGGGCGAGCAGCACGCACCTCGTTCCGCAGCGCGACCAGGTCCTCGCGGCACCGCACGCTCAGATCCTCCGGGTCCACCGCGTCCGCGACGTCGTGCGGCTCGATGTACGTGACGCGATACGGCGGGTCGACCTCCTCGATGTCCGAGTCGTACCCCGCCACCATCGACTGCGACGCAGACGGCGCCCCGCGCGTGCCCATACGTCGTGGTGGCGGCGGCGGGCTCGAGATCTCCTCGATCTCGTCGTCGAACCACTCGATGTCCTCCTCTGCTGCTGGCTCCGGGTCGTCCCGGTACAGGCTGCGCTCCTTCTCGGGTGGCGCATCTTCGGGGAGCGCGGCGGACACGGGCACGTACGTCCGCTTCTTGCCCCGGACGGGGGGCCAGTCGCCGTTGCCGCCGCTGTTGGACGGCCCGGCGGCGCTGGGAGAGTCGTACCCGGCGGATGCGTCCTGCGCGCCCACCGCCTTGCTGCGCGGCTTGCGTGCGGCTTTAGGGGCGCCTGGGTTTTTGACGCGAAATACGATATTGAGTTTCTTCTGTCCTTTCAGCAGCGCGTTTACAGCGGGGCCGAGCTACAGGGGATGCGCGAGCGTAAGATGCAAGACAGAGTGCGGGACGCGCTTGGTGACTTACCGAAAGATACGTGTTCGAGTAACCGCTCCCGTTCTGCACGACCTCGGACGCGAGCATGCCCGCGTGGCACATCTCCTCGACGACGCGCTCGAGGACGTTCTGCTGGAGGTTGCTGCACGAGCCGTAGAGCGGGTCGTTCGTGACGCCCTTCTTGACCATGTCCTTGACCCTGCTGCCCTTGAGCGCGAGCGCGAGCTGGTTGCGCGTGAGCCGCGCGCCGCTGCGCTGGAGGTTCTCGAACAGGCGGACCGCCTTCTGCGCCGTGTCGGTGTGGTCCTCGCTGAGGATGCCGTCCTGGTTGCGGCAGTTGTTGCAGAGCTGGCGGCAGTGCGCGGGGTCGAACTCCTCGCCGAAGTAGGCGAGCACCTGCTGCCGCCGGCAGCGCACCTCGTTGGTGCAGTAGCGCATGACGTGCTTCAGGTCGTCCAGTTGCCACTGGCGCTCGATGTCGGTCTTGATGTCTTTGTCTTTGATGATCCGGTCCATGCGACCGAAGTACTCGGCTTGGCTGTAGTCTGGAAGGCGTGTCGTCAGCAGGAGGCAAGGAAAGCCATACGGTGAGCGGACGCACATAGGATGCAGTGAGCGAGCTTCCCGTCTCGTCCTGCGCGCCCGGTTTCCTGGTAGTATCTGAGAGCGTATTTGAGTTAGCACCGCCGCGAGGGCCGTCGTGTCTTATGAACGTACGCCTTCAGAGAGCCGGGTATGCTGAAGTGGATCACAAAGCGGACTTGGGAGCAACATTTAGCATAGTGGAGGGGGAGTTGGTACATCGTACTCACCTTCTGCCTTGTCGATGCCCATGCCGAAGGCGATCTGGGTTGATTGTCAGCCTCGTCGAAAGGCGCACGGGATTTTAGCCTACCGTCGCGACAATGATCTGGACCTCCCCGCTGCTCCATAGCTCTTGGACACGGTTCTTGTCCCCGTCGGCCACCTGCGCGTGATAATGTCGCGCGCTCAAGTTGTACTTCTCCCGGAGCATCTTTGCGACCTCCTCGCAGCGGTCGCGAGACGTGCAGTATACAATGCCCGTATCCCGCGGATGGTTCTCCAGGATGTATGCGGCCATGTCGCCCACCGGGTCCTTCTTCTTGAGGCGCACCTCGTAGTCCAAGTTCTGCCGATTGAAGGAGAGCTTGAGCTGCTCGCGGATATTGAGATTGAGCCGCGAGATGATGTCCTCCTGAACCTCCGCATTGGCGGTAGCGGTGAGGGCACTGATGGGCACGCCAGGATACATCACTCTGATCTGGCTGAGATGGACATACTATCACAGTAGATATCAGCTCGCGAAGGGGGTACCAGCAATAGAGGACATACAGAATCGCGAAACGTCCGCCCCCAGTCTGTGATCAAGTGGGCTTCGTCGATAACGAAGCGCCGCAACTTGTTCTGCGAGTGGACCTGCTTGAGCACGCTCACCATGGAGTCGCTCATCTGCAGCATCTCGGGCGTCAGATACAGCAGCTTTGGAGCGTTGCCGTTTCGGCAGCGCTGCCGCACAGCCTGTTTCTGCGATTCGGGTGTATCGCCTAGGAGGTATTCAACGTCGATCTGCCGCTTTCGGAGCGCTCTGTGCTGGTCGACGATCAACGACCGGAGCGGGCTCACGACTACGGTCAGACCGTCTTGGACGACAGCGGGAAGCTGGAACGTCAAGCTCTTGCCGCTTCCGGTTGGGAAGAGCACGAAGACGTCGCGGCCGTCCATGACCTCGCAGATTGCCTTGAGCTGCAATGCGCGGAAGAACTGGAGTCCAAACTCGTTTCGGAGGGCCCGCATAAGCTGATTGTAATAGGGCTTGGCTTTGAGCTCTGGCGGGTCGATAGCTGGTGCATTGGCGGGCGGGGGCGGCCCCGAGGCGACGGGCTGGATGCTCGGAACAGGTACAAGGGCACGCGGTTGGACAATTGGAGCGGGTGCGTGGATACGTGGTTGAGTGGCGGGAGGAGTGGCGGGTGTGGAGACTGCTGGGGGCTCGGGCTCCTCGGGAGCGTCGTCGTCGAAGGAGTTCCAGTACGCCTCGTCTAGCTCAGTGACCTCTTGATACGGCCTAGGCGGTTCCCGGGCAGGCGCAGCGGGCAGGGGCGCATATTGGCTTACCGAGTTACCAGGTCTCGACGGAGGTACGTGGTTGTACGTTGGGGCACTCAAAATCGGGGGACTTGGATTGACGACGCTGGTCGCCCTACCGGCGGCTGGCCTCTCACCACGCTGAATAGCTTTCAACGCTGCTCGCGCAGTTGCAAGCCTCCTTTCAAGATAATCGCTACAAGCAGGTCAATACCGGTGCGCGAATGTCAACGTGACACCTACTTCAACAGATTGCAGAACACGACATCTCTTGGTTCCCCGGCATCGACACGCGCGGCGCCGACCTGCTTGTCACAGGACTCTATGAGTTCCTGTGCGGAGGCAATAACGCCTCGCAACTCCTCTTCGGATTTCTGTGGTGCATGGTTTAGTCGTGGGGGCACAAAAGAAACGTGTATGTTACGTGAGTGACGACCAGAACAGTGGAGAACGTCTGGGGGCTGCGGGATCTGTCCCGCGGAACGTGTTTCGGAACATGTTCTGCGTTCCCAGTGACATGGTGCAACAAAGATATGATAGGCCAAACCATACAGGTCGAGAAACCCTGGGGTAAGTGCCCTCGTGCATCGCTGAAGTGCACTTGAAGTGCACCCTTAAGCCCTAGTATCCAGTGTGATGTGATTTCGATGTTACATCTCATTGAGCAGGTCCATGACCTCGGTGAACATCAAGGCGTGAGGCACGAGCCCGCCACTTGAGTACTCATGTTGGCGCGGGCAACACTCCATACACCGTACGACATTGATACACCACTGGTCGCCTCTGTCGACCCAGCCACCAGAACGCGGAACATGAGTCGCAACGTGTTCTGCGGGATATATATCTCCGCCGCCGAGATCTTCTGGAATAGTGAGAGGTCACTGAGACAAACGGCTCCCACTTGAAACAATGCCTCCGGCATATCCCGAGTGTTGGCAGTCTTCGTACTCGGCGAACGCAACGCAACACGTCGTGATCGCGGCAACACGACGCGTCGCGCGCGATCTGACCATATTCTTTCCTGGCTCAGTGACTCTCACTGTTGCCACTCACTCTCAGTGGGAGTCGTTGGTCTCAGTGAGAGTAACCCTCACAGATCTGGTATATAATCATGTTACGTACCTCCTCGAGGTCGGCGTCGTGTGTTAGGCATTCGAACGCTGAGCGCAGCTGCGCTGCGCCTGTCTTCGACCTGGTAGCATTACTGAGTGTTGAGGACAACGCGGGGCTTGGCCTGTGGCTCGAGCTGTGTCCGGAGGACGGGATCGGCGAAGCAGCGGCAGTGATCGGCACTTCTCTGGCCTTGCCTTTGACGTTGGCGGAGGGGCCGGGGCCGAAGAAGTTCTCCTTGTCGGGCGCATGGTCGGTCTTCGCTCGCTTGGGAGAAACCCGCGGGATGAGCTCGTCCGGGGGGCCAATGGAAAGACGCTTGACGGGAATGCTTGAGGTAGACGCATTGTAGGGCGTAGTCTCGGTCGACGAGATGCTGATGACAGACAGGCTGTTGTCCGCGTTGGAAGCAAGAGGCGGCAGCTTGGGCTTGTTGAAGCCTGGAGTGGAGAAAGAGGGTAATTTGCGGACTTGTCGACGGTCAGTGGAGGAGGGCTATATGAGATGCAAGCTTACCTGTGACATTGGAGGACGGCGTGGATGTAGGAATGGACTTGGAGGGCTTGAACTTGGCCTGTAGCCATGTGTAAGAGCTAGAAAGTAAAGAAAGAAGTAATGCGCGAACCTTGCTGCCGCTGGCGCGAGGAGTAGAAGGAACAGGCTTGATGGGCGCCGAGGTGAGCGCGTATTTGCGCTGGATCTCGTCGCGATTGGTCTTGGGGCGGGTAGCCATGGTGGTGGAAGCGGACGAAGGAGGGCGGGGGAGGAGAGGGGGCGAAAGGAAGACGGAGGAGACGAGGATGATTGAGGACGCCGGCAAACGCAAAGGCCGTTCGCGCTCGAGTGGCCCAATACGCGCGACGCGTCCCGTTCTCCCGTCATGTGACCGTCATTCAACAACCTCCGCCCGCCCCGGCGCGTCGGTGGCTGCTCTCCTCCCCCGACCGCCATGTCCAGCAAGTTCTGGTTCCCGTCTCTGCCCGTCTCCGAGGTCGTCGACGCCTTCACCGGCTGGGGGTACTCCGTCAGCCCAGAGCAGGTCGCGCGCCCGACCTCCGACTTTGTCCTCGGCGTATATAGCGCCTGTCTCGAGCAGCTCACCGGCATCACGCTCGAGACACTGCAAGAACCTATCGAACAAGGCCTTACAACAACAGAAACACCGGTACGCTACCTATGCTCGACGAAGCGGGGTCACAACGCCGAACTTATACTGGGCTTAGGACATGTACTCGCAGGCACTCGCCCACAACCTCCTTTTGTACCACATGTACGCACCGATCAATGCTTTAGCTCGCGTGCTGTTCTCAGACACAGTATAGTCAGCGGCTTGCACACGCGGCGAAGATCGAGGACTTCAGCGCAAAGGACCTCTACTTCCCTGAGCCCGACCGCACGCGCGCCGTCTTCTCCGCCTTCATAAACTTCATCAAGTTCACCGAGCAAAGCGAGGCCTTCATCAACCGCCTCCGAAACCAGTCTTCTGCGGTCATCAAAGAGCGCCAGGCGGTTCTCGAAGAAACTGCAGAGTTGCAGCAGAGGGTATCGGAGTTCAAGTAAGCAACCCCTAGACTAGTGTAGTCGACGCGCATTTGACGCGTCGAGAACAGGATCAAACGCGCAGAGGACGAGCCGAAATGCGCAGCTCTGCGAGAGGAGAACACGACGCTGATGGAGCAGGTCATTTCCTACAAAGACAAGCAGATGGGTTTCCTACAGGAGGTCGAACGCCTCAAGCAAGAAAAGGCGGCGCTCGTCGCTGAGAAGGTACGCGTCCACAGCCTTGTTATTCTCGGACTGGACCAACTGACGCGCGGGAACTCATCTGCAGGAGAAAGTGGCTGCCGAAATGGCGACATCCTCGGAGAACATAAACCGCACCCGCACCCGCATCGTGCAGTCCCCAGAGCGCATCAAGCGCACCATTTCCACCATGGGCCACTCCGCGGCCGAAGAGAAGCGCACCGTCGCGTCCAACGAGGCGAAGACGCGCGACCTGCAGACGAAGATCGCCGCACTGCTCAACATTGAGAAGGTGCGTCTCCTTCGCCTTAGTGCACCGCGAGATACTGTTGTTGAAATCTACGCAGGACGTCCGCTCGTGTGTGGAGCAGCTGCAGGTTATCGAGAAGGAGATGCGCACCCTCGATGCGGCGCAGAAAGAGCTCGCGGACCTTAAGGACACCCTCGACCGCAAGAAGGGCGAGCGCGCGGAGCTCATCATGCGACGCGAGGTGAGACGCGTCCATCCTTCACAGCCGCTCCACGAACTCAAACCCGCCTGGCACATTTAGCGTGTCCACAAGCAGTTCTCGAACGCCCACGAGAAGCTTGAGCGCGCCCAACGGCACGCCGAAGACAAGCGCCTCGCGAGCCAGCAGACCCTCGAGCGACTGCAGCGCGAGTACGAGGAGATGTCCGTCGAGCGGCGCGACAACGACCGCCAAGTCGAAGAGCTCCGCGCGGAGGCGGACGAGATTGAGCGCCAGGTGCGTGTCTTGCATCGCACCACTACTCTATGTCAGAGTCGGCGGACTGATCCGTTCTGTGGTAGATGGCGGAGCACACGAAGACGAGCCAGGGCGAGATGAACGAGCTGCTCGCGGAGTACTGGAAGCTCAGGCATGAGACTGGTAGGGCCCACCTTTTTTGAGTGCGTATATGCGCTAACAACGGTCACAGAAATCTACATGGAGACGCTTGCCAACAAGCTGGGCATGCATGTGCGAAGCACTGAGTCTTGAGCCTTTACTGGCGAGGCTTTCTCTGGGCATCTCGCGCGATGGGGACGACGACCGTACGCTGCATCTACTACTTACTACGTTACTTATGTATATCTATACTCTATACCCGTGTTGTACTTTTATGTCCGGGACATCCCTCGTGTGCCAACGCAAGCGAGCACCCCAGGGTGAGAGTTCGCCCGTTTGTGGGCCAGAACAACTCACGGTAGCAGACAGCAGCTAGCAGTATACCAGGGGCGAGCTGCATGATTCAACTTTGGGATGTCTATCCAGATATCAGTATCCAAACCCACGCAAGGAAGATGATTCAGATGACGGCATTACACCACACTCACGATTTGAGATCTTCCAAGAGCGATAGATCCCTGGAACCGTCCTGTTAGCACGGGATTCGAACTGGTTGGCTATAAAGATGTACTCACCGATAGTTTGCTTGAACACAGATTCAACGTCACGAAACAAGATATGAAGGAGCTTCAGGTCTTCCTGCTCCAATAGTCAGTAGACATGAGTAGGCATGCCTAGGGGCAAGGTGTCCTACAGGGGAAAGCAAAGACCCTCTAGAACGCGTGAAACCCCACCCCTCCTATTCCTGCTCCCACTTGAACGTGCTGTACCAGCCATGATCGCCCTCCTCGACCGTGCTCGTCCTCGAGAAATGGCTCTCATGCGTGAGCCACGCAGACGTGCCGAACAACCGCCCCGTCACCTCGAGCAGCTCTTCCAGCGTGTCCACAAGGTTCTGCATCACCTCCTGCTCCGCAAACGCGTACACGAGCGACAGCCCAAGCGCGTGCCCGTCCGCCTCGCGCGCCTTGTGGATGCACTCCTGCACGTGCGCCTCCAGGTGCGCAAACGCCGCGCGCGCGGACGGCAGGAACTGGGGCAGCGGCTCGCGCGCGTGGAACGCGTGCTGGCACGCGAAGAGCGTGATGCATACGCAGGACATCTGGTGTATGCGCGGGCGATGTGAGACTGGCGCGAGCGTACTCGGACATGAAAAAGGGAGGTACGACGTACGAACTCACGGCGCTCCTTGAACACATTGGAGACCGTCTCCTTGCGCGGGATGTTTTCCCGGATCTTTCGCAGGCCTGTCATAAGGTCCAGCAACTTCTGCATGGTGGTGATCACTTGGCGGTAGTGGCGGAGTGGTTTCTATGTCCGCAGTCTAAAGTCAGCCCTGGCCGATAGCATTGCATATAGAGCGCGAGCGGCCGGCACTCACTGGCAGGAGGCTGAGCTCATCGTGCATCGTCTTCACGAGTGCGGAGAGCCGGTATAGCGCACTGCGGATCTGCAGCTCAAGCTTCAACGTCTTCCGCCGCTCCTCGTGCATCCGCGTGCGATGAACGCGGAACATGTCACTATGCGCCAAGGGTGAGCAACGACGCTAATGCTGGCAGCTGGGCGCTGAGCGCTGGACGGCACGCACTGGCTGAGCGTGAGATACAGGCTGCTGAGCAGTCCGAGCGTCCGGCTTGTATCCGACAGGAACAGGACCTGCGCAGCGGGAGATGCATGATTAGTATCATTGCGTGATAGGGGGACGGAGCGAGCGCAGGGACAAACACACCCGGCAGTGCCGCGGGAAGAGGAGGCTGTTCATAAGCACCGCTGCGACAATGCCGGCAGCGATCATGAGCGCCCGGATGCTGGCCAGCTCTGCGGGGGAGGTGAGTAGCGGCGTAGACACACTTCGGGAAACTTGCCTAGGATGGTGTGACTGGGGTCAGGATGAATATACGGCGCGAGCAATATCGGAGGGAGAGCGACGGAACTGCAACATCACTGAGCGATGTTCACGGTCCGAGCTGTGGCGCAACTTACGCAGGCACCGCTAGCGGCGTCACGGACGTTTTCAATATGATCCAAGTGATGGGTATATCAAACGCCTGCGGGGACTATACGTGAATACCGGCACCAACAGCAGCCCAGGTCGTGTTCATGGACGTACCGTGACCATCGCGACTAACCCATACGGGTTCGTGCCGCAGATCAGAAAAGCCTGTCAACGTGGTATGAGCACGGTGAAGTGACGGCAAACCCTTAGGAAAGAATACACGAACCACGTAAGAATAGAGTGCGCCTAACAATGTCCCGAACTGCGGTAAATAGTTCAGTAAGATGAGATGAGGACATCGTATTTTCACATACCAATCGGAGGTATCCCGTCCTCCATGTCGCGCCCGTGTTCGTTTCCAATACCCAAAGATAACTGTCAGCCTGGTCAGCCGAATGACACCTTCAACGGAAAATAGCCCCCACCTGATGGTCATCCACTGACCCCGATAAGACTGGAACCACTGTCGCCCTGCCACACACTTAGCTCGCGCCGAACGCTAGAAGGCGGTGCAAGACACGCACCCGCGGAGCCCTCCGGCATGAACGCCGGGAACGTCAGCACCGCGACCCCGATCGCGTTCTTCAGCCCATGCCGCCAATGGCTCGAGTGCTGCACCGCGCGGTGGCGCTTCGACAGCCACACCCGCACGCGCAGCATGCGCTCCGTCGACCACAGCATGCTGATGTACTCGCTCCAGTATCCCCACGTCCAGGGCCGCGAGGGTTTTCCGTCGCCCGGCTTCAGGTCCATCCGGCTTGCCGACGCCGCATACGTCTTGTACCGCATCGAGAGGCCGCCGGCTGGGAGCGCGCGGCCCTTGACAAGCGTGAACGAGAACGCGCGCTCCGCGAGCCCCTGCCGCGCCTCCATGACGGTCAGCCGCTCGTCGCCACCGACGTCGGTGATCCCCTCGTCCGCTACGCCCCCAGATGCGAAAACTATGTCGCCGTTGTCGTCGCCGATGAAGGGGCCAGTGGGGACTCCCAGCCACTGCAGTGATAAATGAGGGTACCAGAGGCGGGCAGAGGACTCCTCGTAGAGTGTGGCAACATTTTCTGCGACCTGCAGCGCGTGGTTCATCTCTTGAGCCATCTAAATGGGCTTCGTGAATATGGCGTCGCTTGGATAGACGTAAAAGAGCTCATTCATCACCTGGAGTAAAGCAATGGCCGCGACGCTGCAGTCGAAGATTTCTTTTGGTAGATGCGCATGCTTTCCCTCCGCGCGCTGCTGCATATCGACTTCATCGAAAACGTGCCGCAAGACTTCGCGCATCTGATCCCGCGCGACCTTCAGAAGTCGTTCGGCGGCATGAACGGCGGCCTTCTGAGATCCGGACACCGACTGCACGGTCTGGGGTGCCATGCCTGTAGACCGCTGACGGAAGGTAGCGAAGATGAGGTGTTCGACGGTCTTCATAGCGTCCACGACGGCGTGTGCAAGGGTAAGTGCGGGAGGCTCGATCGTGGATATGAAGGTGCTGTCCTGGTGAATGACGTTGGTGTGTTCGTACAGGCTAGGTGCACCACTACGGGGAGAATGCGGTGTCCCTGGGATGCTCTGAGCAGGCTTCAGCGGCGCCATACCCCAAGCCAGCTCTCTACGCAGATGCTCGACGATGCCGATGAAGGGATGGATAGACTGCACTGTGGAGAATGTTCATATTTGCGCCCAAAAAAAAACTTGGACGGACGCGCCGACTCACGACTGAGACGACCTATACGCAGCTCGAAAGCCGCTTGCGAGTAAGACTCGTTCAGCTTAACGGACCGCTGCAGAAGCTGGCTGTGAAGTTGACGATAGTGTGAATATGGCATCTTGGTCTCGCGAGCGCCGACGCGGTGGAGGCTTGTCGAGAGACATTGTTCCAGCAACGCGAACGTCACCACCGTTTCGGACTCGAAGTTCGTTGCCGATCCCGGGAAGAAGAGCATCATGATGAGCAGAGAGGCTAGACAGAGAACCGCCGCAGACAGAGTTATCCACAGGAAGTTCCCAGAGTCCGGGAGTACATGCTGTAGACATACAAGAATAATAGAGTCAATTATGGTGCAGTGGTGCTAACTTGACAGAAAACGCATACCGCAGGTAGGCCAATATCATTGGTGAGCAACCAGATAGAAATGAAGCACGATATACGTGTTGACAGCTGCAGGCGAACGAGCCTACTCTTGATGATTCCAGCTATCAAGTATCAGACAGTCAACGATGACATCATTTGTAAAAGTTGCTCACCAAAGAAACTGATTGATATCAGGAAGATAAAGCAGGTTGCTCGCGCACCCACGGTATCTTGACCGGCGAGTGATGCGATATACTTCGCGAGCGTAGAAACGCCAATACCGGTCAATGCCCCGAGAATATTGAGCACCGTAAGCTCGAGCTGCTGAGCGAGGTTCTCTTGAACGCCAAAGATGAGCTCCTTCAACGCTAGAACGAGAAAGGCATACTGTCCGCCAAGGCGGGAGAATGGTCGTATGACGATGATCACACTGCATAGGAACGTGGAGAGAAGCCTAGCAAGCGGACGTTTTGCCAGATATACTCGTGCGACGGAAAGTACGGATCTATAGATGGCACACGACCGAGAGACGGCCGGGCTGGACTCTGTGTTCATGGGCACGGAGATCGAAGGAAGGCGTCGCGGTGTCTGGGTGCAAGGAACATCGCGCAGAGAGTGGAGTAGGCGGGCAAGGCGTGTTGGCCGGCGCAGACATTACATGTACGACGTAGTCCGATGACGGCTCTTTCCACGCCTGCGATTGGTCGACGCCGCCCATGTCATTTCATTTGTTTGGTCGACCAAACAACTCTATGTATGGGCGCTTGCAATGTCGCTTGCCGCCTGACCTGGACCACCATCGTCCACAAACCGTTGTCCTCGAGTTCTTGACTTGAAAAGCAAGCGTAGGCCGGGGATAGACCCCTTGATAAAGCGCAGCGATTACCCTGGCATATTGCTACCGCGAGACCTTCCGCGGCACCTGCAATTGCAGTCAGTCCGCATATATTCCGAAGTTTGTGTTCCGCGGTAAAGCACGGAAGGTGCACCAGCACGAGGTCACCTCGACAAGTTACTTACCCTCGGCCGGTCTGGTGTGCAGGATGACCATATCGGCCGACCTCCCAAAATTTCCAAGAGACACTCTGCAACGGCCGAAAAGTCAAACCGGGCTCACCTCAGTAAGCATAAATATCAAGACCCTGCCCAGCGTCGCAAGTATGGTATCTGTAGTTGGCCTGTAGGTCCTTGAATGCGCGCGACGATGGCAGTCAAGAATATGAACAAAACCTGCAGAGCGTCGGCTTGAGTGCCACGCGACTTGCCTTTTCGGTGGCTTTCTTTCGGAGTGTGGCGTTAAATGCGCGAGCACTTCTTCACCTCGCCCACAAGCACCGTAATCGTCCCGCGGAGCGTCGCAGAACACCGCATTACTACAACTTCTTGAAGCCCTATGAACGGTGCAGCTGCTTTTGACTGTCGACCATGCGGCACCGACCTAGGCAGCGAGAACTTCCCAAGCGCGTGCGTATTGCGCATAGCAAAATCACGGTGCAACTGGTATCGCAAACTGCGCCGACCGCTTGCTGAATTTACAATCCCTACGCGCGACAATATCTCCCCGTCAACTGAATGTGAAGTTGATACTGACGACCACATTACCTCTGCGTCTAGAGTGGTCCGTGACTTGAGGGAGGGATACACGTCAAGTCCAAGGTGGTTGACGTTCGTTAGCGGCGAAAACAGCTATATTATGGTGCGCATAGCAGGTGCGTCTTTTCACGTCAGGCCAGACATCAGCGATATGGCAAGACATGAGGTGTTTGGACCTCAGCCTCGTGCTACATAATATACTGTGAGTCCCTGTCAAAATACCCTACCCTCGGCGACACCACAGAAGCCGTGATGTACAGGAGCGCCGCTGGAGGGCCTGCCCACTGGAGGACAAGGTGAGCTCATTCGAGTGTTGAGAATACGTGATGGTAAGACACGTACTCACTGCGTTCACCCCCAACTGAGCAAGGGGTCTGCTACAATCCGCGGGATTTGGTCGCGACGGGCGTGCGATAGGTTTGATGATGTAGCAATAGGTCGTAGATACGGGCTAAATGAACTGACTTGGTCTTGCTGAACTACTTGCGCCGTTGTATAGTAAGAAGTCCCGCGCAGCTGTCTCGTGTTTTGCAGGCTCCCGGTACGAAGTCAAGTAGCTGTTGCTAGCAGAGGCATGTGCGCGCCTACCTCGCGTACCTGCGACAGGCCCGTCGAGACGCGATGGCGCTCGATCTCGTTGACCCTTGCTTGATGGTGTCGAATGACTCGTTCGACATTCTGCGGCACCCTACTGTCGTCTCGCAGATACTCGCCTGGGGCGTCCGAGGCCATGCTCGCAGGATAAAAGGCGCAAAATCCTGTAACTTGTCGGGCTGCTCGCCCTTCCCTCCCCTCCCCACCCTCAGAGTCTCACTTGGCTATCAGAACTCAGTACTCACTGGACTACGCTCACGCTTGGGGCTGCTTGCTCGGTTCCCTGTGCTCTACGGCTCTGATAGCTGAGTCACTTGTCGGCCTCGAAGCTTGCTCTAGCCTGTGTCTCTGGTGCTACCTCTACTAGTAGCTCTACACTCGCTGCGCGCCTGTGGCACACCTATAGCTCTCGACGCCTGACTTCAACATTATCATACTATCAGTACTACTTACCTCATCCTGATCGTAACGGCACAATGTCCACAGGCCATACTATTACAGTACTTTGCAGTGTGTAACAATAGATTCAATGATATACGGACGACTAAATGGAGCCTATGATGTCGAGTATCGGTGTGATTACTAAAGAGTACTTACTCGAGACTCGGATCTAGAGCGTCTTTCAAGTCTCGACCGGTGTCGCCGCATTGGTGTCGCAGTATGTCGAAACTACCTGGCGACGCAATGTAGGGCTTGCTCGACCCACACCTCCGATCCTGTCTCGCACTACGTAGCACTGCCGCGCTACCCAGCCTCTGTCGATACATCCCGGCCTGCACCGACGTTGTGGCGTACAGTCTCGCTGAGGGCTTTGCTAGACATCACAGACGAGCGTCGCGTGGTGCTTGCAAAGTGTCCACCTTTCATACAGTTGAAATCTTGCTAGATTGAATGGCGCTGCCATCAGCCGCAGGTGTAGACACGGTATCCCTACACGTAGTTTGGGGTCTGCTAAGAAGGCGCTGTACGCAGTGACTATCACTCGCCAGCCTGCGCTGTTGGCGCCACCGCGCCCTCGAGCCCCGTTAGCCTCAAAAGGCAATGTTTCGCCACCGGACGGGCAACCCAACGCATCTCCCCATCCCTTCTGCACGTCGCCGCGACCGCCGCGTGCGAGCTGTCTTCTTATGCGTCTATGTTTGAATAATCCGAAGGTCTTGAAGGTGGGCCCATAGAAAACTCCCGAGCCGAACCACCCCGGAACGTGTTTGAGGTGTTGGGCGGCGGGATCGCGGAGCCTGGGTGGAGCTCGCGACGTACGCGAGCGCATCGAGCGGGCGCGACCTCGCGGTGAGGGCGAGGTGGGCCACGGGAAGGGCGGGGGTCAGCTCAAAGGCCGACCGCCCGGCCTGGAGTGCGCGTCCTCTGGCGTCGGCCTGGAGGTCTGTCGCCGCCGCGGTCCACCAGGGTCCACCTGACGAGCCCTCGACGCTCTTACGGCGCTCATCTTCCCGTGTTCCTTGCTCTTGTCCAGCGATCAACGGCTTGTTCTCACTTCACGCCGCCGTTTTGGCACTGCATCAACTGTCAGCACGTCCCAGAAGAACAACGCCAGTGCACCGACTTCCAGCCGCCTGCCCGGACAACCGCCATCCCTGGTCCCACATCGACCGCAACCGCTTCGTTATCGGAACCACGCGCACGAGTGTCGCACAACAACATGCTCGCACCTGCCCCGAAGAAGTCGAGCGCGTTTGTCATCGTCGATTCATGTTCTCACCATCCATGTTCCGACGTCCTTCTCTCCGCCAAGTGATGCCATTGTCGTCCCGAAAGGTGCGTCAATTGGCAGATAGTACTGATGGCCGACACGAGGAAAGTGCCAGGTCAGGGACGACGGCATGTTACGCTGTCGCTTCGACGCGCAAGACGTCGCCTCCGTTACAATGTCGGTCTTCTGGCTGCAGCTTATTGCCAATCGTTACGTCGACGTCCACACGGGCCCACGGAGCGTCGGCCTATCGACGTTACCAGTGTGGCGTACCGAGTCTGCTCCAAGCGGAGAGCGAGGAGTCACAGGATCCCTACTTCCAGTGTCAGCTGGGTACGAACATAACGTTCCTTCCGTACGTACCGCGGTTGTTCCTTTCAACAGGCTGCGCCCACTGACATCCTATCAGGACCTGTACGGCATGCTGCTTAATTCGGCGGCTTCTGTGCACTCGAATACCTCATGCCGTGTGGCGAGCTCGCTGACCAAATTACGAAATCACCCCTTCATCTGCGGCGGTCTTCCCCCGGTTCGAGCCTCGGTACTCGGTATGCGATGAGCCTACCCTCGGCCGTGCTGCACACGCCTGTGCGAAACCGCAAATCCCGAGTCGGAGAACGTAACCGACGGCGAAAGAACCTCTGAGAGCTGGGTCGGCATGGTAGAGAACACGCAGGCAAAGGTACACGGCCCGGTGAGCGTTTTCAGGAAGCACGGTCTCGAGTCCTAAGACGAGCGCGATAGCTGACGAGCGGGGAGACAGGAGTCTTCGTAGCAGACTCTGCACAGATGAAGTCAGTCGCGCGATGCGAAGATCACCCAACTCCACCTGTGCACCCAAGTCCGCTGGTCGTTCTCCGTGACCACCTCCGCTTCATCAGCGTCATCGATAGGCCCCCGCGCACCCGCGCCGCAGGATCCCGACGCCAGCGCACCCGGGAATGGGCATATGCCTCGTACGGCGGCGGCCACAGCGCCGGACCCCAGCGTGGGTCGCGCCATTGGCCACGCCGAAAATACGAGACTGCCCCCGGCACGACGATACGGTGCGAAGCGCAAGTCCCGCCCGTCTTCTGTGACACAACGGGCACGCACGCCGACCACCACGACGCGGAGATCCGCGGGTTCCGCCATGATCTGCCAGGACGGAAGTGAGGGACGTGCTCGCGCAGGGAAACCCACGTACCACCTATCGGCACACCGGCGGCGCGACCGCGCTCGAACGCCTCCTGGCGCCTTCTAGTGTCACTTTGGCTCCTCGCTGAGTCTCCGCCGACGTCTCCTCTCCGCGCACGCCGTCTGCAGCGACCGGGTGCTAGGCTCGCCAACCGCCAAGGGGCGACGCCCAGCTGCCAAGTACTGTCGTGCCAGCCCGAACGGGCTCCGCGAAGATCCAGTCATGGGCCCTGGCAGGGCCGCTGAGAACGCAGAGAAGGCTCGCCTGCGGCTCGCCGCGCAGGTCGCGATCGTCGCACGCCAGGCAGACCGCAGACCCCCGAAGCACCCTCGGCACCCGCAGCGAGCACACACCGCGCACATCCGCGAAGCAGCAAGCATACTCCAGAGAGAGAAGTCTAGTGCGGCTCGCCCGGCGCGTGTCCGTGTCCACAGGCCGTCCACCCGCCGCGAGACTCCCTAGAGCGCGGGAGCCCATCTGCACAGCACGTCCGACAGCACTTCCCCTGCGGCTCCAGCCTCAGTCTCCAGGCTCCTACGCCTGCCCACGGCGCCTCGCCTCCGCGCTGTGGGACCGCCCGCGGTGACATCGCTGGCGGCTGATGCAGCCGCGCGGGCGACTCGCCACCCCCGGGTTCCCGTCTGAGCTGTGTGCGCGGAGTCGATTCGCGCGGCGCAACACGCAACACAGCGATCGTCCTCAGCCCAATGTTCCGACCGCCTCGACCGCGCGCCCGCTGTCCCGGGCCCAGTATTTAATCTCGCTTGGCGCGCGGGGACACCGGGGCGTTGGCGACCGCTTCGCGCTCGTCGCGATCGGGACGGGCGCGCGCTGTGTCCGCTGCTGCTGGCCCAACGGGGGTCCACAACGATCGCGGCGGGTGGCGCCCGCCGCGCTCGCCCGACACGCACCGACTGCGTTGCCTCAGGTTCAGAGGACTCTCCGATAGAAGCACTCGATCGAGAGTGCTACAATATATTTATTTCCATACTATGTCTAGTGTACATACGAGAGGGCTGAGACGACGCGCGAGTATGAGGCTCAAAAGCTCATTCGAGCCTCCGTCGGACGCCAGGACCTTGGTGGCCTCATCGCGGGAGACTCAGATAATGGCGTGGAAGGTTCAGAATAAGGTGGGGGAGTGCAAGCCTTTGTTTGGTAACCGCGTGAAAATGCCTAAGCACATACATGGGTGTAGAATAAAAGCGACTTTGACTTACAGCACCTGATAAAGTGGTCCTTGTAGAGATTCGTCGGCTGTTAGAGACCGCTGTCGTCCTGACATCCCGCCTTTTACTCCGCAACATTTGCACGACCATCGTCGGTTGGTGCTGTTCATTTGGGCGATTTATGAATTTGCTGCACCCTCGGCCTGGTATTCCCACAGTCCCAGACATATGGTATCACCGTACACGAGCGAGGTCGTCGTGTACGGCCCGAACGTCAAGCCGCGCCCACAAAGGCACAGGAGTACAATGACATATCACATCAAACAACTGCACCTGATTGGGCTTGTCTCAAGCATCACAGCATATTATCGCCACACAAGTCGAGTGCACACACAGAGGAGAATCGGACGACACTGGAAATAGCATTCAGACGAGTCTCAAACCAAGTTTACAGAACACAAGGAACAAGGAGAACGACGACGGCACTATGGTACACAGACACAGATCCGACAAACACCGACGACACACCGACACAACAGGGCAAAGCAGTAAGTCGCGAGAGAGTAGGAGACGAGGAGAGTAGGGGAGAGCATATGGTAAGAGAGGACTGGGAGAAGCAAATAGAGACGTAGCCGGGAGACAGATATCGTTCATATATTCAAGACGTTCATGACGACGCGCGTACCCATGTCCGAAGGGCCGCCGCGCGACGCGCCACCACACTTACCCTACTTCACCTGAGCGCCGGTGAGGGCCTCACCCATGCGCGCGTGCTCGACGCGCCCGTCGCGACGCGGGTCCATCATCTGCGGGGGGCCCACCTCAGCACCAGGGCCGCGCGAGGGCGGCTTCGCGTACGGCTGGGGGTACGGGGCGTAGTGGTGGGGAGGTGCCATCTGGAGCTGCGCGTCGGGGCGAGCGTGGGGATGCGTCATCATGTACGGGCCCGCCGCGTACGCCTGTGGCGGCGGGTATATGAAGGTCGGGTAGAACTGGGGGTGGGCGGCGTAGCTGACGTGCTCGCCGTCCTGACCAGTGGCCTGCGGGTGGGGCGCCGGGATGGGGGCGTAAAAGATGGGCTGGGGATAGTACATCGGCGGGTCGCCGGGCTTGGCAGCGGGGTGCGCGGGGTATTGGGGGTAGAGCCCCGGGGGGTAGGAAACCGGTGCAACGTAGGACATGGGGGGCGTCGGGCTGGCGACGGACGCAGCCACGGCGGGCGGGATGGCCATGCCTTGATGTTGCACCACAACGTCGACTTGCTGCTGGTCGACGTTGGCGGCTGCGGGATGTGTTAGTACCGAACGAACGCGTCACCGCCCCCATATGCCACAATGACGAATGCGGGGGCGAAGGAGAGAAAGGTGCTTACTTTTTCCATCGCGCTTCTTGTAAGGCCCCCTCTTTATCCCTTTCTGACGCTCCTTGCGCTGAGAGTCGATGCATTCCTCGGCGATGCCGTAGCGGACGCATCGGAGGCATGGGCGTGCGTCGTCGCACTTCTTGCAGGCCTTCTGGCAGTTCGTGCAGGCGTTCTTCACTTGGCGGCGCTTGGTGCGGGTGGGCTGGGCGGGCGAGAGCCCCGGCGGGAAGGGGTACATGTGCATCGGCATGCTCGCCGAGTACGTGATGGGATGCATGGTCATCTGGGGTTGGACGGAGTCCGACGGGGGCGAGGGCGGGGATGGCTGCTGGTGCTGGTGGGAGTCGGGCTCGGGGTTGGAATCACCCATCGCGGCGAAAGGTGGGAGGGAGTGGGAGGCGAATGGGGGATAAGAGGGAACTGATATAGACGGCGGGACGGGCAGGAGGCTGGGAAGCGGGCGGGCTTTGGCACTGTTGGCCCTTGGGAGACACACGTGTCGAGAAGCCTCACCGAAGGGGGCCGGGGAGTTAGCGAGCTGTTGAGCCTCGCGCAGGAGGAGCGACGCTGGGCTGGGGAGATGAGCACCATGGTGGACACGGACGACGAGCTCGAGGGGAAAACATACCGCGGCGCGGGCGTGATGTCGACGGACTCGCTGAGCTCGAGCTCGGGGGCGTCTCCGACTCAAAGCGGAGGCGGCGGCGGGGAGGGAGGAATTGAAAGGCAGCGTGGATGGGCCTCTGCCTTTATCTTTCTCCGCGCTCGCTTCAATTCCGTCCAATCTCACGCTCGATCCCATAGGCTTCCCATGTACGTAACCATTATCCTCGTCCCTCGCCCTCCCTCCGCCACTCCGATCGACTCCGCGGCCGCCCCTGCGCTTCATTAAAGTTCGCTTTTCACACTCCGCCCCGGCCTCCTATCTCCCCCTCGGCTGCCCTTCCTTCTTGCGCGCGACTGGACCCCTTCCTCGACAGCGTCCAGCAGTCCCGGCCGCACACTCTCAGCATCCTTCCCTGACTACACCCGGCACTGCACATTGCACAACACACGCGCGCCCCCATCTCACACCCCCTCGACCGCAGTCGCTCTATTTACCACCTTTGCGGCAGCATGCATCATTCGCGGTTGTCTACAGAAGCACTCGCGGCCTGCCCGTGATGACGAATTGCTGTCATTCGTCCAGTGCGCGTATCGTAAATCACGTCTCGTGTACCCCCGCCGACGTCCTTCGTAGCGCTCCCTCCGTGCTGCCGAACGTCACCCAGGCCGAGGCACGCTCGCGTCGACAATGACAGATGGAATACCTCCTTCGTGGGCGAGCCGCAAACCATGTCCGCATTGACGCACACTCGGCGCAACAACTCCTTATCCCGGCTCTTTGGCGGTATCCGGACGCTGATGTGAGGAAAGAGGCTTGCAGACGGCGAGAAAGAAGGCCGACCGTGGAAGGCACGCAGCGCAGCGTGATCCACCCCAAGCGACCTTGCCCATAGTCGTGCAATCTAAGGTTAACATTCACTCGTCGATTCGCCCTTGCAGCAACGCCGCGCTGGAGAGGCAAGAGTCACGTCGACAAGAGTCGTAGCACCGTCACGTACATATACTGTTCGAAGAAGTGCACCATGGTGATACACGATCCCTGCAAAATCGGACGCGGAGTTTGTCGCAAACCTAGGTACAAATCCTTTCGGTCATTACGTAATCAGCTTTAGACGATCGTTGGTAGATGTTGTTCCAACTTCCAAAAGTCACTGCGTAAAACCCTCTTCTAGCACACATGCGGCGTGACCGTGCTACAAAGGCGGGTTGATACTAGTGGCTAGTGAGCTAGGTAGGGTAGCGCGAATTTACCTGAGGGTGCGCGGCGTTACCGGGTATCGGGTAGTTATAGGCCATCGAGATAGCCCAGTAAGGCCAGTGCTATAGTGCACGGCGCGTGGTAGTAGCAGTGTGGACAAGAGGTGGAGATATCATATAGCAGAGCTGACACAACAACACGCGAGGCGGCCTAGTCGCACTACGAGCGAGAGACCACTAGAAGGACTAAGCAGGCAGACGTATAGGGAAAGAGTAGATCTCACATTTATCGTCTGCCTAGGGGAGACAAGGGAAAGAGCCTTGATTGCTCTGGGCTCGCTCCTAGGACCCGACGTTTCTGGACCGGATTACTTATAACCACAAATAGGCTATTGATTAATACTACGTAGTACGCGTACATGTCAATAAATAGTACAGCCCGAAGCCTGGTCGACCATTGACCCGTCCTGCGCAGTGCAGCGCACTCGCCATCCTCCAACTTCGACCCGGAATATGCCACCATCCTTCGCTTGACCGGTCAGGCTCTCAGCTGCCGTCTTGTGTTGAGAGCTTGTGGACCCTAGGGGTGAACAGGTGAGCATTTGCGAAGGATGCAAGAGTAGTTTTGAGCATACCGTCGCAATATCAGAAAATGCTTACCATAAGACTGCCAGGGGGGCAACCTGTGGCCTTGCCGGTCGTATCCGGGCCCTGTATGGTGTTATTCGCTGCAAGCTGCTGTGCAGACGGAGGATGAACTCACCATAGAGACATAATAAGCTGATATCTGTCACCGCGCGAGCCCACGCACCCTTCCGCGCCAGATCGCGCTGCGGATCCTAGTGGAACAGGGCAAGAAGAACGAAGTCAGCTGGACGCTCGGTGTGCTCGCACGTTGAAGAAGTAAGTCTCGGACGAGGCACCTCATTGAGACTGATGTCCTCGAAGTGGTTCGTGTTGAGAATCTCGAGGAAGCGGAGCGTGGTGTCGCCCGTGTTCTCAACGTGTCGAAGAAGGCCGGCACGAAACCGACGTCTTCCGCCTGCGCAGAGGGTTAACGATGCGGAGCGGCCGAACGCGTAATAGACGACATACCTCGTAGTTGAACGTGCGCGCGTTGCTGCGCGTGGAAGTTGACCTGCAGACCTCCAAGAGGGACGGTGAAGGATGAGCGGAGTCGATTGGGGTGGCATGATCGTAGTCGTACAGGCTGTGGGTGAAATTTCGAGGGCTATTTAATGACTTTGCTACCCACACGTATAGAGCATTACGTGGCTTAGATAGACGACTCGACGAGACCAAGCTGCAGCCAGACGCGTTATGTCGTTTCAAGGTAGCACGAGCCTCGCCCGTGGCGTACGAACGCCAATTCGTGCGAGACCACCTGGCACCCCGGACACCATACACCGCGAGTCTGTCTCGCGCGGTGTAGCTCCAACTCTGACTGCACTACGTAGGGCGTATCGTGCCTACTTACAACTACTTAGTCTCTCAAAGGTCAGTATCAGGTGGCTACCCGTTATCTCTCATGCCCTTCCTCACCAGCACTCACTCGTCCGTGGTGGACGACGTTGGCGGTTTATGCAGTGAGTCAAATTTTGCGACAAGGGATGTTCATGGCCACACCTATCCAACGGCGTGCATTCATAGTTTGTCGGAATCCCCGTCGTGTAACACTCGTAGTTGTGTTGTTGCGATTCTCGCGTCGAGCCCCAGACGGGCGCCTATTGGCTTATTAGGGACAATGGGCGAGATCGCCACAAGCCAAACAACAGTAAATAACACGAGGCGGTTGTAGAGGTCGACGAGGACGACATTCAGAACGACATACTCCAGCACACTGGCATCGTCGAGCTCAACGGCCAGTCGGTTTACTGGTCCTGAGCGTCGTTCCACCCATCCTGTACACGATACTCTCTCCCCTCTCCCCTCTCCCCTCTCGATTCTCTGATTCTTCTCTTGTCTTTCCTTTCTTTCCTTCGCTCGTTATCCTCTCTTCCATGTCTGCCCCGTCTTCCCCCACCCTCGGTCCAGTGGCACACGAAAAAGGACGCACGAAGAGGAGAGAAAGGCCTCCTGCGCTCGATATTGGAGACTCCAAGGCGGGGTCGGACGGGGATGTACGATACGAGCGCGATGCCGCTAAAGATGCGCGAAAGGTAGCCACGCTTTGCATGCGCTTGTCTCGTGGGCTGATCTCAACTGACGACGGTCCAGCAGCCCTTCCTGCAAGTTGTCGGCGCAGAAGACCAGCACACCGATGCTGAGACGGACGGCCACCGCCCCGCCTCGGCCACGTCCTCTCTCGATCCCTACTACTTCGGCGTGCACAGCCCATCCGAGTCGCCAATCCCTCCCGTCCCCAGCCTACCCAAGACTCCCGAAATGCACTCCTACCTGCACCGTGATCCTGTGACGCCCGGAAGGGACCCTGCAGCGATCGACAGGCGCACTCTGGTCGGGGTGGGTGAACTTGCTACCCCTCGCTGGGCGCGGGGAGCGCGTAATGACGACTCCGAATTCGTGCCCCAAGAGCGTGTGGAGGAGGTGCAAGAGGA